CAGTTTCTGGTATTCTCATGGCACTTTTCCTGAACACAGCCGGTGGTGCCTGGGACAATGCAAAGAAGTACATTGAGACAGGGGTTCTCGGAGGCAAAGGAAGTGACAGCCATAAGGCTGCTATTACAGGAGATACGTAAGTCCCGTCTCTCTCTCTCTCTCTCTCTACATTTCTTGTGCGTTGGAAAGAGTTTTGAGTACTGTTCCTTTTGTTCAGTTTTTAATGGTATCTGAGTTCTTGGAAATAATTATATGATCTGGTTTTATTTGTTGTGCAGTGTGGGTGACCCGTTCAAAGACACAGCTGGACCTTCGCTTCATGTTCTCATTAAGATGCTCGCAACAATAACGCTGGTTATGGCTCCTGTCTTCCTCTGAGAGTTGTTTATAACAATTGCGGTTGTGCCAGTTTACTGCACCCCCTTTCCTTCATCTTGAATACTTAGCGGCAAAAATATAGATAGGATTTTTTTGGATGTATATTGAGGGTGCCTGATTCATAGTCTTACCAAATTATTGCTTTTACGATTGGACCTTGAATAATTAATGTTAATTGGCTGCTCATTCTAGTTCGATGTAGCGTCTATGACGTATTATTCTCTACGAAATTGATCCCAATACATAATTCATCCTCTGTTTCGAGGCTTTCTGTATTTCTTTTTTTTTTCTTCTTTTTTTTTTACTTTTTAATGAAATAATAAATTGAAGTGAAGTGACATAATGATAGCTCAGCAGAGGTTCTAGTTGGTGATACCATGTCAAAGAACTTCTGAATTGGAATTGCATGGTTCAAATTAAACGGGTTTCCTTTGGTGAGAATTCGTTTGCTTGCCGTGTTTGTTTGGGTCTCCGGACTAGTATATTGCAAATAGTCCAAGCAGAGCCATACTACTTTTCCCATTTTCTATTAAGATAAATCTGTTCGCACACGTCGTCACTCGGGCCCTCTGTTTTCTTGGTCAATGTCAACAGGTCTTTATATACACGCATGTACTTGAGATTACATGCATGTACTTAAGATTGGTAACAGCAATTTCAATGGGATGGCGTTCATAATTAAGATGAAACACAACAAAGCAAGTGCCTCTTCTAACTACAACAAGCTCCTTCTCTTTTTCGGTTTTCTTCTGCTACCTTGTTCTGCCTCTGCTGCTTGTGCCCAAGTGGATCATGCCTCCCTCTTGTCCTTGGCTTTCAAGCCACCATTGAATTGGTCTTCTTCTACTGACTGTTGCTCCTGGGAAGGAGTAAGTTGCCAGCAAGATGACGATGATCACCGTGTCGTTCGTCTATGGCTGCCTTGGAGACGCTTATCTGGTGTTATCTCTCCATCTATCACCAACCTCACACATCTCACCCACCTTAATCTCTCCCACAATTCCTTCTCTGGTCCTCTCCCAAATGACTTGTTTTCCTCCCTCTCTAGACTCCAGGTCCTCGACTTGAGCTACAACCGCCTCACCAGCCACTTACCGGTGTTCTCTTCCAAAACCACCAGGCTCGAGACTCTAGACTTGTCTAGAAATTTGTTTAATGGTTCAATTGTTGTCCCGGCCGCGGCTGCAGCCACTCTCACCACTTTCAATGTCAGGAAGAACAACTTTGCTGGCTCCAACCCCATCTCTTTTTTCTGCAACAATGGTAGCGATCACACTTCCCTCACCATCTTAGACTTGTCCTTCAACAAATTCACTGGCGAAATTCCACCTGGACTCGGAGCATGTTCCAAGCTCCAAGTATTCGGGGCAGGCTTCAATAACCTCTCTGGTTATCTCCCTGGTGAGATTTTCGACCTCGCTGATCTTGAAGAGCTCTATCTGCCTGGCAATCGCCTTTCGGGACACATTGGCAAAGGAATTGTGCTCTTAACCAAACTCAAGATCTTGGAGCTCTCCTCAAACAAATTCTCAGGCCCAATCCCAAGCAACGTTGGCAAGCTTTCAAGGTTGGAAAATCTTCGTCTCTCCACCAACAATTTCACAGGTCATCTACCTCCATCTCTCACCAACTGCACAAATCTGTCCACCCTGATTTTGAGGTTCAACCACTTGACTGGAGACCTCTCTACCTTCAATTTCACAACTCTCCCGCGCCTCACCACGCTTGACCTCGGTAACAACAACTTCACTGGTGTGTTACCTCAAAGCCTCTACTCTTGCAAATCACTTAAAGCAATCAGATTAGCCAGCAATCAGCTCACAGGCCAGATATCTCCTGAAATAGTTGCACTGAAGTCCCTCTCCTTCCTCTCTCTCTCTATAAACAACCTTACAAATGCCACTGGTGCTATTAGGATTCTAATGGGATGCAAGAGCCTGACTATTCTGGTCTTGTCCAAGAATTTTCTGCTTGAGCCTGTGCCTGATGATGAAAATCTAGCAGAGCTAGATGGGTTCCTTAACCTCAAGGTTTTGGGTCTTGGTGGTTGCCAATTCACAGGTCAAGTACCCTCCTGGCTTGCCAAGCTTAAAAATCTTCAAGTCTTGGACCTCTCATACAACCTCATAACCGGTTCGGTTCCAGGTTGGTTGGGTTCTCTGCCTTATCTTTTCAACATGGACTTGTCCAATAACCTTTTTGAAGGAGGATTTCCTACTGAGCTCTGTGGGATGCCGGGTTTGACATCAGAAGAGACCGGTGATCATAAGGTGCAGGAAAGTTTTCTAGAGTTGCCTCTCTTTGTGAAGCCCAACTATGCTACCAATCAGCAGTGGTACAAGGACCTCTCCCAATTCCGCCGAGCCATATATGTGGGCTACAACCTCCTTAATGGCACCATCCCCATTCAGATTGGACAATTGAGGCTTCTTCATGAGCTTGACTTCAGTCACAACAACTTCACTGGCAGCATCCCAGATCAGATTTCTAACCTGGCCAACTTGGAGAGATTGGATTTCTCCTACAACCATCTCTCTGGTGCAATCCTTGCTTCTCTCAAAAGTCTAAATTTCATGTCTTTCTTCAGTGTGGCATATAATGATCTTGAAGGACTTGTACCATCCGGAGGTCAGTTTGATACTTTTACCACTTCCAGCTTTGAAGGGAATCCAGGATTATGTGGCCCGCCAACCGTGAGGCTCACTTGCGCTTCTCAACCGCCACCACCGCCGCCAGTTGGTGGAGGATCTAGCTTTAACGGAAAGCTTCTTACTGGCATCATTACTGCCATTGGTTACGGCATTGGTTTTGGCATTGGTTTCTGGATTGAAATTAATAAAAAAAAGTTTATATGTAACTTAAAGTGTATATTTAAAACTTGTCTCTCTTTGATCAATCAGATGACAAAGAGAGTACAAAAATTTTGCACCATTGATCAACAAAATAATGATTCTGTAAATTAAGTTATATTGAAAAGCAAGCAGCCAATATTCAAGTTCCATGTTTTTTTTTGCAGTTCAAGTTCCATGTTTGATTTCTGAAAATCTATGTTCTCCCTGTGCATAGATTTTGATGTTGATTGCTATGCAGATATACCCAAACCAAATGAAAAAATAATAATTTTGAAATCTGAAAATTAAGGGAAAAAAAAGGCCTTTCTCTTTATTTATTTATTTGAAGACCTTTTCTATTGAAAAAGACAATAATATACTAAATTCACACACGCTACATGGATGTTAGGACTTGAACCCAAGACCTTTCCTAGGAGAACAATTTCTACAAACCACTACACTAATGAGTGATTTGCAAAGGCCTCTCTTTTTGGTACCTTGGGGTTCAAGTTGTTGAATACAAAAGGTTGAAACTAGACATAAAATAAAAAAACTGTCAAGAAACGAGGGAAGATGGGGGATGAAGTGTTTCAGAAACTTTGAGGAAAATAGTAATGAATAAATAAAAGGTTGCATAGAAAGTTAAACATCCTGAACTGTGATTAATTCTGAATAATAATTAATTATACTTTCGACATTCGTAGGGAAAAATGAACCAACGGACTAATTAATTATATTATTGCATCAAAGCGTGACTAATTATACCTGCCCTCTCAAAGACTCAACGTAAACGCTTACGTTGAATGTTAGCAAGTCAGTCCAAGAAGCCAAAGCCTTTCTTTACCAAAAAAAAAGAAAAGAATAACAACCCAAAGACGTGACATAATTTGGACGCGAGAAACTAATCTTATAAAATTTTAGACGTCTCCCCGCTCTTACCAAATAGTTTTCATATTGAATCAAATGTATTAATTTAGTATACTAATTTAGAACGCAACGGGCCCACTAGTGTAGTAGTTTGGAGCAAATGCTCATTCCAGAGAAAGTCCTAGGTTCGAATTTTAACATATGTGCAATGTATGTGAGTTTAGTATGTTATTACCCCTCTCAATAGGAAATGTCCTAAAATTAAAAAAATTTTAAAAAGAAAAGAAAGTATGCTATTAGTATAAGCATCCACGTGTTGTGTCTGAAGTTGTATTGGGTTCATCATATCAAGCTAAACGATGGTTGTTGAGCCATTTCCGTCCTCATTTGCAAAATACTGGTACTTTTCCTAGAGATATTTAATTATTTTAAAATGTACCATTTTCCAAGCTAGAAGATGTATTGGATTATTTTTATTTTTATTTTTTAATACCAAGTAGCGAGTGCCAACTTCTGAGTTTCTGTCTTTGGAGGAATCACATTTGGTCAATAGAACAAAGACATCTAGTAAATTAAATGCTGCTCTGATAGATTTTTTTGTGTAAATCATTCATGTCATGGTCTATGTGACAAACTTCCCAAGAAAATTGACACCCTTTTTGATAGATTTATTATGTGCTAGTCATACTTCAGGTGTGGTAGTCATTTTTTATGTGATTAAAGTCATTTTTGATGTGCTTGATTTTTGGCTTATGTCTTATTAAACACTTTTTATTGTGATTAATCTGTTCATGCAATGTGACTTCGAGACTCTCTCCTCTCTAGGTCAATGGCTGTTTACTGAGTAGTGTCCAAGTACTTCCATGTTCACAGAAGCTCACACACCAGAGCTACATGGTCAAATAATTACAATTATATGTACAGATGGGTACTGATGGTTGCATATGGATGGAGATCATTAAGATGAAAAACAATAAAGCAACCTCCTCCAAGGAGAAGAAGGAGGAGGTGCCAACAACACCATGCCAAGGACCAAAAACACAGCTTCTTCTCTTTTTGGGTCAATGGCTTTTCCTTGTGTTGCTGCCTTCTTTTGCCTCTGCTGCCTGTGACCAAGTGGATCACGAAGCTCTCTTGTCCTTGGCTTCTAAGGTATCATCATCCCCACCATTGAATTGGTCTGCTTCCACTGACTGTTGCCTTTGGGAAGGAATACTTTGCAACCAAGATGATCAACGCGTCATCTGTGCATCACTTCCTGGAAGAGGCTTAAGTGGTGTCATATCTCCGTATATCACCAACCTCACATATCTCACCCACCTCAATCTCTCCTGGAATTCCCTCTTGGGTCCTCTCCCAGATGACTTGTTTTCCTCGCTCCGACACCTCCAGGTCCTTTACTTAAGCTTCAACCATCTCGTTGGCCAGTTATCACCCTCCTCCAGCCAAACCACCGCACTTCAGACAGTTGACTTGTCCAGCAATTCCTTCAACGGCTCAATCCCATCTTCATTCATCGTCTCAGCTGTGTCTGCAGGCTCTCTCACCACTTTCAATGTCAGCAACAACAGCTTTTGCTGGTCCTATACCCCTCTCTGTTTTTTGCAGCAATGGAAACAATCACATTTCCCTCACCAGCTTGGACTTGTCCTTCAACAAGTTCACTGGCCTAGTCCCCCCTGGACTTGGGGCATGTTTTAAGCTCCAAGTCTTCCGAACAGGCTTCAATTACCTCTCAGGATCCCTCCCGGATGACATTTATGACGCTGTTAATCTCCAGGAGCTCTCTCTGCCTGTCAATCATCTTTCGGGAGTCATTAGCGATGACATCACGCGCCTGAAAAATCTAAAGATCCTATGGCTCACCTCAAACCAATTCTCTGGACCAATCCCCAGCCATATTGGTACGCTTTCCAGATTGGAAAGCTTGCTTCTCTCCTCCAACTACCTCACAGGTGCCTTACCTCCTTCAGGTTTTGACATGAAAACATTTTGATCCAAACGCATGGGAATTCATCAGGTGATATAAGAAAACAAGCAGCAGGATTAGTTGAATAAAATGTCTTTGATTTAAGTTATATTGTGTTACCAGAATAAAGGGGGTAGAGATTTAAGAAACTTTGTTTGATAAAAGAAAAGGGTTTTAGAGAGGGATTCAATAGAACAAAGGTACTAGAGATAAAGAGTGATAATTAGTCATGAATTGAATTGACATATGAAATTCCTTTTTGAGTTTTACAGTGATTATATCATTATGTTTTTATTATCTATTAAGAACCAACTCGAGAAAATGTCCCTTGATCAAGAGGTGCCATTTGGGTTTTCACTTGATCATGATATAAATGATTACATGTTTATAATAAGAATAACATAATAACTCTAGATTAGATAATTGTATATATATATATATATATTTCTGGTTATTTGGTGATCAGTCAACATAGTTAAGTAATAAACAACAGATGACCACATAACCAACCTAGTTTCCAATGACTTAGTGTGGATTCAGACTTCAGATAAACAAGAAGAATTTAGACCAAGTCTAAGAGCTCCAAAGTAAACGCTTATGATCATATGTACGGATCGGTAGGTAGCTATTATTTCAGAAGGGGCCGATGTTTGAGATGAAAGAAAACCGAGAGACCTCCTAGGACGACAAGGAGTTGCCACAAACACCAAACCAAAGGCCAAGAACACAGTTTCTTCTCTTTTGGGAGCAATGGTTTGTCCTAATGCTGCTGCCTTGCTTTGGCACATCTGCCTGTGACAAAGTGAACAGTGACTCTCTCTTGTCCTTGGCTTTCAAGGCACCATTGAATTTAAATTGGTCTGCTTCCACTGACTGTTGCCTTTGGGAAGGAATAACCTGCGGCCCAGGAGATCAAGGACATGTCGTCCGGCTTTGGCTGCCTAGGAGAGGCTTAACTGGTGTCATCAATCCATCAATCACAAACCTCACCCATCACACCCACCTCAATCTTTCCCACAATTCTTTCCTGGGTTCTCTCCCTGAAGATTTGTTTTCATCTCTCTCTAGTCTCCAAGTCATTGACTTGAGCTTCAATCGTCTCATTGGCCGTCTACCACCTTCAAATAAAATCAGTCAGCTTCAGGTTCTGAACTTGTCTAGCAATTTCTTCAATGGAACAATCCCATCTTCGATCCTTGTCCCATCGGTGTCCATTTTCAATGTCAGCAACAACAGCTTTTCCAGGTCGATACCCATCGACAATGGTAGCAACCACACATCCCTTACCTTCTTGGACTTGTCCTACAATAAACTCAATGACACAATTCCCCCTGGAATCGGATTATGTTCCAAGCTCCAAGTTTTCCGTGCAGGCTTCAATAGCCTCTCTGGTTCTCTCCCTGATGAAATTTTCAACCTTGCTGATCTCCGACAGCTCTCTCTGCCTGTCAATAGTCTTACAGGACCCATCAACGATGGTATCATGAACCTCACCAATCTCCAGACCCTGGAGCTCTTTTCAAACCAGTTCTCTGGGCCAATCCCAAGCCAAATTGGTAACCTTTCCAGGTTGGAAAATCTGCTGCTCCACGTCAACAACCTCACAGGCCCCTTACCTCTATCTCTCGCCAACACTACAAAGCTGTCTGCTTTGAATTTGAGGGTCAACACCTTGACTGGCACTAGTACAAAAAGTGACAAAGATGACCAGAAAAAAACGACAGTCTAAAGGAAAACCGTCATTTTTTAAAAGACGACGGTTCTATAAAACCGCCGTGTAATAACACCTTAGACACCTAAAAAATGGAGATTCCAATGGTTGTTCCTAAAAAACGACGCACCTAATTAAAAAACCGACGTCTTATTGAAATAGGATTTCCACAGAGTAAAATCTAAGCCAACAAAGAACAGCATAAGTTATGAATAGACCGACGTAGAAAGTAAAGACGACGATGTCAAAAAAAGCCGCCGTTTTTACTCAGAAATTAACACGACCAAGTTTTCGTATAAGGCACAGTATAATTACAAATAAATCCACGGCGGTATAATACAAAATACCGCCGTATTAAATTAATGTACAACTACGGCAAAGATAAATAAATCGACGTCTTTCTCGTATAGTTCTACGACGATATCTTTAACTCTCACCACGTTGGGGTTTTTCATTTAACGATGTATTATAAAATTTAACGTCGTATTTATTCACTTTATACGTCATACCTTATATTTAAACCGTCGTCTTAATAAGAATTTTTTTTAACAATTTATTTCTTGGATTTTGTTATCCTACGTCGGTAGATCAACTTAATGACAAGAATTGAAATAACCACGACGGTTTATATAGAAAACCGCCGACATAATTAGATTTTTCTGAGATCCCAAGAGTTACGAAATCTTACCAAATGGAACTCTGTTCCTCATCATAATCTTACCAGAAAGACAATATTTTAGAAGTTAATGATGTATGTGTATTTGTGTCTTTGAGATACACAAACTCACATACACATTAACATCCAAAAAATTGCCTCTGAAATTTGACGACGGCAGCCTCAAATTTGCAATCAGAGAGACAATTTTTTGGAAGTTGATGATGTGTGTGCGTTTGTGTATCTACACAAATGCACACACACATCAACATCCAAACAATTGCCTCCTAAAATTTCACGACGGCAGCCACAGATTTGCAATCAGATAGACAATTTTTTGAAAATTGGTGATGTGTGTATGTTTGTGAATCAGATACACAAAACATACACACACACACCAACATTGGCCTTAAATCACATGATTGTCATACCTTAATGCAACAATTGCTCCTTGTGGCAATTCGTTCTGTTTTGGAGAAGCCTGCAAGGTATGCAATAACTCATTTGTGCTTTTTCTTCAATGCTATATGTGCAAAGACTGTTGATGTTTCCAAGCTAGATAAGTTGGAAGAAGATGTAGTAGTTACTTTGTGTTTGCTTGAGAAGTACTTTCACCCTTCATTCTTTGATATCATGGTTCATCTAGTAGTACATCTTGTCAGAGAAGTTCGTCTATGTGGGCCAGTATATTTTAGATGGATGTATCCGTTTGAAAGATATATGAAAGTGCTAAAGGGGTATGTTTAGAATCGTACTCGTCCCGAAGGTTGCATTGCGGTATATAGCTAAAGAAGCTGTAGAGTTTTGTACCGAGCATTTATCTGATGTTAGTACAGTTGGAGTGCCTTCAAGCCAAAAGATGGGAGTTTCAAAGCCATTATCAGGTTGCACAGTGAGCATAGTTGATCGGGACCTGTTGAACCAAGCACATCTATATGTCTTGGAGAATACAGAGAAAGTCCTACCTTATATTGAGTACGTATAAGTTTTATTCTTTAAGTTTTTATTTTAAATTATTTCTTATGTTTATCTTATATGTTTGGGACCGTAATGCTTGAATTTTTCGTGTCATGTAGGCAACATATGATTCACATCAAGACCGCTTATCCAAAATTTAGAAAGAGAACAAAGTGGCTGCAGGATAAGCACAATAGCACTTTCATTCAATCGCTACGCTTCAAGGTATATGTTTTTGAATAACATATTAGACTTTTAATTTTCTTCTTTCTATGTTAAATTGAATTAAGATATGATTAATTTACAGGTTCAAAGTGAACTTAATGAGGAAGACAATCATGGCGTATCAGAAAATTTAAGGTGGCTAGCAGCTGGTCTAAACATGGCAGTGCCATCATATATGAGCTATCTTATTAAAGGTATTAAATTTAACATCAAGGCACAAGATGATGTGCGGACAATTCAAAATAGTGGAGTTTATTTATTTGCACATACCATGCAAGTTGCTAGTGCCAAGGATAAAAACCCAGTTCTCTCAAATATGGGTTTCTATGGTGTCATTCAAGAAATTTGGGACCTTGACTACCAAAAGTTTACAATCGCAGTCTTTAGGTGTGATTAGATAGATAGTACTTCTGGTCTTATAGTCAACGAACTTAGATTTACCCTTGTAGATTTGAGTAAAATTGGACATAGGAATGACTAATTTGTTTTGGCTTCTCAAGTCAAACAAGTATTTTTTGTTGACGACCCGATGCATCGTGGTTGGTCGGTAGTGTTATCAATGCCTAATAGAGAATATAATGATGTTATTGGTGATGATGTCTTAGGTGATGTGAGAATTGAGTGTGAGCTATTTACTATAGGGATGCCAAATGTTGACACATTTGATGAACTGGTGGGTGAGTTTGGGAGTCAAAATATTCGAGATGTGTGTGAAGATATATGGATTGAATGATGCTTATGTAATTGGCAGTGTATGACATTAATTTTGTAATATATTGTAATGTGATTTCTTCACTTTCATTATACAGGTTTTGGCCACAAAACAATCAGTACAAAAAATATTGGTTCAAGATTACAAACATGACGATGTTGATAAAAATGTGAAAAACAAACGTCTGTTCTAATAAAAAAACGACGTTTTGGAGCATTCAACGACCGCAATATATTTACTGACGTCTTAAAGCAACGTAACAATGGAAGAACCACGACACTATTGTGAAACAGTTATTAAGGATATCACATCGAAGAAGCATAAAGAACCGCCATGTAATTCCAAATAACACGACTCCAATCCCATAATACCGACGTCTAAAAGACGAGATATCTAACTTGAACGTTACAAAAGACGACGTCGTCTTAACTTTACCACGTCGCATGTTCTTTCATAAATAAAGTGGAAAAGATGAATTCACGACGGTATTTGAAATCCATTGGTAAATTTGTCAACGTTAAGATATATTTGGACGTCGTTCCTTTACAAAACAACGTTATATGAATGTATCCACGTCTCTTTTCTTATGATAATGTCGTTAAAATTTCTTTACACGGCGAATTTTGGATAAACAACACCGTCTAATAGGACTTAGACGACGGTAATTTTGTTAATGATGACGTATAAATTATGAAACACGACTATCTTTTGCATGATAACGACGTTGTATATTGACGACAACATCGTCTTTATACATTAATGTGTCGTAAGTAATGACCCCAACATATTTTCCACGTCGTTTATTTTCAGATCATGTCGTTAAAACTATTTTACACGGCAGTGGACTGAGAAACATTGTCGTCTCAGATGCATTAGACGACGATTATATTTTAAAAGATGACGTATAAATTCTGTAATACGGCTCTCATTTATTTCGAACCGACGTTGTTTATTTAGTACAACGTCGTCTGTTTAAATACATACGTCATAAGTAATGACCCTAACATCTATTTCTACGTCATCATTAATAGAAAAATCGAAGTGGAAAATTCATTTCACGATAGTTGTTGAAAATGTAGTGGCGTAGTAGGAGTCAATAACGTCGTCGATTATGTATTTAAAGACGTCATATTTTTATTTGTCGTGAAAGGTATATTTAACGGCGGTGAGTTTTAGTTCTCGTCGTTGTATGTATATCTTGCGGCCATGTTCTGTTAATATATGTCATATGTTGCCTTTTTAATGACGTTTTTTTGTTATAATTGGTTGTCTATTCTCATCCTCAACTGTTTTCTTATCTCTTTTTCCAGTACAAAGACGTCGGTTTTTATTTGTTAATGACATTGTTTGTTTTAACGACGACGGTTATTTAGTGTCGTGGTTTGATTAGTGAACACATGTCGGTCGATTTCACGACCATTTGAAAATGGAATACACGATGGTGAATTCCCGTCGTCTTTTTCCTTTTTTGTAGTAGTGTGGAGACCTCTCTTCCTTCAACTTCTCCCCTCTCCAACGCCTCACCACTCTAGACCTTGGCAACAACTACTTCACTGGTGAGTTCCCCAAAAGCCTCTACTCTTGCAAGTCACTAACAGCTATTAGATTGACCGAGAATCAGCTCACAGGACAGATATCACCTGAAATAGTTGCATTAGAATCCTTGGCTTTCCTCTCCATCTCTACCAACAACATGACAAATGCCACTGGGGCTCTTAGGATTCTAAAGGGTTGCAAGAACCTGACCTCTCTGATCTTGTCCAATAATTTTCCGTTTGAGCCTGTGCCAGATGATAAAAGCCTAGGAGACCTAGATGGATTCCAAAGCCTTCGGGTTTTTTCTCTGGGGGGTTGCCAATTCACAGGTCAAGTACCCACCTGGCTAGCCAAGCTTAAAAACCTTCAAGTCTTGGACCTGTCATTTAATCTTATAACCGGTTCTGTTCCCGGTTGGTTGGCTAGTCTGCCCAACCTTTTCTACATTGATTTGTCCAATAACCTCCTTCAAGGTGGATTTCCTAATGACCTCTGTGGGATGCCAGTTTTGACATCGAAAGAGGCCAGTGATAACGTGGACAGAAGTTATTTAGAGTTGCCAGTATTTGTGAAGCCCAATAATGCTACTGATCAGCAGCAGTGTTTTCAAAGGCATGCCTTTGCGCGCGTTGGAGCACGCGTCGGCGCGAGGCGGGAGGAAAACGCCCGAGGCGTCCTGCTGTTTCGCGATCTGCACGTTTAGCACCGGGAAGGCGTGAGGAGGCGTTGCAAGGCGTGTCCAGCGGAGCGAGGCGTGAGGAGGCGTTGCAGATCTGGAATCTTCTGAAACGGAAGAAATTGAAAGTCTGCAAATTTTCTTTGAGGAATATGAACTCGGGAGGAAGACGACTCCTCCTTTTTTTTTAGGTTTGTAACGAAACGACGTCGTTTTGGTTGCAGAGTTTTAAAAACAATCTTATAGTGAAACGACGTCGTTTCACTTGGAGTGTCTTTAAAAAAAAAAAACTGCAAGTTTCAGTTTTTTGTTTTCCTTACCTTAATTGTAATAGGGAAGAATTAATATATTTAATATCTTTCTTTTTCTTTCCTAACTCCAATCGGTTGTAACTTTGTACTTACATTTTTTTTTTTCTCTTGCAAGAATTAATATCTTTAATATCTTTCTTTTTCTTTCCTAACTCCAACCGGCTGTAGCTATGTACTTACCTTTTTTTTATTTTTTTCTCTAAATTAATATATTAACACATGGACTATATATATATATATATTGTATAGTACGTGTACAACCCTAATTTCTATCCTTACCAGATAACTCCATCAATTTCAAGAATTCTCTTCATCTTTCGATTGCAAGTAAGTCTTCTTTTTTTTCTTTTTTCTTTTTTACGTACATGCATCATACTTGTATAATTTGACTGTAATAAACTATAATTTGAAGTTTCGTATAAATTTTTTTCAATATGTTTTAAATATACTAGTTTTTTTTTACGTACATGCATCACACTTGTATCTTAGAAATATTAATTGTATTGTTTTATAGATATGAATCGAAAAGATCCTGCGTGGAAATATGACAGTGATGCTAGTTTGAATGATATTAGTGTTGAGGAGTGAGATGAGTGAATTATGTTTTTGTTTTGATGTTGAATAAATATTTTATGTTTTGGGATTGATTATTATGTTTTGAATGACAATTAGTACTTATATTTGATTATATTTAAAAGATTGTTATAGTTGAATAAGAATTAGTTGTACAATTTAATCGTATTGTATTATTCATAAATTTTTCTCATTAAAATAACTTAATGTTCAAAAGGCTTACGCCTCAATGCCTCAAGGCTTACGCCTCGCATAGCGCTACTAAAAACGCCTCGCTTATACGCCTCGCCTTTGAAAACATTGATCAGCAGTACAACCAACTGTCCAACCTCCCCCCAGCCATATATTTGAGTAACAACAGCCTTAATGGCAGTATCCCCATTGAGATTGGCCGATTGAAGTTTATTCATGTGTTGGACCTTAGTCATAACAAATTCTCTGGCAGCATCCCAGATCAAATTTCTAACCTCACTAACTTAGAGAAATTGGATCTTTCCTATAACAATCTATCTGGTGAAATCCCTGTTTCTCTCAAAGGTCTGCATTTCTTGTCTTCCTTCAGTGTGGCATACAATGATCTTCAGGGACTTGTACCATCTGGAGGTCAGTTTGATACTTTTACCATCTCCAGCTTTGAAGGGAATCCGGGCTTATGTGTCCCTCCAACTCCCAAGCGCTCTTGCCATCAAAGCCCTCAAAGCCCTCCGCAAGTACTTGAAGTTACTCGCAGATCTAAGACACAGACGATTCTTATTGCACTCGTCTTTGGGATCTTCTTTGGCATTGGCTTTGGTATTGGTTTTAGCATGGATGATTAAAAAAATTCCAATAATTGGCGGGCGTAGGAAGAAACTAATCAAGTTTATGTGTATAAACCTGCTGATATGTAAGTTTTGATGTGCCAACATTTTGATCCATGTATGGGAGTTCATCACATATTAATAAATGGCTTTGCATTTGTCTTTTTCAAAACAAAGGGATAGATTAGATTCTGAACCGTGTGGAGATGAACAAATGTTTTAGAGATAAATATCTAGTCAAATTACTCTCCACATGTGAATTTCACAGAAATTTGAGAAGTGTTTTGGATTAAACTAACCTCATATAACATCCACTAGCCAAAACAAAAATGTATTCTGCTAATGAAATCCATAATATTTAAGCATTGTGGGAAGAATGTAACAATAGAGAATTGGAAAGGAACCAATAGAGAATTAACATGAATAATCTAATAGTCCATGTCAACTCTCTCTAGGTCAAAGGTGTTTATTATTTCAATTTTGTCACATCTAGGTTTAAAAACTTCTAGGTTCCAGGAACGTGCAGTGAATCAAATTTATGAAAAATGAGGAGAAAAGCCCAAACCCTATGGGTCGGGCCTAATAAGTTAAAACGTTTGTGAAATCTAAATAGCAAATAATTTGCTTGGAATATAGGAATTATAGTTGCAAAGAATACGGGAAATATAAGTGAAAGACTAGAAACATAAGAATTATAGATGTACGCAACTAAGGACTCTTTAAGGAACCTACACTATAAAAAAAAACCATTCACTTGTAAGTCATATCCAATGTTTACTCAGTCTTGATTACTATGTTGTTCGTAAATAAATTAAGATGACATAAAGTATTGTTGTGGACCTCCTGAATAGAAAAGCTGTACTTATTGAGGACAAATTTAGGTTTGGCATCTTTTGGAGATGGTGTAAGTATGACAGCTCAGCTAATGCGACAAAGAAAAAGCAGAAGAAACAATGTGTCGATGGCCCCATACGAGTGCTAGTGTAGTACTAACAAACGACAGTTATTGATAAGGCTCTAAAGAAGATGTGGTTCTTATTTCTCACTTCACATCAGCAGATAGTAATTTGATCGAGTTGACTCAGCCATCTCCTTCGAAGCTATACTCAGTGAACAGCTTCAATTACTTGATCAAATACCTAATTAGCAGAGAAACCCCCAACCCAGCTTCAATTTTTGCCAGCTTGGTGCGCAGCTTTTTCATTCGGCCACCCTTTTTCTACTACTCACACCCTGTATGTTCTGTGACCTATATGCCACATTTGTTACATCTACTCTAAATTAACTTGTTTGTATTTTATTCAGTTTATTTTGAGCTAATGGTTTGGTTTTTGGATCACAGGCTTTTGTGAATAAAATTGTTAACAACTAATCAAATTAGAAATATATTGGGATTGGTGAGGTCCAAGATACACACAACATGGTACTACCGTATCATTCTATAATTTATCCCACGTTAAAGATCAAATTTCATAACACATTTCACGTTGAAGACCCAATTTTGTGACACATTTCAAATTTCCATATAGCGTTTCTATATTTTCATAAAGTATAAATAATAGGATTTTTCATAGCTATGGTGTGAAACCCCGTATTTATAATAGTATATATACTTTGAAGACTTGATATTTTGCCATTTAATTTATATATTATATTATATTGTATATGTGTGTATTACATAAATATCCTATTCTATTATATATATGTGTATAACTTATATATATATATATATATATATATATGTATATTATATATATCTTTTGCTAATAGGTGGCTTCATTAGTAAAAGGATTCTTGAATGGGTAGTTAGGTGTCAACAAGGCATGCTAGTAGCCTTGTCAACTCACCGTGAAGAAATTAGAATAGGATTATAGTCACCACAACGTGTCTTCCTAGCAATTCTTTCTTATCTATTGTTGACTTGGAATGCAAGGCCTTATTGATATATTACTTGGAGATTAAGTTCTTACATAAATGTTGATATTATCATGTACTGTAGCTACCGTCTTCACCACGCTATATATAGACCATTCCATTCCTTTGTTTTTCATTCTCATTTCAGCATTTGTAAGTTTGTATGAAGAGAAAAATAAAATAGAGAGAGAGAGAGAGAGATGATGAAATTCTTGGAAGATATATAGGGCTTAGCTTGTATTTTCTTAAATTGGAGCAATGCTTTGGAATCGAGGTAGGGATTTCTTGGTGACCTTTTACAAAGATTGATCTAATTAAATTTCGTGAGCACTATATTATGCGTGATATGATTATATGTACATTGGTGATGTTTAAATGTTACATTGTTGTGAGATATACATGGAAGGCATAATTATATCATCGTTGGAGTTGTTGAATTGAGAAAATAATGGTGGAAAAGAGGGTAATGGATATAGTCTTTTGTGTAGTTGAGTCTGACCATTGTAGGGACCAAGTCCAGGCGGGCCCGTGTGCACAGTAAACTAGAAAATCGGCGGTATAATTGTCGATTTGGTGATTTGGGCTTGGAGATCAATGGTGTAGACAAGATGACTAGCAAAAGGGGAAATATGGGATAACTGAGATTGGGTGTTAGTTTATGTAATAGGGCATTCGGAATCACAGTGGTAAAATGCATGGTATGGGACATGCAGATTTGCTTGCCCTATTCTATAAATTAACGGGTTGGGTAGAATTGAAGAGCATTCATGTATTATTATTATTATTATTATTATTAATGTGATATTTTGTTGTGTGATTGCATGTCACTTAATTTAGTTATATCAATCTACTGTGATAAGATCTCATGTCCCTACTGAGCTGTGGTTGCTCATCCCTCACCCTGTTTAACTTTTCAGATGAATTAGTGGGCAAGACGAGGACTAAATCGATTGAGGCTGAATTAGATGTTTGTGTAGAGCTTTGTTTATTTATTATAAAGTTGTAAGATTTTTGGATTTATTTTTATAAGAGAAGTTTAGCTTAAACCCTATTTCGCCTTTCTTTTTATTTTATTTTAGTTTTTATTTTCTCATGCGCCGGGCGCGGGGTTTCCACCGACCTCCGGATCCGGGGCGTGACATATGGTCCCTCAACTATACCCGTAATTGCATTTGGGTCACTGAACTCAATTATTAGTTGCAGAGGTCACTCAACTATGTGTTTCGTTGCACCAGTAGTCCTTCCGTCAAGTCCGTTAGTTTTTTCCGTTTAAAATGATGACGTGGCAAGATCTATCCAATTATTGATGACTTTTCAGTTAGGATTATTTGTAGAAATGATCCCTCAACTATACTCGGAGTTACATTTTGATCACTTAACTCCAAAAAATAGTTATGGAGGTCACTCAATTAGGTATTGTGTTGCACCATTAGAAGACCTTGGAGTTACCGGTGAAGGCCGAAGGGATGAGCAGCTTGAGAATTCCATCCCAGTCGCAAGTGAAGGCTGTGGTCATCGTTGCTGCGGAGAGAGAGAGAAAGAGAGAGAGAGAGAGAGAGAGAGAGAGATCTAATCTGATCAAAACGGGAGACCAATAAATATTTAATAAAAAGGATATAATTGTCTTTTCAGTGATTAATATAAGGTGGGCCAACGAATCTGAGCATCCTCTTTGGCCTAATCCAAAATACATATTCTTTTATGGGTATTAAAACCCAAACCAAAATACCTAATGTCTCAAATCCAAATTACTAAAGTTAATTATGTCTAATTCCTAATTTTCCTTATTTAATTTCAACCATCATCACATGGGAATTTCATTCTGACCCGATCTGGGTTTTTTGGCCCCATGGCAACATTTATTTGTTTTTGTGTTATGGTTCATGTGAACTGATCGATCCCTTTAAAAATTTAGCTTAATTCTTAAAAATTTTGTGAAAGACCCCTTTAATTTGAAATCCTAGCTCCATCAATGCATATAGCAGGTGAATGTTAAGCCTGGTGAATTAAGTCTCACAATTAATACGAGCTTGCACTCCAAATTATTCTCATCTGTCTTCCAAACGTTTGCTTGGTTCACGGAATGGATTTGAGGGGAAATCATTTCCCAAGGAATGGGAATGAAAGATTCCTTTCCCACGTTTGGTAATGTCGGGAAAGTAACTGGGAGATTTCACTTTGTTTCCTTTCCCATGTTTGTTTTCAGTAGGAATGGAAAACAAAGTTTGTATAATTTTCCAATTATACCCATATTAAATCAAATAAAAAAAGAATGCATTTAATGATACGTTGTAATTATAAATTGTTCATAGGGACAAAATAGTCATGAAAATTGTGTATTGAATGTTGGCTCATTTTCCCAAACTTTCCCACAAAGGGGGAAAACAAAACCCAAGTTAAGAGGAGTGATTCACTTTCCCCACTACTTTCTCATGTGTCAGGAAACCATTTCCCATGTCTGAACTTACCAAACATGGGAAATCAATTGAATTCCCATTCCCAAGCCTCCTTTCCCATGAACCAAATGGGGCCTTAGGAATTGTCATGAATTCGCTTGGCTTGATCTAAGCTATATAAAATTTGTCTTGTGTTTGGTGTATTCGCCTGGCTTAGTCTAAGCTTATTATATCACATTGTGTTATCAATCAACTCATGTTATATTACATGTATTTATTTATTAATATTTTATTGTATGTTTATGAAACATCAACTTGTAATTCACCAGTATTATAACAGATGAATTCGTAACACATATGTGACTCTGACGCAACTTAAAAGCCAATTTTGTGCCCTTTAAAATTTTTTAATTGTTCAAAGGTTATTTTTTGAAAATTAAATGTTTAAAATTAGCACTAATATTTAATTTTTTGTTGTAAGATGTAACAGATTCACACCCGAGCTAATAAGATTATCCTAAAGCACTTGATCATAAGAATTTGTGAAAATCTCATTTTTATTTGGAGATAATGTATTGCTACTGGATAGTTTATCTTTAGCATCTTTGTTTTGACGGTCCATTCTGTTTGGCATACATATAGTCAGTTAATGGTCCATACCACGAGATGGAAAGTCGCGTGTTGATTGGTCAGTCAATTGAACGGTTGCAATATTATTTATATTTTATGAAAATACAAAATCCTATATGGAAATTTAAATACGTCACAAAGTTGAGTCTTTAACGTAAGATAAATTATAAAATAATACGGTAGTATTACGTCGTGTTAAATTATAAAATAATACGGTAGTACCACTTCATGAGTTCACTTTGTGCTGTCAACTTGATCAAATTACTGGCAAAAATTGAAGCTGGGTTGGAGGTTTCTCTATTAATTAAATTGGGTATGTGATCAAGTATTTAAAGCTATTCTCTTAAGAGCATCCATAATGGGAGGGTGTATAAGAGGGTGTATGTTAAATATACACCCCTTGTCATCAGAATAATCTCCAATAGGGAGATGTAAAGGGTTGTAAACATACATCACCACCATGGAGATGTAAAATAAAATGTGCATTTGCATCTATTTTTACATCATTTGCAGGCGGGACTCACCCGAGAAAAGAGAGAAAAAATGAAGTAAGACAAACAAATCAATTATACATCTTTAGATTTACATCGTTTCCCATTGAGCAAAAAACGTATTTACACCCCCCTGAGGTGTAAAGGAGATGTAAAAGTGGCTTTACACCCCAAAAAATACACCCCCCACTGTGGATGCTCTAAGTATAGCTAGCTTGGAAGGAGATGGCTGAGTCTTGAGACCACTTGTGGCGTCAACTTGATCAAATTACACATCTGTTGATGTGAAGTAAGAAATGAGAACCACATATCTTTCTTTCTTTAGAGCCTTATCAATAACTGTCGTTTGAATGATGACTTACAAAATGAATGTTTTTTTTTCTTTCTTTGTTCTAAAAATAAACGGTTTTGTTTATGTGATGACACAGTGAAATATGCTCAAGTGAGTAGTTATTACCGTATTGTTTAATAATAGGTGGTAGTTGACATCTCATAACTATCAGAAAAGGAAAACAGGAACTACCAACCTGTAATTCCGATGCGATGATGATTAAATAAGAATTTATGCCACATTTAGCTAAATGTGGTCAGATAAAGTTAGTTCAAATAAGAGGAACTCATTAAATAAAGGGAGTTTTACTAATACACCCAAAATAGGGGCTGAAATTATAAAAAAAAACCCCACATGAAAAACACTTTATAAACACACCCAAAACTCATTTATTAAACACACTCAAAACCCATTTATAAACACACCCAAAAAATATACAATTGTTGATTTTTGGGTTTATTTTGGGTGTGTTTCTATGTTTTAAATAGTGTTGGGTATATTTATAATTTCATGTATAGGATTGGGTGTTTCACTAATTTTGTATTAAATAATACCATTTTTTTAAAATTATTTTGTATAAGTTGAAAATTTTCTTTGGATTCCATATAGCAACATAATAAGAATTGAATTATTGGTTCCACAAAGCTCTCTTTATTCTTCTTCTCGTGACCATGACATCATGCCTTCTTTTATAGATGTGCCTAAGAAAATTCCATTGGTTGGTAGGTGTAGAAAGTATGTATTTAAACCTTCAGGTTTTGACATGAAAACATTTTGATCCAAACGCAAGGGAATTCATCAGGTGATATAAGAAAACAAGCAGCAGGATTAGTTGAATAAAATGTCTTTGATTTAAGTTATATTGTGTTACCAGAATAAAGCGGGTAGAGATTTAAGAAATTTTGTTTGATAAAAGAAAAGGGTTTTAGAGAGGGATTCAATAGAAAGATAAGAGTGATAATTAGTCATGAATTGAATTGACATATGAAATTCCTTTTTGAATTTTAGAGGGATTATATCATTATATGTTTTTATTATCTATTAAGAACCAACTCGAGCAAGGGCATTCAGGGGGATATGGGTAATTGCGCGCTGTGCGGAGCTCGGGCGGAGACACTTCATCACGTTTTCTTGGAATGCTCCTTCTCAGTTTTAATCTGGCAGACCAGCCCTTTGCAAAGCGCATGGCGTGATCGAGATACACGGGACCTAGCAGGTTGGATTGAACAAATTCTGTTGTGTGGGGATCGCCAGAAAGTTGAGCTTCTGTTTATGATTCTGTGGAACCTTTGGAACGAGCGCAATACGGTTGTCTGGACTGCAAAACGTCGACACCCCTGTGAAGTTGTGGATGGCGCTATGCGGCTGTTGCATGAGTTCAAAGAGCATCAGCCTACCCCGTCGTTGTCTATTTCACGTGCTCAGGCGAAGTGGCAAAAACCTCCTCTGGGTGTCATTAAGATTAATGTGGATGGGGCCTTTCAAGGGTTAACTGGTATGGGCGGTGGGGGGATAATTGCTCGGGATTCAGCTGGTTGTTTTGTGGCCGCCCGTGCGTGCAAACTCAGCCATGTCTCTTCCCCGGAACATGCTGAAGTTCTTGCCCTTCGTGAGGCCCTTCTCTTTGCCAAGGATATTGGACCAGGTCCAAAGCTGATTGAGATTGATGCGCAAGGGGTGTTACACTCTGTTCAGGATGCGCAGGAGGATAGATCTTATTTAAGCTGTTTGTTTTCAGATTGCAAGTTTTTCCTTTCCCAGTTAGAGAATACTTCTATTAAGTTTGCTTTTAGAGAAGCTAATCAAGCAGCGCACCGCTTAGCTCGGTTGGCTATTACCTTGCCAGAAACATTCACGTGGCTTCAGGATCCTCCTGATGCCGTGTGTGATGTTTTGGTGGAGGATATTTTGTAACCCTTTCCTTATCTATAATGAAATCGCTTTTATCTCAAAAGAACCAACTCGAGAAAATGTCCCTTGATCAAGTGGTGCCGTTTGGGTTTTCACTTGATCATGATATAAATGATTACATGTTTATACTAAGAATACATAATAACTCTAGATTAGATAATTGTGTATATATATTTCTGGTTATTTGGTGATCAGTCAACATAGTTAAGTAATAAACAACAGATGACCACATAACCAACCTAGTTTCCAATGACTTAGTGTGGATTCAGACTTCAGATAAACAAGAAGAATTTAGACCAAGTCTAAGAGCTCTAAAAGTAAACGCTTATGATCATATGTACAGATCGGTAGGTAGCTATTATTTCATCAGGGGCTGATGTTTGAGATGAAAGAAAACAAAGAGACCGCCAAAAGAACACAGTTTCTTCTCTTCTGGGGGCAATGGTTTGTCCTAATGCTGCTGCCTTGCTTTGGCACATCTGCCTGTGACAAAGTGAACAGTGATTCTCTCTTGTCCTTGGCTCTCCAGGCACCATTGAATTTGAATTGGTCTTCTTCCACTGACTGTTGCCTTTGGGAAGGAATAACCTGCGGCCCAGGAGATCAAGGACATGTCGTCCGGCTTTGGCTGCCTAGGAGAGGCTTAACTGGTGTCATCAATCCATCAATCACAAACCTCACCCATCTCACCCACCTCAATCTTTCCCACAATTCTTTCCTGGGTTCTCTCCCTGAAGATTTGTTTTCATCTCTCTCTAGTCTCCAAGTCATTGACTTGAGCTTCAATCGTCTCATTGGCCGCCTACCACCTTCAAATAAAATCAGTCAGCTTCAGGTTCTGAACTTGTCTAGCAATTTCTTCAATGGAACAATCCCATCTTCGATCCTTGTCCCATCGGTGTCCATTTTCAATGTCAGCAACAACAGCTTTTCCGGGTCGATACCCATCGACAATGGTAGCAACCACACATCCCTTACCTTCTTGGACTTGTCCTACAATAAACTCAATGACACAATTCCCCCTGGAATCGGATTATGTTCCAAGCTCCAAGTTTTCCGTGCAGGCTTCAATAGCCTCTCTGGTTCTCTCCCTGATGAAATTTTCAACCTTGCTGATCTCCGACAGCTCTCTCTGCCTGTCAATAGTCTTACAGGACCCATCAACGATGGTATCATGAACCTCACCAATCTCCAGATCCTGGAGATCTTTTCAAACCAGTTCTCTGGGCCAATCCCAAGCCAAATTGGTAGTCTTTCCAGGTTGGAAAATCTGCTGCTCCACGTCAACAACCTCACAGGCCCCTTACCTCTATCTCTCGCCAACAGTACAAAGCTGTCTGCTTTGAATTTGAGGGTCAACAACTTCACTGGAGACCTCTCTTCCTTCAACTTCTCCCCTCTCCAACGCCTCACCACTCTGGACCTTGGCAACAACTACTTCACTGGTGAGTTCCCCAAAAGCCTCTACTCTTGCAAGTCACTAACAGCTATTAGATTGACCGAGAATCAGCTCACAGGACAGATATCACCTGAAATAGTTGCATTAGAATCCTTGGCTTTCCTCTCCATCTCTACCAACAACATGACAAATGCCACTGGGGCTCTTAGGATTCTAAAGGGTTGCAAGAACCTGACCTCTCTGATCTTGTCCAATAATTTTCCGTTTGAGCCTGTGCCAGATGATAAAAGCCTAGGAGACCTAGATGGATTCCAAAGCCTTCGGGTTTTTTCTCTGGGGGGGTTGCCAATTCACAGGTCAAGTACCCACCTGGCTAGCCAAGCTTAAAAACCTTCAAGTCTTGGACCTGTCATTTAATCTTATAACCGGTTCTGTTCCCGGTTGGTTGGCTAGTCTGCCCAACCTTTTCTACATTGATTTGTCCAATAACCTCCTTCAAGGTGGATTTCCTAATGACCTCTGTGGGATGCCAGTTTTGACATCGAAAGAGGCCAGTGATAACGTGGACAGAAGTTATTTAGAGTTGCCAGTATTTGTGAAGCCCAATAATGCTACTGATCAGCAGTACAACCAACTGTCCAACCTCCCCCCAGCCATATATTTGAGTAACAACAGCCTTAATGGCAGTATCCCCATTGAGATTGGCCGATTGAAGTTTATTCATGTGTTGGACCTTAGTCATAACAAATTCTCTGGCAGCATCCCAGATCAGATTTCTAACCTCACTAACTTAGAGAAATTGGATCTTTCCTATAACAATCTATCTGGTGAAATCCCTGTTTCTCTCAAAGGTCTGCATTTCTTGTCTTCCTTCAGTGTGGCATACAATGATCTTCAGGGACTTGTACCATCTGGAGGTCAGTTTGATACTTTTACCATCTCCAGCTTTGAAGGGAATCCGGGCTTATGTGTCCCTCCAACTCCCAAGCGCTCTTGCCATCAAAGCCCTCAAAGCCCTCCACAAGTACTTGAAGTTACTCGGAGATCTAAGACGCAGACGATTCTTATTGCACTCGTCTTTGGGATCTTCTTTGGCATTGGCTTTGGTATTGGTTTTAGCATGGATGATAAAAAAATTCCAATAATTGGCTGGCGTAGGAAGTAACTAATTAAGTTTATGTGTATAAACCTGCAGATATGTAAGTTTGGATGTGCCAACATTTTGATCCATGTATGGGAGTTCATCACATATCAATAAATGGCATTGCATTTGTCTTTGTCAAAACAAAGGGATAGATTAGATTCTGAACCGTGTGGAGATGAACAAATGTTTTAGAGATAAATATCTAGTCAAATTACTCTCCACATGTGAATTTCACAGAAAATTGAGAAGTGTTTTAGATTAAACCAACCTCATATAACATCCACTTGCCAAAAAAAAATGTATTCTGCTAATAAAATCCACAACATTTAAGCATTGTGGGAAGAATGTAACATTAGAGAATTGGAAAGGAACCAATAGAGAATTAACATGAATAATCTAATAGTCCATGTCAACTCTCTCTAGGTCAAAGGTGTTTATTATTTCAATTTTGTCACATCTAGGTTTACAAACTTCTAGGTTAAGGGACGTGCAGTGAATCAAATTTATGAAAAAGGAGCAGTAAAGCCCATCACTACGGGCCTGGCCTAATAGGTTAAAACGTTTGTGACATCTAAAAAGCAAATAATTTGCTCGGAATATAGGAATCATAGTTGCAAAGAATACGGGAAATATATATAAGTGAAAGACTAGAAACATAAGAATTATAGATGTACGCAATTAAGGACTCTTTAAGAAACCTACACTATAAAAAAAGGTTGAAAAAGCAGACCCCAACAGATATTGGCTAGAGGGTGAAGAGCACAGAGAGATTCTTTCTCACGGCATTTTCAGGTTTTCTCTATTCTTCTTTTCCATGTTGTTTATTTCTTTTGGTTTTTTCTCTAATTATTAAAGTTGAAGAAACTATGTGTTTCTAATCTTTTCCAACCTTAGTTGAGGAGAGAGGAAAACCCCCCACCGATTTATTATCTATGAAATTCTCATGGTTTTGTTTTGTTCTCTTTTTTGGTTATGATTTATTACTTCACATGAATGAATAATAAAATTTATTGTTTTATAGATCAATCCTATCGATCATGGCTGAACCTCTCAAAGAGATCGAATGCTTTCTCGACCTGGTGCCTGTCCAACTCACCAGAACCAACTATTTTCTCTGGAAACCTTTGTTCATCCGCACTCTAAAGGCCTACGACTTGGACTTGTTCAACATCATGGAAGGAGTCGAGCAGTGTCCACCACAATTCGCGACGAATGAAGAAAGGGACGAAAATCCAGCCTATACCGATTGGATTATGAAGGACCAAACATGCATGGCCGTGATCACTACAACTCTATCAAAATCCGTACTCCCCTACACCCTAGGTTGCACAAGCTCCAGAGCTCTGTGGCTAAACTTGGAGATTCGATTCACTACCGCTGCTAAATCTCATTGCTTGCGGCTCAAGGCTCGCATGCAAAGCCTCAAGAAAGGATGGATGCAGTCAATGGAGAAATACCTAAATTTGGCTGAAGAAATTGCCAATGAGCTCGCTGCCGGCGGATATCCCCTTGAAGATTGTGATTATGTTGGTCACGTCCTTAGGGGACTTCCATCTCATTATGATGACTTTGTTGCGTGGATGAGGGCTGGAGGGAATATTGCTGTGACTCGAGAAGAATTGCATGGTTTGCTTCTTCAAGAGTCCCGTAGGAGAATTCAGCTTGATTTTATAGTACAACCCCTGCTCATTGTCTGCATTACTGTGATCATTGCTCTTATTCGTCGTTAGTTAGGGTTTATCTGTTTCATTAGGGTTTTTTCTGTGGAGAGTATTTTCGTTATCATGATTCATTTTTAATTCGTGTTAAACTATTATCATCTATATATTTAATATGGGATTTCATGCTACTGTTATTAATTAATATAGCCTGTCATGTCTGTCAACACACAATTTTTGTCGATTATTTTTATGCGTTTTTAAACTCGCCTAATGTTTTTTCTTCTCATTTTATCTCTATTTCTGATTACATTTTAATAGAGTATTGTTCTATGTATTACCAGTGTTTTGAAACATTATTTGAACCCTTTGAAAAATAAAGGGATGGAAAGATTCTGATCACTTTGTGGAAAAGAATTAAAGCTTTAGAGGTAAAATCGTGAGGAACTTGAATTTAAATTTGTGTTTCCACTATGCAGTTAACTTGTAGTCTATATGAAATAAAAATAATTCTGAACACTAAAAAAATTTCTGCTGAAGTAAAGTCATTTTCAGGTATACAAGACCAGGTTTAATCTCTCATATGTTAGGTAAGATAGGAAAGGCACCAATAGATAATTCATGAAGAACCTAATTGTCCTCATAGGCTATTGGATTATGTTATTGTGACTAGTTTGCAAGTCAAGCAGCCACTACTAACTAAAGCAGCATGCATCAACTGTCCCCTTGCCTTCAAAGTAAACGCTTGTTTGATGCGCCAATGTGGACTTGTAGATAGTGGTCTCAAGTGCATCAACTGTCCCCTTGCCTTCAAAGTAAATGCTTATTTGATGCACGAATGTGGTCTAGCTAAGTGGAAAAGATCCTTGACTTCTGCTGCTGCTTTGCCTCTGCTGCCTGTCACCAAGGGGATCATGAAGCTCTCTTGTCCTTCCTTGGCTTTCAAGGTATCATCGCGGCAGCCATTGAATTGGTCTGCTTCTGTTAACTGTTGCTCATGGGAAGGCATAAGTTGCGGCCAAGATGATGGTCATCAACGCGTCGTCGGTCCATGGCTTCCTGGAAGAGGCTTAACTGGTCTTCTCCCAAGTGACTTGCTTTCCTCCCTCTCTAATCTCCAGGTCCTTGACTTGAGCTCTAACAACTTCTCTGGCAACATCCCTGATCAGATTTCTAACCTCACCAACTTAGAGAAATTAAATCTCTCTCACAACCATCTATCTGGAGAGTCCCTGGTTCTTTCCAGAGTTTGCTTTTGCTCTCTTCTTTCAGTGTGGCATACAATGATCTTCAGGGCCTTGTACGTACCATCCGGAGGTCAGTTTCGTAATTTTATCTTCTCCAGCTTTGAAGGGATTCCAAGATTACGTGGCCCTCCAACTACGCATCTCTCTTGTCCTCATCTAGAATTACCAGCTCCTGAAAGATCTTAAGATACACTTTTTTAAGTAGTGAGAACCTCTTGTCTGATTTTCTTATGGGGTTTGTGGCATTAATAATACAACACATTGTGAAGCGGTGCATATTTAGAGCAAAATTTAGTGGGGATTCAGAATAGGAACTCTGGGTTTTCATGTACCAACATTCCGAAAACAAAATGTATTGTACCATAAAACAAACAAAACTACATAAATACATACTCAACTTATCTTATAAGATGAAAAGTAGGCAATTTTCTTCAATATTATTGATAGCATTGACTTCATCATGCAATGACAAGTCGTTTTTCTTTTCCTTCAACGGTAACAATGAGAAACAACCTGTCATCACGGGATGAATGTGATCAACGGTTTATGATGATTGTAAGTATTTCATATGATCAGATAGTCAATACGACTCATCATTTATGTGACAGTCATGATTTATGTGATTAATTTTCTAAGAAATGTGATAGGAAATGACTCCTGTGTGTTATAGTCATGGTTTCTGTGACAGATTATTTTATCTGTTACTCTATATGTGATAAATTTTTATTTTGTGACAGATTTTTGCTTATGTAAACGCATTAATATTATGATTTATCTGTTCATGCAACGTCACTTGGACATTTTCTCCAGGTATGCTTACTGCAATGCACAAGTAATTCCAGGTACATGAAAGCTCAGACCAGACATACAAAGTCAAATCTATGCATCGATCATATGATTGGTATTAATGATCACAAAGTCAAAGTCTAAGAACAGAGGCTTTAGTGGTATATCACCTCCAGCTATGAAAGGAAATTCAGGATCCAATTATGCAGCCATCTTGTCCTAAACAAGAATTCGCTGCTCGTCAAGGATCTAATATTCTCACTGAACTCGTCATCAGCATTATTTATTTCTGCAGGCAAGAAGTTCCATTGCAATTTAGTGTGCATTCAAAGGAAAATCATACCAAGTGAAAGATAATGTGATAGCAAAAAAGCCACTTGAACCTTCTCTATTTCATGTTAATAAAGTTTGACTGTCAAATTATGCAGCATATTATATCATTTCTCTTAATAACCACCTTCCTTTGATCAAGTGGTGCCATTTGTGGTGTCACTTGATCATGATATATGTCTAAAATAACTATGAATATATTACACACTACCTTTTATATATTTATGGTTACTGGCCAGTCAACATAGTTAAGTCGTAAACAACAGATAAACACAGTGGAATAGGGCAGTTGCTGGATGCCCTAACCAACCTAGTTTCTAAGAGTTTAGTGGGATTCAGACGTCAGACAAATAGAAGGAATTAGAACAAGTCTAAGATCTCAAAGTAAGCGCTTATGTGATATATATAGATTGGTACTTACCAATGATTCCATCAGGGGCTGATGAATGACATGAAAGAAAACAAAGAGAACACCATGGACGAGGAGCTCCCAGGAACACCAAGCCAAAGACCAAGAACACAGTTTCTTCTCTTTTGGGGGCAATTATTTCTTCTGATTCTGCTACCCTGCTTTGGATCCTCTGCCTGTAACAGAGTGGACAGTGAATCTCTCTTGTCATTGGATTTTAAAGTATCGTTGCCATTGAATTGGTCTGCTTCCTCTTACTGTTGCTCAAGGGAAGGAATAAGTTGCCACCAAGATTATGATCATCATGATCAACGTGTCATCCGTCTATGGCTTCCTGGGAGAGGCTTAACTGGTGTTATCTCTCCATCTATCACAAACCTCACCCATCTCACCACCTCAAACATTCCCACAATTCCTTCTCAGGCCCTCTCCCAAAGGACTTTTTTGCCTCCCTCTCTAGTACTCTCCAGGTCCTTGACTTGAGCTTCAATTGTCTTATCGGCCACTTACCACTCTCTTCCAACCAAATCAGCCAGCTTCAAATTATAAACTTGTCCACCAATTTCTTCAATGGAACAATCCCATCTTCAATCCTTGTCCTCTCAGTGTCCATTTTCAACGTCAGCAACAACATATTTTCCAGGTCGTTACCCATCAACAGTGGTGGCAATCACACTTCCCTTGCCTTCTTGGACTTGTCCTTCAATAAATTCACTAAACCAATTCCCCCCGGAATTGGATTATGTTCCAAGCTCCAAGTTTTCCATGCAGGCTTCAATGGCCTTCCCGGTTCTGTCCCTGATGAAATTTTCAACCTAGCTGATCTCCGACAGCTCTTTCTGCCTGTCAATAGTCTTACAGGACCCATCAGTGATGGTATCATGAACCTCACCAATCTCCAGATCCTAGAGCTCTTTTCAAACCAGTTCTCTGGGCCAATCCCGAGCCATATTGGTAACCTTTCCAGGTTGGAAAATCTGCTCCTCCACATCAACAACCTCACAGGTCCCTTACCTCTGTCACTCGCAAACAGTACAAATCTGTCCACCTTGAATTTGAGGGTCAACAACTTGACTGGAGACCTCTCTGCTTTCAACTTCTCACCTCTTCAGCGCCTCACCACTCTGGACCTTGGCAACAACAACTTCACTGGTGAGTTACCCAAAAGCCTCTGTTCTTGCCAGTCATTAACAGCTATTAGATTGGCCAGTAATCAGCTCACAGGACAGATATCACCTGAAATAGTTGCATTAGAATCCTTGGCTTTCCTCTCCGTCTCTACTAACAACCTGACAAATGCTACTGGGGCTTTTAGGATTCTAAAGGGTTGCTAGAACCTGACCACTCTGGTCTTGTCCTAGAATTTTCTGTTTGAGCCTGTGCTAGATGATGATAGCCTAGGAGACCCAGATGGATTCCAAAGTCTTCAGGTTTTTGCTCTGGGAGGTTGCCAATTCACAGGTCAAGTACCCACCTGGCTAGCTAATGTTAGAACTCTTGAACTCTTGGACCTGTCATTCAATCTTATAACCGGTTCTGTTCCCGGTTGGTTGGCTAGTCTGGCCAACCTTTTCTACATAGACTTGTCCAATAACCTCCTTCAAGGAGGATTTCCTAGTGAGCTCTGTGGGATGCCGGCTTTGACATGGAAAGAGGCCGGCAATCAAGCGAGTCAGAGTTCTCTAGAGTTGCCAGTCTTTGTGAAGCCCAACAATGCTAGTGATCAGCAGTACAATCGACTCTCCAACCTCCCCCCAGCCCCAGCCATATATCCGAGTAACAACAGCCTTAATGGCAGTATCCCCATTGAGATTGGCCGATTGAAGTTTTTTCATGTGTTGGACCTTGGTCATAACAAATTCTCTGGCAGCATCCCAGATCAGGTTTCTAACCTCACTAACTTAGAGAAATTGAATCTTTCCTATAACAATCTATCTGGTGAAATCCCTGCATCTCTCAAAGGTCTGCTTTTCTTGTCTTCCTTCAGTGTGGCATACAACGATCTTCGGGGACTTGTACCATCTGGAGGTCAGTTTGATACTTTTACCATCTCCAGCTTTGAAGGGAATCCGGGCCTATGTGGTCCAAGATCCAACACTCACAGAAAGCTTCTTACTGGACTCATTGTTGCCGTTGGTTACTGCATTGGCTTTGGCTTTGGTTTTGGCTTTGGTTATAAACAAAACTTCCTTGTAATTAAACTGGAATTTCATTGATCAACAAGTGCTTGAATTTTAATATCTTTCATTGTTTCTAAGGTTCAAAATATATTGAAGTAACAGACGACAACAGTTAAACTCAACTCCATTGGAGAGAAAAATAAAGGCAAAGAAAGAGAAGCAAACTAACCTGGAAGAGAGGGAACAGCCAGAAAGAAGACAACAACAGCAACAAGCCAATACGAACAAGAAGCCCAATCCAATAAAACCCGGGCCATCTCTCAACCCATTTGCTACACCTAATCTAGATTCTAGTGAGAGAAAAAGACCATTTGACCCTTGTCAGTCCCTACAGAGTCCGCCTTATCTCTCCATAAACCCTAAAAAAGGTATAAGAAAAACCCATTAAAGCTCTTCCCTCGACTTCTACAAAATTCACCCGAAAGAGAGAAACCCGTAAAAGGTTTTCATATTTCTTTTTGTTATTTCACTTTAATCTTTTGGAAACCCCAATGGAACAGCCAACCTTCAACTCTCTCCCTCAAAACACCAACACCACAACATCATCTTCCACAGCAAAATCCCAAAAGAAAAAGCTACCAACCCCACAAGAACTCATCTCCCACTATGAGTCACAAGGCCTTGACAACCAAGAGGCCTCTCTCAAGGTCATAGGTGACCTCCAGGCTGCCCTCTTTAGGGTCATAACCTCTGGCAGAGGCAGAAAGGACAAGCTCTTGGCTGAGACCTCAAGAAAGATTGACAGCACCAACAACAGCCTTGCCATTCTCAATATGAAGATTGACTCCAAGCCTGGCTATGGTGAAGCTTTTGGTATTGGGGTTGCTTCTGGGGTGACTTTGAAAGGCATTGAGACTGTTCTGCCTCATGTTCTTAGGGGTTTTGGACAGATTTGGAACACTGTCAGGAATGTCACTAAGGATTGATGTTCTGTTTTTTTTTCTGCCCTTTTTCTTTATTCTTTTTTATTTTTTGGGTTTTTGGGATTTTTTGTTGAATTTGGTTGGTCGGTTTCTTGGGATATTGCAGAAATTTGTAGTGGGAAACTGGGAAAATGCATTTTATTGATGTAAAATTAAATGTAATTTCCATTGAGAAAGTTAGAATTATGCCTTTACTTTAGCCAAGGTACATTTGAATTGGTATTGAATGATAAAACTTTGGCAACAGAATATATAGTTTGGACTGTGACTTCCAATTATTTTTTTTTTTTTTTTTTTTTTTTTTTTTTTTTATATATTTCCAAGTAAAATGATAAAAGTTAAAACTTAATAAGCCTTCTCCTTTTCCACCAAGTCTGACAGAATCAAGTCAAGTCAAGCCAAGCCTAAGCATTTTGATAACTGTGGTTGTGTGGTATACCAATCCATTAAATTACATAACATGAAAAATTAGAATCTAATACAAAATGATCCTAAGCAACCTTTTCTAAAATACTATCATCTACTTCTTTCACAACCCATACGATGAGTTTTTGAACAAAATTGCGTCTGGAAATTCTTGAGGTCTATGCAACAGAACTTCAATGGTCAAGAACTGTATTGCGCACCCTACTTGGGCAATAAAAATTTGGTCATTATCTTGAATATCGATCTACAAGTGCCTTGGCTTTATCTGGTGCAAAAAACCGTGCCTGCGCATGAAACACCATGATTCATAGCTAAATTTCATGGAACACAAAGATTTAGAGATTAGCAACATTCGATGCCATACGAACAGATGCACACAAGGAGAATTAGACATCTAACTTGCCTTATCCACCTTTTTAATATATCATCTCTCTTCAACAACACAACAACAAAACTGACAGATAGTTCATACGGACACAGACACCCAACACCGATCTTGATTTCTTTTTCACCTTCAAAGATGGTTGCAAATACAACAAAATGAAGGAAAAATGAAATGCCATCATTCAAGTTATAGGCCATGGGACTCAACAATGTGGAACAGCACAGGGCTTTCTACTCCAGTACTGTTAAAGGCCTTCAAGTAGGATAATGCCTACAGGAATTTTAAGCCACAGCTAATTGTAGCAGGCATTAGTATGGATGAGATGGTACGCTAAACTGAACATATAATGTGTGTGTGCACGTGTGTGTATGCCTGCAGGTAAACATCTGTAACTACAGGAATATACCTCATCTGCCAATAGACATTCCAATATTTACCTTTATAAACGTCAACTCTTTACATGTAATATGTGTGTGCACGTGCATGCTCTTGTTTCTACAGAAATATAGTTCATCTGCAACCAGACATACATTTACCTGTATAAACATCCTCTCCGCTTCTCCAACTTTACCATTTTCTCTCAAAATAATTCCCTGCAGAACCATTAAAGAGACAACTTTAAAGCAAACACAAGTTCTTTTTATCCAAAATACCAAGTATCTAGCAAAAGAAGACAAGCCAAAATACCTAAGGGAAGAAGAGTTGTCTAAAACAAAAATAGTTCAATGACCTTCAGTTGTGCTTTTTCCTCACTAGGAGACCTTTTGTTGGCACAAAGAATTTCAATAAAACTGAAGTGCCTCCCACATATTCACTTGGAAGCACTTCTTGAAGAAGCACATGTTCTCCAGCACAAACTGAAGTCATTCTATAACCTAGCAAACACTTGCATCTATTTCTACCAAACACAATAAAATACACTTTTAGTTATATGGAATTGCTACCAAGCAAATCTGAAGACCTTAAAGGATGTCGCCAGACATGAGAAATGACATCCTCTACAGTAAAATAACATGCGATGGGATTCTTGGTTAGAGCTAAGTGGCAGACCCTGATTTGTTTTTTTCTTTTCTTTTTCCCTTTCTTAGAACATCCAACCAATCCCCATCTCTTTCTTGAGTTTAGCTGACGTGATTATATGTAAATACATATGCACTGTAAAAAATAAAAAATACTGACAATCTTTAAACAAAAAGGAAGCAAAAGAAAAAGGAATTAAAAAAACCTTAGCCAAGTAACCACGGAAGTCATTTGGATGACTAGAGATGAGCCGATCATAGACAGATACAGCATCACTTACATGACCCCAATCTGAATATGCTTTTCCAAGAAGTAATTCAACCTGATTATTTGTGGCATGACCAAAAGAGAAGAGAGGAAAAAACACAAAAAATTAGATATTGCATAACAAGAAACAATTGATCCGAACATTTTAAAACTTCAAAGAAGGGGTGGGGGGAGAGAGAGAGGTGTGGGGATAAATTTGGAATATTAAAAATTAAAATTGTTTTAAAATATGGTCAAGATAGATTCTTCTCAAAATATTGGTTTGGTTTGGTTTGGTTAAATCCTTTTTATTTAGTTTGGTTTTCTGAACTTGTTAAATCTTTTTGGTTTGGTTTGGTTCTCTCACCTTATAAGCAAAAGCATTAGCCATTTCAGTGATGCCAAAATACGTAATATTATAGAGAATCTGTGACTCACTTGAATAGGGTCCACCTGCAAATTTGCTTCAGTTGTAGTGCTTCCAGCCTTTGCATCTGGATTGCCAGCATTCATACGTTCACGAGAGGCAAGAAGAAACTGAACAGCCTGCAATAAGTTTGATTTTACTTGTAACAAACTCAGTAAAATATTTGTCCCAAAAAAAAACCTCAGTAGAGTACATAGGATAAACAGGGGACAATTGAGATTCGAAATCTCACAACAACAAATAATCAAATACGCAATAAATAATGATTGGTACCAGTAAGCCACCAGATTCCTTTGGTTTTCCAAAGGCCATATGGAAATGAAATACCATAGTCTAGAACAGGTAAAATCATCTTATATGACATATTTAATACCATAAAAGGATTTCTAAGCACCCTGCTAAATTATTTGCACCCTGACTAATGATGTCAATAAGAATGCTGTCACAGGAATATCATAAAATGAAGGTTAGTGCATTTTTATTTCAATTCACAAGAATAAGAAAAAACCTCATCTGGTTTTTTAGCAGCAAGTAATGAATTCGTAAGGCCACGCAGAACTTCAAATTTGAGATCTTTAGACACCTGTCACACAACAACATAACATTCATGTACCACATTTTATTGAACTTATGTTATTAATAATTAATGAAAATTATCAACTAACTAACAATATCAACATATCTTCAGTAATAGAAGTGATGCAAATTAGTTGAGCTTAGTGTGCACAGTTCACAGAGACTGACCATTGAAGAAACCTTATATGCAGCAGCACTCCCTTCATAATCCTTGAGTTCATATTTAACTTCTCCAAGCAAACGAAAAACTTCGGGATCACTTGGTTTCTCCTGTGTACCCACCCTATCAGCGTGATAATTTCCTAGACAGAATATTTTAAACAGCATGTGCCACATACAATGTGCAATAAATCCAAAAGCAAAAACAAGAACAAACCTTAGCCAAGTCCTGAAGCAGAGTGGAAGCCCGAGTATATTCTCCTAATTCTGCCAAGGTTACTGCAGCTCCCTGCAAAGCCCCAAGAGAATATTTGATATGGCTGCCACTTGAGGATTCAGTAACAAAGGAAGAAGAATAGTCTTGCATTTCACACTACAACTCACCTCAAGAGCAGTTGGATCCTTCGGGGAGTTACTAAGCATTGCTTCATATTCTTTCAGCCGAGTCTGCCACAAATCAAAGGTAAACGTGTGAAGGATCTTTTAATACGAAGTAATATGAAAAGACACAAATTTAAAATGCAAAATCAAAAAAATCAGGAAATAGAAATGAAAGAAAGATGCTTAGTCCATCAAAGAGAAGAGAGAAAATAAAAGACTGGCTTCAACTCCTACAGTATAACATACAACAACACCACTAAATGAAAAACGCAAAGACAGAATATTTTGCCCATGAGCATTACCTGAAGTGACACTTTCTCTTCTTCTGACAGTTTGTTACTGGTTACTGCAGCATCCTCAGTAGGACTTAAACTGAAAACTTGAAGACCATATCAAAATAAAATCATTCCTCTGCAATTACTCAACAATCAACTGCTGTAATAAGAAGGATATTAAGAAGATGAGGAAGTCAATAACAAAATACCAATAGTTTAAAACCCTAAAGCAGCCTTGTTCCTTCCCAGATATTAATTCTCTTCATAAAGTAGATTAACTATTGTTTTCAAAACATAAAGAAGAAACAGTAAAAGAATAGATTAACTCCAACGAATTTTGAGATATCAGATTTTAAATTCTGACAGACTGTCAGAAAGATTTATATATAACTAAAAGAAAACAACATAGTTATGTATGTACACAACACATATAGATATACACCTTCCTCTTTAATCAAGTGGATAGAGAGATAGCATAAATCTTTAATGTTTCATGATTTTTCCAGCCAGTCTGAAATCATGTGTCAAGGTAGAGATACGAGAACAATATGGCAAAATCAAGTGGTCATTGACAGACACGAGAAAGATAGAAATATAAGGGTACTTTAATCTGAAAAGACCTTTAATCAACTATGTCATACCTTCCGGAAGGAAGAAAATCTCCAAGAGCAAAAACCAAACCAAAGACCACTACAGCTACACCTACCCCAATCTGTTGCATGAAAACTTTGGATTAGCGATAGGTGTTGTGTAGAAAATGATTCTTGGCATTTATTTACAGTTAGAACGCAGAAAGCAGCAAAGTTTACCTGTGTACCAAGTCCAATTGATTTCTTCTCCTCCTTCTCCAACTCAACAGGTGCATCATAGTCAATTGCCCCAAATTCCTTTTTTTCCACCACTTTTTTCTGCTCAAGTGCTGAACTGAATTTCATGCACAAGGGATGATACTCATTGGAAATAATTCTAAACTAAAAATTATGACTATGGAACCATCCAATCAGCTCTTATGATATGCTAATGCAGCAATGCACACGCACAATTTTTACCTTCTGACTGCTTGCAGACGTTCCTCAAACTCAAGGTCAGCAGGGTTTCTCTTAACCTTTCCATCAAATCTAGAATTCAATCCAGGTGCCTCTATAAACAAAAATGTGACCTTGAATTGAATGTAATGATAACCCAAGAGAAGAATACAACTTATAAGGAGCACAACCCACTAATCAAACAAGAGTGTGGGACTAGAAAATGATTAAACAAGCCTTCAAGTTGGTCATGAAATTTGCAACATATCTGGAAAGGGAAAGTTGGGTAGTTGCCAAAAATAAATAATAATAATAAAAAAAGGTTGATTCACTTACGGGTAGGAACAGCACCCGACCGTTTAGTGGTTGATTCCTGCTCCAAAAATGTTAAGTTTTAGCACAGATTTTTCATTAAAAAGATTACAAATTTAACTAAACTATAAAGAAAGGCTTAATCTTGGTCATCAATTCCAAAAATGGTACCTGATTGAGGTTGTTCTTGTTCCGGTTTTTGTTCTTATTGTTGGTTTTGGTTCCGAAACCAGTTCTGGGCTTCGAATCAGAGCATTGAATTTTGAACTTAACGAAACGACATGTCATCATCGTCATCGCTGTTGTTGCTGCGAGTGACATGACTGTGTTTTTGCAGCTCGTTTTCTCCAAAATTTCAGATTAACGGTCTGCTATGCGACTGTCTGTGTTTCTCTCTCTCTCTTTCTCTGTTTTTTTGGTTTTTTTTTTTGGTGCCAACACAGAGACACAACACAATCTCGTCGAAACTATTTGAGCTAAGTAGGCCCTCCAGATAAGATTGGTGACCCGTCAACAATACTAATGAAAGAAAAACATATTTTTTTTTCTATCGAAATGAAAGAAAAACATATAGTTTTGGTTTCTTCTATTTTGAAACATGTTTTTCCTTTTTCCGTGGAATAAAAAAAATGCAATTTAAGAGTTATTTGGTACATCATCGAAATTGTGAATTCATCAGTGTTGAAATTGAAATTCTAGTACAGATTGCACTCCATTTTTTTACTTGAACAAAAACCATAACAAAAGGCCTAGGTGCAAAGCAGATGAGGAACTCTCCATGGCTATATGATCCACATAAATTTGTTTTGTACTATTTAGCCAACAAAAATACTTCCACCTCATTCTCGATGGTGAACAATACAATAAACTCTCGTCCATAAGTGCACAATTAGCAAAACGAGATACGAAATTGAAATTAGAATCTTAAAGCTACAAACAGCTTAAATTAATCAAACGATGGAATGACAAAACTATAATTTTCCACCCACCATCGTTAAAAGAATGTCCATATAACATAAATAATAATCAGACCCTAGCTTTCTGCAATAGAGGTCTAAATCCATGGCGATGATCACAACACATACTATCTTCCTTGTTGCATATCGTAGAGGATTCAAAATTACGCACCTCAGAAACCATCTTCAAGAACTCAGGCAACTCCAAGTTCCCATACATTTTCTCATCTTTTTTAAGCAAGCTCAAGACTTCTTTGAAGAACACAACATCACATGGCAACACTATGCCTCCACTGGCCTTGAACCCGAACTCCTCCCCAGATTTATCAAGAAGAGCTACGAAGATTGGGAAGTTGAGGAAGTGGGTCGGGATCAAGAATCGGATTCGATCCCATCCAATGTACACAGGAAGGAAGCCGGAGGGAGCGAGAGAAGATTTCACATTGAGGCTTATGGCCTTCCAAAGTTTCATCACTTGTTTGAGTTGGATGGCTTGCCTGATTGTTTTGACCCTTTTGCTTGAGGTTGCCATTAGGAAATGAAAGATGGAGAATGGTGATGACAAGGGTTGGATTGTCATACCGCTCATGCTAATATATCCCATGGTATATATGTTGTGAAACTCATGAAAGTGAGAAGAGTGTATGTATAAGGTTTCCAAATGTAGCTTCTTGAATGTCCATGTACATATTTAATACATTTATTTTTTTAATAAACTACAAGGTAATGCAAGCTTAGCATTGGTTAGCACTAAGACTCAAATGACAACAAATTCCTATCCTATTAAATGCTAAAATCAACGTTTGGTATAAAATACCTAATTTACGCCATAGCTGTTATTGACATTCTAAAAAAATCATCATGCATTGTTCTTTTATAAAAACATAGAAGATAATTTGCACTTCAAGGAGGGCACGATAACTTTTCGATCGGAATGTTATAAAACTTTATCCATATGGAATTTATATATTTTCATGATATTTGGATTCTTCCACCGAAATGTGAATCAGAAACGGATCATGTGTAGCTAGCCCATCTTCATCCACAGAGATATAATTGTTGCCTATCTATCGTTGTATCCAAAGTCTAGCTAACAAGATTATAGCAAGGGTATGTATCTGTTACAGCTCACAAGTCACAACGTCAAAAAATTTAGCAAGGTTCAGTCCTTATTAACCAATAGCACACAAATTGTTATGATCGATGTCTCCAATCTATTTACCTTAATTCTAGCTAAATTCAGATGCATACGCCAGTTGTGTTTTTATATCTTCAAGTGAAAACAAGAAGGATGGCTCTTGGTTTTAACTAAAGTACACTTTGGTCTATTCCAAAATTGGCATCAATGTAATGTCAATGTGAATTTGTGAATGAGGTCTAATTATTCATGGACTGTGAAACTCAATTATAGAGGTGGATTTCATGCGAGTCTCATGATCATCTATAAAAAAAAATGTGGTTAACGCACACTACTTTTTTAAGTTCACACATCTACGAACTATATTCCTGACCACATTTCTCATTCTCAATTATAGTGAACCCCATTCCATGATCACTATAAAAAAATTGTGGCTGAAAAATTCTAGATGGCTTATGCTCATTAATTTATTATTACACTATAACAACGCCAAAAATGCCAACCCCTTAGCTGTATTATATCGACCGTATACATAATGGCAGCCAAATCTATAAAGCACGTGGACAAGCCAAATATAGAAATGGCTGTGAGAATTCCACGGCGGAGCACTCAACAAATCTAGACTCTAAATGGTCTGAATTTCTATTTAAATGTCAACAAAATTTACAGCCAACTTAACAATTAACAAATCCTAAACCGATTATGACTAGTTCCTCCCCAACTCAAAACATGTTGAGTTTCGCAGAGAAAGAGTTTTTTCTTGCGTTATAAGAAACTTTTTCTCTGCGAAAACACTACCCAAAAAAAAAAGGTGTTCTAATTTGTGGTTGTTTGTAAAAAGATTAAAATTCCGACATGAATTCTATCTTCTTATGAATCATGAAACCCTTTTTTTCATGCATGGACTTGGCTCGCCAAGATTTCTCACCCAAGGTTCAAAGCCATACCTAATTTCATCATCATTCATCACCAGCAGTGCAATATGAAGCAGCAGCGAATAAGACACATTGCATGGCCCAAGCACATGAACATCCACCGCCTACGGCTGTGGTTGCCTCCACTCAACCACGAATCTGAAGCTGTTTCCGGAAAGAACATGACCATAAGAATCGCAGAGTCCGGTGAGACCTCTGAGTTGCTCACCGGAGAGCTGTCCGATGGCCGACAGGGTGGTAGTTCGGTGCTGCAAGTTCCAAAAGGGTTCTTGGCAGTTTATGTTGGGCCGGAGCTTCGAAGGTTTGTGATTCCCATGAGCTGTTTGTCATCACCGGATTTTAGGGTTTTGATGGATAGAGTGGCTGAGGAGTACGGATTTGAGCAAGAAGGTGCACTCAAAATCCCTTGTGATGAAGAGGATTTTGAGCATATTTTGGTCAGGTGTTTGGCAAGTAAGAAGAATGATAAGAAGAGAAAGGTGTAATTAATTAATGCAACCTTTTGTTTTTTCTTTTAATCCCTTCTCCTACAATTTAGGCAGAAGCACAATGTGTATAAATTTGGTTCAGAAATTACATACAAAAGAAAAAATTTGTTATCATTTACTTCATCTACTTGGATTGGTTTGAGTTTGAAATTTCTGTTTCATATATATGTTTTTCATGTGGGGATAGCATGCCTTCTTTGAAAGTGCTTTTGGAATTGTCAAAAGCACTTCCAAATAAGTCCTTTTTGCTTCCTCTGGAGAATCATTTATCTAGCTTCTCAAGAAAACATTTGCAACTAATATGCAATTAGCCCTTTGATTTTCAAAACTTACGTGTTCGAAAGGATCAGATTGCACTTCGATCATCAAAACTTAAAAGAGAAAAGAACCACCCAAAAAAAGGGGTTCTGAGACATCCTTGTTTCAATATTATCAATCAATAAAAGAAATGGACCAACATGCACGGGCCCATGGTTTTTTGGATATGGTTAAACCTCTTTTTCATTTTTTTATACAAGCGATAATGTACTTTAATCTAATCTAAACTACGGGAAGGGGAAGTCAAACTCGGGTGCAGAGTGGGGAGCACATCCCCTCTAACCAATTTGACTATGCCAATGTCTGCCTATTTCTTTTCTTTTCATTTATTACAATACTATTTTGAATTATAAAATAAAATTTTGAAATACAAATAAATAAAATGAATAAAAAATGATAGCAATGGGAGTTGCATGTGAGTTTTGATAGCAGAAGCTTGAGGTTTCAGTATCATGCTCAGGGCTGGCAGCAGCAGGATAACTCAGATGTCCGTAAACTGAGTCCATTATAATAATAATATGTTATATGTATGCAATTTAATTAACAAACGCTACTTGCATTTCTCTCAGTTCCCACAATGCCTTGAGCAAAGCATTACATTGGTTATTGGAAGATGCTGTTGGAAAAAAAAATAATAATTTAAAGTCTCTGCAAACCCTGTGCCGACTAGTCTACACAGTTCTCAACTAGAAAACATTCAAAAGCACTTCCACAGCAGAAGCACCATTTCTGTCATGGATGTTATTTCCTTTCAAAGCAAAGATTAAATTCATCACTTCATCATCATATGAAGATTATGAGATTTCTCATTTTCAGGACCGCTGCTTTTATTCTCTCCCCTGTTTTGACTTGGAGCTAAACTTATAGAGAGATTCTTTTTCTTCCTCTCATCAGTCATTAATTCATGGGATAAAAACTCAGAAAATTTGCAGTGAAATTTAAATCCTAAACTAAATAATATTTCTGCTGTTGAATGATGAAAACTTCATATCCCTTGCACTAAAAGTGGTGGTAGATAGATACAACATAGCTTACTTGGATCTTGATAAATGATATCCAATCCAACTAGTAAACTAATAACTCCCCTGCAGAACATGAAATCTACCTTATTATTAATTCATCTCTAAATCCTCCTCTAATCACACTGTGCTCTCTTTCCATTACATTTATCTTCACAAAATGATGCAAAAGAAAGACGAAAAATATGGTGAAGAACATGTACTCAAAATCAAGAGCATTATCATCTACACATTTGGGGGTGATGAGAAGGTGTAAGCTCACAATCTGATGGAGAGGAGCAAAAACCAATCTTGTCTTTCTCTGCACTAATGAATCCAAACTCATTGTGCAAGAAGAACACCTCCCTTTTCTCTTCAACCACCTTCAAGATCTTCTCAAATACAGTCACTTCACATGGAATCTTGAGCACACCTTCTTGCTGAAACCCGAACTCCTCTTCGGCTTCCCGGAGCAGAATCCGAAAAGCTTGGTGCCCCAAGTACTCAGTTGGGATGATGAATCTCTTCAGCTCCTTCCCAACACAAATGGCAAGAAACCCTTTCGGTACAACGTCGTTTTGAGCCGCTGAGACATCTGAGAAGGAGAGTGTTCTCTTAATAAACTTCATGCTTCTGCTGCTGCTAATAGAAGTAGAACTGTTGAGACTATTTGTGCTATTGGTTGAGGATGAATTGGTGCTGGGGTTTGTGTTTTTAGGGGCATTTGCTAGCTTCTTCCACTTCTTTAGGATCTGTTGGAGCCTAACAATCTCTCTGATCTTGTTAGACTTCTTTGAATCCATGAAGTAGAAATGGGGCTAGCTAGCAGATGCAGGACAAAAGTTGGGGTTTGTGTTCTGCTCTTCTTAGTTCATTGGTGTGAAGTCTCAAGCAGGTGGAAGGATTTAAAGGAGCTGGAGAGGCTGAGAGTGATGAATTGCTTGCAATATTTTAATTGTTTGGGGAAATATTTTATTTGCTATTATCATTACATTTCGGGTACGTCGGTTGCTGGTGCAACTGCCTCAAGACTCAGAACCCATCAAGGTCTTTGTTTGTTTAATCCCTAGGTATCTAGTGGCACCTGCTACCTTCCAGATTACTGAAGCCTGACTATCTTGGTTTTTGCATTTTCTTTTACTGTTTTTATTTATTTATTCCCTCCCTTAAGTTCACAAAATTAGGGTTGTTAGATTCTAAGTTCAAATATTGTCACCCAGAGGAAACTGGAAGAAGAAAAAAACAACTAAAGGGAAAACAAGTCTCCAACAAAGTCACAACAGCATGAATTTGAAACAAGTAAAGGGAAGAACAAGTCTTTAACTTTGCTCCAAGTCTCCAACAAGGTCACAAAAGCATGAATTTGAAATGACATGCTTCACCAAAACCATTTGAGATTTATTTCATGTTTTTATTGGTTAAACTATATGGATAGTCTTGATTAAGTAACCTTACATTACAAAAGATTTGTACAATAATATTCCACAATGTAAGATCTAGAAAAATTAATAATCCCAAAATGGAATCTAATACATGTATATATGGTTATCCGTAGAATTGTTTTTAATTTTCCCACACTAATATTCTTAGCCAATCCACTCCATTGGATCCATGCAAATTTAAGTTTTTGTTAGATCTACATGCACATATCATTGGATCCTCCTTTTTTTCTCCCCTTTTCTTTCCGGGAGCATTTTTGCTCACTACTTTAACCCAAGATTTATGCTCATCGCCCTTCTCAACACTTGACACGTGTTTATAAGCATAAACAGGGTTACATAAATCAAAGTAAAAAAGTTAACCATAGTTATACCTATGAACACGTGTCAAGTATTAAGAAGGGTAGTGAGCATACATCCTGGGTTAAAGTGGTGAGCAAAAATATTTCCCTTCTTTCCTCTAATCTTATATGTCCAATTGCAAGTTAATTAAAAGTAGAATCTAATTAATCAATCCATCCCATTTTTGCAATTAATGTATACATATAATACTTAATTTGTCATTTTCAAAACCAAAATTCCAACAGTTCAAGCTCATCCAGCTCCCTCCTCCCTCAGTATATATTGAAGATTTATTATTAGAGACTTTTTCTGAATTAGGGTTGAGCTACTTTTACCTCTCTGACTATGCCCATGTTTGGATGTCAGAAATTTTTTGGCAAAGATAGTGTTTTTTAATTGCAACTGGTTTATGCGGCAACTGCCTTAACAGTCAAAAATCCCACAAGGCATCCAGAGGGATTTGCCAAAATTATGAACTCTCCAAGCTTTTTCTGTCTTGATATCCGTACTTGATGTCTATTTAATCTTTTTAATTGAATTGGTATATTGTTTATTAAGGTTTGAGATGCTTAGAAGATCGTGGAAGATGGCACCCTATGGAATTCCATGTGAAAAGCACTTATTTTAATCCAAAATTAGAGAGAAATAATCCAATAAAATAGTAATTAGCTCACAAGTCGAAACGGATGTACATAGAGAGAACATGGAAGTCCTTTTCATTCTACCAATGATCACTAATTATGCATCCTTTTCTAATCGTTTGACTAACACTGCATTAATTAAATGATTAGTTGGGGTATGTTGATTTTGATACAAGAAAACTTTATGTCATATTTTAAGATGGGAAATCTTCAATTGCAGAGCATCTCATAATTACTACTCGACTTTTTTTTTTTTTTTTTTTTTTTTTTTTTTTTTTTTTTTAAAAGTATTGTAGCACCAGCCCAAAGTTTATATGCATGTTTAAAAGGAGTATTTATATGTGAGGTTTGTTTTTTTTATTTTATTTTAATTTTTTGCAACCAACCAATTGAACATAATGTGTGCCCTTTCAATTAGGATTCAACTACTTAATTCACTAAAAACTATATAAAATATCATAATTGTAACGAAAAAATATCTAAGATTACCTTCTTCTCTCTTAAACAGCAATGGAAGTGATTACGAAGTAAGTGTATATATTTTCTCGTTTTATATTATGTTATTAAATTGTCAATTTGTATTACATTATAAAAAGACATATTGACCTAAAACAATAATTTATCTCAACAGCTTTAATGTCTCTCTTTTTTAATCAAATAGGGAGAAGCAATAGAATTAGAGACACTTTTTATAACTGAAAAAAGAAAAACCACTAAACTAAGAGTTATCTTACCAATTATCTCCAACTATTTTTTGAACTCCCTGTTTTGTCAACAGACATTGTATTATATAATGAGTATTGATGTAGATGTATAGGTTAGGCAAGTTGGTCTGTGTACTCCCGCCTCCTTACACTCAAATTCGAATCTCCTCGTAAATTAGATTAATTTAAAGTACTTCAGTGTTGACAAATGAACTCAAGTCCAACTATTATATGGAATGGATCCTATTTAAATTATTAAGAGCATCCACAATGGGCTCCCTAAACCACATTCTTAGACAAATTTTAGGGATGAATTGTAAAAATGCAATTCCAACCATGCTTCCTATCCACCTTCTAAAATATGGAGTCCTCTAGGAGCTCCTAAATATGAGGAGAGAGAAATGACTCATAGGGACTCCCTATAATTTAATGAGTATTTCAAACCTTTATAATTAATGCTAATTTCTTTTTTTTTTTTTTTTTTTAAAAGAGATGGACCAATTAAAAAAGAGTTATAGCATTTCTGACTCTCCAAATTAGGGAGTATGGTTGTAGTTGAAATTTTTTAGAGAGCTCCTAAAATGGCTTTCTTATATTTTTAGCTAAATTTTAGCTAAGAAATAAATAGCATCATTGTGGATGCTCTAAGTGTGCCAATTAACAAATAGGGAATGAAACTATGGGTCATGCAACCAACATGTATTAAAATAGGAAGTAATAATGGACACTAATTATTTGGTCAAAGGTCAAAGGAGATTGACAATCGTACAATTAGATGTAGAGGGTTCTTTAATTGGGTTCTGGTTTTGGTTATTACCTAGATATTGGGATAGGTGTCTTTCATTATCTTAAACACTGGATGATTGCAATGCACATGATGAAGGAGCACAAAGTCCGTACTTCGATTGGGTTTTAATTATGGCTTTTCAGAGGGGTTCGATCGATCTAGTTTTAACTTTTCTTTGTTTCTTGATGATCACATGACATGAGCTCCCCTTGGTTTTGGACTTTATTTAAACAAATTAAGAAATCAAATAAATAAATATAGAATCTCTTTGTGCATGTGTACCTCAGTTATAGTGCATCCACTTACTAATAGGACATTTGGCACATTAAACGCTATTCGATATGTAAATTTGGACAATGAATCAAGAATTTATCATCCATATTATAAGTTCTATAACTTTTTTCTGTGAAACGCATTCTTTTACCTGAAACCCTAATTCCGTCACTGAATGCATATAAATATAATGTATAGAAGGGTATAGAAAGTTTCGTATGAAGTGGATATTAGTTTCTCTGAGCGAGAATGCATATGCATGCATGCAACGCAAACATTAATAATTGATGCAGAAAAAATATGGGCCAGAAGAGGTGCATCTCCAAGTACTGCAGAAGGAGATGAAAGAGATCATGTGGGGAGGGGTCAGGTCTTTCTCAAATTTCCTTCGAATTGAGGCAGCAGATAGAATGGATATATCGTCTGTCACACTGTGAACTTAATAACAAAATCTGGTGTCTCTGACTCACTCACTTTTACATGTAATATATGCATATCTCAATTCCATTAATGTGTGATTCTTCAGAAATAAAGCTACCAATGGGCCCTCCAATCATATATATTGTTGTACCCCTAATATATTAATTTAGCATATCTTTATGGGCTCTTTCCAATCATGCCTTTTTTTTCATGATGAAGTTCCCACTACAGTTGGTATGGCCTCTGACAAAAATATTAGAAATGAAAAATTTGTTATGCATAATGCTTGTAATATTACATTCTTCCCAAGAACATTATTTATGTGAACTTGCCTTCTCTTCTTTTTTCTTTACACAAAGGGGATAACTATGAGTGAAAGTATGATTTTTCTTTATCATTTGAGTTATAAGTCATTTATTCGAGTATAAGTTCAACATAAGTATTATTTCTACATGACATAGACGTATAAGTATTATTTCAATATCCCCACAATTGCTTAAAAAGTTTGTCGATATAATTTTATCGATATTGTATCTAGGTAAAACAGAAACCTACACTTCTCAACTTAATTTATTACACCTAATTTGTTAGACTGCCAATTATAAGTGCACAGTCGAACAAAATTATTTTATTTTATTTTCATCAACGAGAGTGAAGGACTCGAACTTATTCTTAAATTTAAGAAGAGAAATATCACTAATAAAAACCGTGAATCATAATAGTTTTAATTGACCGTTAAGATGCTAAGAAATCATTGCACAAAATAGATGCCAAAGCATTGTCAGTTCCAAAAAGAAAGAATAAGGTGTGCTAACTAAGGAGAGTGTTATACCATATCACCATGTGGAAACCATTTCTTGATGGACAAATAGTTTGCGTTCGAGAGAGGAACACCGCCGCGCAGAGGAAAAAGAATATAAGATTTCTACATCTGAACGTTAGGCGTCTCAAAAACTATTCTTTTTGACATGTGATGTGATGAATTTACCTCTCTGATTTATTACCCAATTGCATCAAGGCATGTGGATCTCCACATGATTTCCTGTGGTGGGTAATATTGCTTCAGCAATAAGATTTCAACAAAGAAAATTTGAAGCAAATGCATCGGTTTGTGAACCCTTCATCGCACACCCAAAAAGGTTGACACTTTGACAATAATGGTGACCTAGAAAAAAAAAAGTGCTTGAATTAATATATATGAATCAATTATACAACTTGTTGAACAAATCTGTGACCACCATTTTCATTAATCATTGTATAAGAATACTGTTTTTAGACTAATCATCATTGTATAAGAATACACAATTAGATAAGTTTGGTTGACCATATGTATACTTGTACACTTCCATATATAGATGCATGCATCTTGTCGTACCTCCATTTTCCTAGCCCCCTTCAAAAGTTGCTTCTATATTTGGCTTAGGGTTCAGTAACATTTCAGTTTCTTGAATAGCTTGAGGTTTACAAAACTCGATGCTTCTTTTGGCAAATGAATTTTGCTACGGATATAGGTGATTTTCAACAGTTGATGCATGTAGGATAACTCTCGATCATTTATATAATATGAATCTCACATACATCAACAACTAGATGCGAGACGACTCACCCAAAAAATTGGTTTTTCGTAAATATCAAACCCAACTACTCTCATTATCTTAGTTGCATGTGGATATATCATTGCATGGTTGTTGCATGAGATGAGAGGATATGGCATATGCCAGGGCAATGATTGTACGATCTGATTCATTTCTCTAATATTTCAATTAGACCTACATTTGGTTTTGGACCCAAATTTAATATCGACCCCCTCTCCCCAATAAGTCTCAGACAGAGGGTGTGAGGTCGTGGGTTCTAACACTTACTGGGAGTGTCATCTGCGGGTTGGCAAAAATTATTGACTTTTTTTTTTTTTTTTTTTTTTTTTTTTTGTAACATGACTCTTATGTGACAAACAAGCATGGAAAATACAGTCGATAATGTCGGTGAGATTTAAGGTCAATTCCAGAATGTGATGATGGAGGCGCTTACAAGTAACAGCCAGCATAATCCAAATGATGAGCTATCTTATGCAACATAGAATAATTGTTATCGAAAAGCTGGTAGGTTGATGAGATGATGAAGTTGGTAAATGATATTTTAATACGGAACTTGTGGGGTTGGCAAAAACAAGGGCTACAAGGAATTGGTTGGAGCAATTAATCATTGGAAAATAGAGGGTTAAGGGATGATGCCACGTCACATGCCCGGTGGATGGATATAAGAGGATGAACACTGAATCTTCTGGTAGAGATGCATGTATAGCATATATACTAAGTGAAAATGAGTTTGAAGATTGAGAGGAAGATTATAGAATTGATGTTTCTTTAAGCATATGAAAATTTTGAACTAAGAAATGCAAAATGACTAGTATTTACATCAACTGACATTATATACACATGATCTAAGGAAAACCATAGAAAGGATGCTAACTAATCTATTGTGGTACACCAATCAAAAAACTTTTACACATGGCATACAAACCCCTTACCAGAAAATTTCAGGTGAAGCTCGTTCACATCGGAACCCCTGTCTCCTGCTCTTGGTTCTCCAATTGCAGTCTGCAACAACTTACAGGTTCTCCATCTCATTCTCAAAAAGATGAATGGAAAATTTAGGCTCCAATCCACGACGAGCAGGTAGCGTTGGTGCTGTGCGAGGAAGTTCACTGGTTAAGGATGTTAGGCAAACAAACACCGCAAACCAGTACAAAACATTGACAACCAAGAATGCAGTTTCAAATAACATACGTTAACAACCATGATCAAATTTATAATGTAACTTGCAGTAAAATATAGGTGCCATGCTAGAAGAAACATATCATACCTAGATAAAAACAGACAAGCTAATCTTTCCTTGTCTTGGGTGGTCTTATACCACCACTTGCAGTTGAGGAAGAGGATGGAGGTCTTTTAGAAGGCACAGGTTTCATTGATGTTTCAGACTTCTTTGAAGGAATAAGAGCTGAGTAAAGAATAGCATCAACAGCTTCGCGCTGTTTTTTCCTTTTTGCAATTAAATCTTGAGAAGTTCCAGCTTGATTTGAAGCTCTAACTCCATCACTTGCATCCTTAGTTTGATTTGCAGGAGCTGAAACTTGATTTGTCTGGCTTCTGTCACCCTCAGAAGCTCTCTTAGCCCTTTTTGATTCTTGTGATTTCATAGATCTACCATCATCTGTTCTTTGTTCAGAGTTATCTGCATCCCTTTTCGAAGTTTCAAATTTAACTTTTCTCTTTTTTCTGCTTTCTTTATCTTCATCTGTAGCATGATCCCTCGACATTGCTGACTTCACCTCCTTGGAAATTTTATTGTGGCCATCTGGAATGGCATCAGTAGAAAGGCCATCCTTCACTGGTAAATCAGGTTCGTCTCTAGCACTTACTTTTTTTATTCTAGTTTTTTCTTTAGTTGCTGAAAAATCTGTTTCACCTCCATTAGGCCTTCTTTTACTCTGCGCAACATGATCAATGTGTTTTGTTTTTCTTTCAAGTGTTTCCTTTGCACTGCGTTCACTTTTTCTTGCATGCTGATGACTTGTATCTTTAATCTTTTGAACACGTTGTGGCTCTAATGAATCAGTACCAAATTTTTTCTCGGAAGCTGTTTTGAACATGTCCTTGTACGGCTTTTCAGCTGTTATAACCAAATTTCTTTTTTGAGCATCTTTTACAAGAGCAGTCCAGTTTTCGTTTGTCTGCAAAGTCCTTGCGTTACCCAAAATCCAAAGTGAGAATTTGGCTCTTGTCAAAGCAACATTCATCCGTCTCACATCAGCAACAAACCCAATACTGCTGGAGTTCCTTCCAGGTGCCTCTGCTGCTCTAACAGTGGAAAGTATCAATATATCAACCTCCCGGCCTTGGAAGCCATCAATAGTATTAAGTTCCATTTCATCTAAGGTAGAAGATCCAAATGCACTAGAAAAACGAGAGCGCAACAGCGAGAGCTGACACTTATATGGAGTTATGATGCCAATTCTTCCACCAACAAATTCAGAAGGGTACCTAAGCAACATATCCACTATATAAGCAATCACCCAAAAATCAATAACTAATCTTGAAGGAGTCTGGGTACCAAGGCAACGTATCCAGTATACAATATTTGAAGCAATCAATAACTTAATTTTAAGAAAAAGGAGACTCAGTACCTCTTTTTGAAAAACCTAAGTAATTCAACTGCAGCATCAGCTTCGTGCTCATTATACAGGGACAAGGCACTAGCATTCTTACCCCGAAGCTCCCGGCCGTCAATAACATCATAAAATAGATAAGGTCCAAGACCTTCAGTCTCGTGAAATGGTGCTGATTTGCTAGACATGTGATCGCCATTCAGCAACTTCTTCTCATAAAAATGCAAAGAAGGAAACAGACATATTTCTGGGTGCATCCTATACTGCAAATAATAATGTGCAAGAAAAATTTTCAGGTTCTAAACAAGAGCACAGTCATACCGCACCTCACTCAGAAACAGTAACAGTGGCAGTAACAGCAGTAGTAGTGGACAATTTAGTAATAGTACAATAACATAGAAATAACCTTAGAAGTAGTAGCAGCAGCAGTAGTAGAAGAAAGCATACAATAAGTTTGCAAACAATGATGAATGATCATGTAAAAAGCAAAAGGTTAACAAAAAAAAATTAAATATATTTATAACTCGCGAATTATGCAGCATTAAACTACTACCTTCCTCCCTTTGAAATGGAAAATTTTGACCGTCGAAAGACATGAGGCATTCTTATAAGCCTACAAACACTCAAATTACAGCCAATAAGAGCGAGGCAAATGCCACTTTAATATGGGACCCCAGTTGCTTTCTGGAATCCAACCGAATAATCTTTTTGTACACTTCCATTACACCAACATAAAAAAATAAAAAATATACAGCAGAAATTGTACAATTTATAGCCAAGTTCCAATAACAAAACACTCCTAAATATGGCCAGAACACATCATCATATTATATCATGCACTCCTTCGGAAAGAGAACGCTATCTTTACCAACACAATAAGTATATAACATTAGAATGGGAAAGGGGTGGCGAATTCTTGAAATTTTACTCTACCTGTTTGGTCAGCATAATAACTGGGTGCCCTGCTCTTTGTAAACGTTCGAACATGCTGCACTCATATAGAAATTTACTGGCAACATTTGAGAGAACTGTTGCAGGAAGTTGCTTTGGATCGCCAACCTTTAACATTAATTTCAAATTTCAGCACTACCTAACAATAGAAAATTCTTATGTAATCAACTTAAACACTCCTTACCATGATACATTTGGTTCCATTTGACTTTAAAAGCTGAAGAGGAATAAGAGTAGCAGGTTCCAGAGCCTGTTGTAACAAGCAGCAACGCTCAAAAGGTAAGAAAGAAAGAATCCACAACTATTGTTATTAATATTAAAAAGTTGACAGACTTTACTTGAGCAGCTTCATCAATAACAACAGCATCAAAAAGAGTATGTTCAGATGGACTGCCAAACTTATGACTTGACATAGATTCAGAACACACTCCGTAAAGGTCTCCCCCACAGCCACTTAATGTAGTTACCACAATTTCAGCTTCTCTCAGTATAGACTTCCGCAGTTTAAATTTAAGTCCTCTGATTTCTTCGTTAGTTTTCTTCTCCTGCTGCTGAACAGTACTAAGATCCTTATATATTTGCTTCTTTTGCTCATAAAGTTTTCTTAACTTGAAAGCTATCTCTGCATCAGACATTTCCTTCCCATCATCCCCCTTATAACTATCATCCTCAGAAGACTTTTTAAGGTCAGGATTTTGATCATTTAAGTTAGCACGCTTGGCTTCAAAGAATCTAATACGATCGACTAACTTTTCTAGATTAGAGCGCAGTGCAATTGAAGAATCCACACTCAAATCATTCTTAGCATCAATCAATTTCATCCTCTCATCTGCCAACCGTTGATCGACAAGTGTATCAATAAAGAATGGCAGCGAATTTGGATGAACCGTTTTTGCATTTCCAACCCTCACAAGATATGGCTTATACATCTTTCCATCACTGCCATACAGCCCTTGGCTAGAAATCCTTGACACTAACTCATCAACAGCAGCATTAGATTGAGCACAGATGAGCACCCTTCCTCTCAAGTAACTTTCTACAGCTTTGGTATTCCTTTGTACATCATCATTCAGTTGTCTAGCCAAGGCTGCATCCTGCCACGCCCTTGCAATGGCAGCAGCCTGGTTAATCTTGGGACCTGAAATTTGTTTCGAACTCCCAGCCAGAGTATTTCTTTCAGGACCTGTCTTATGTGAAGGGGAAGCAAGCAAAGCACTGACAATGGCCACAATAGTTCTTGTCTTACCAGTACCTACATATATGATATATGCAATTAAATCCAATTAACAAATGATAAATCAATTAGTTTAGATCTCTGAAAGTTAGGCGAGGTAAACCACAAACCTGGAGGACCCTGGATAAGAGATAATTCAAAATCTTTCGTCCGCCTAGATGTTCCAGTGGCAATACTAATAGCCTGAAGTTGACTCTCATTAAAGGATGACTTCAGTACTTGCTGCAACGGTCGGGACAGTTTACTCAGATCTACTTCCTTGCTTTCACTAGAATCATAAGAATCATTGACTGGCTTCAAAATAATTGGAAGTAAGGGGATATCCTTTATTGATGATAATGCCTGAAATTCACGAAGTTGAGGTGTAATGTTCATAATACGACTTGCATGCCATTTACTACGTTCAAGGAGGTTCCTTCTGGCTTGATGCAAACGTGAAGTACCATTCAGAAGATAAAACCTGATGAGTAGTAAACTTAACCTTCGCTTATTGTCTCTCTCGCGCCTCTCCACCTGAGAAACACAAAGATTATTTTAGCATAAAAAAAAAAAATATATATATATATATATATATAGAAATTTGTTTTCTAGCATGATATAAAGATATAGATGTGCATAGATGTGTGCATACCAAAGTTGCTCACAGAGTTTATCTTCTACAATGAAAATGTAGCAGAAAATTCTATCGTATAGACGTGAATCTAGCTCTTCTAAACCTGATAACACTTTTGGGCACTCATAAGTGATTAAACTTTAGAATGTTTCGCTATTCTTTTTCATTCTTACTATTTTCAAAGAAGATTTTAATCTTCATCAGCAGACAAAGCAACATCCTGATCATCATTAAAACATACAAATCACTTTTCATGTAGGAATATCACAACAAACTTACTAGTTGCATGACTAAATATGAAGGAATACCTTCCCAAGCACATGAACATCATGTGAACATTTTGTGGGGGCTCTTTTGTTAGCAATACAAGATCGTTTTCTGAGAAGTTGCTTGATGCTGTAGAATCATTGACATCATGAGAAAAGCGAACAAGATGAAAATCATCAATTCTCTCAACTGAAAGCACTGATAAACTGCCAAAGTACATCTCTTCCCATGAAGACATTTCAAGAAATGAACTATGTAACTGTGCTTTAAACTCCTCCAAAACCAATGGACAAAAGATTTCAACATACTGTTCAGGTGAATTGAACTGCACAGGAACCTCCTTTAATTTCGCAACTTTATGGTTATCATTTGCACTTCCAGATGCAACCCCCACTAGAGCAAAGTAATCTAACTCTAAGATAGGTCTATACCATTCATCAAGCCTTGGCGGCTTGAACCTTTTTCGAACTTCCATCCTCTGTAAATGACCAGGTCTGTTCTGAAAAGGTGATCTAAGCTGAATAAGTTGTCGCTTAGGACCAGGAATGCTTGTCTTTGTCAGAAGTGACTGCTGAGGTCTGACCGAATTGAGAGCAGGCTCTAATGAATTGTCTTTGGCATCGCATACTATCTGTTTCAACACAGTGTTGTCTTCTTTCAAGACCTCATTGTTGGAGGCTTGATTCAACTTTTGGAACTGACAGCACCGTCAGATGAGTTATTCAAATTAATTTTATCCTGGAATTTTTCAGAATCAATTATACTGCATTCAGGGATTATTTCTTTCCTGCTATTATCTACATCTTTTGATTTGAGCGAAGAAGAAACATGTGGCATTTTTCCTCTGATCTATCAAAATCCTGTTTCTGATAAGCAAGGCCAGCACCCTCTGTAGCATCTCTTTTCTGGAAGGCCTTGAAAGAATCCTTGTAAGTGTCTGCACCAGAAATATTCTTCGCAGGTTCAGTATAAGAAGCGCTTTTATCAGCACTACAAGCAATTTTCTTGTCACCCACCATGCACGGACTCATCTTAGTATCAGACAAAATTACTTCACTGGGTGAAACTGCTTCAGTTTCATCATCAGAAAGGACAATCATACCATCCCTACACTTTCTGTTATCGACCAATGGCGACTGCAGGATTTGAACATCTGGTTCCTTGATTGGCAAGGGCTGCATAACTGGAGCTGAATACTTCTTCTCAAAAGATAACCCTTCAGGAAACAAAGCATTTGAACAGAGGTCGGTCTTTCCCACACTAGAAGAGGCTTCCTTGGATAAAGAAACTGAAAGGAGTGCCACTTGTTCCATCAATTGATCCATGGAAACGCAATCTAGATTTAGAAGGCACAACACATAAAAAACTGTTAGTTTCAATAGTGAAAAATGGTCACTGCTTCAACAGAAGAGAAGGGGGTGAGGTGCTCATTGCAAGATAGTAATGTTTTTTTTGCATCAATGTATATCAATATAGAAAGCTCACCGGATGAAATTAGATTTTCAATGGTGCCGATTGTTGATGTGATAGAACTGTTGCAAAACCCTTTTAGCAATTTCAGCAAGGAGTGATTGTTCGTTGCCAGTATACGACCCACAGTTTTAAGTGATGACTTTCCCCAATCCATAAAATCATGAAGCCATGAGAAGTCATGTGTATTTTCCTTTGTTCCAGAAAATCCAGACTGTTTATGACATAAACAGTATATATTTTCAAACACACAAGGGAGGATCTCAAGTATTCGGACACAAGTCATCTGAAACAAAATGTAAGTGAAAATAATAAGAATTCCAGCTTAATAGAACCCAGATATAACGCATCAAAGAAGCTGAGATCCACTTTTCCTTCCTTTTTGTAGGAATTGTTGAACTCGTATAGTTCCAAAAATCACTAAAAACTAAAACTGCACGTAAAAAACAATACTCAGGTGCACACAACACATGCACAGAGAGAGAGAGAGAGAGAGGAGAGGAGAGAGAGAGAGAGAGGACAAGTATTTTACTTCATCTAATAAGTTACCCCACAGCCCACCCCAAGGAAAAAGAAATGCTACCAGTACCCATAAGTACAACACCAAGAAGTTGTCTTCACTATTCGAATAACCAAAATAGACTTGTCATTCACAATTAGAAACACTACCTGACAAACACTGTAATCAATAAATGCTTTTCCTTCTAATAAGCACCTGCAGATGGAAGGCCATGCAGTTTCTGATAGCAAGTAATAAAATCTTTCCAGTAAATTTGAGTCAACATTTGACGGATGGCCATTGACATTGACAGGTGAGGAATCAAAGACTGGCTGCCTAAGAAATCCACCTTGGGAAGAAAACTTCGTTGTATTTAAGTGGTCAGGTTCTGGAAAGTCCGCAGCACGTGAATCCCCGTCAATAAGTAATCTCCGAAGAACAAAGAAAAAATGATGTAGGGTCTGAAACTTTAATATAACAGTATCCAGTTGGACCTGAAAAATTGAAATGAACTGTAGTAGAAAAAGAACAGAAGCAAAGGATATCACAATAAGGATAACTATTCTGTAAAACTTAATGACTGTAACACTGGTAATACACACTACCAGCATTTCAGAACTTATGTTCTACCCATTAAACATAGACCTATACGTTCTTTCTCTATCTGTGACCATTTCCTGACGAGAGGAAAAGGGACCCACGTGACTTCACATTCTAATTAAAATTAGCATGCCTGTTTATCTAAACATAGAAGGTCAGGACACCTATAGCCTCTTTTAACTAATCAAGAAAATGACAATTAAATAAAATACGGATCAGAGAGAGATAGCACGAAACTTGGACCTCTTTTTAGAGGTCAAATAAAATGAGTGTCCATCAAAGTATAAGTTTATTGTAATTATAAATTCATCATCAACAGAGAAGTTTATTGAAATTATGAATCAAGCTAATTAGTTGATTTAAAATTGAACGCATGTACAGATGCACTTAGTTATATACTAGACTAACGGGACAGATACGTGAACTAAATGCTGCTGCTATATATCAGTAGTTTCAATTTTCAAGAAATTTGATGAAATTGATGAAGCAAAAGTATTACCAGTTTCACAGCATGTCTCAAGCCCAAAAGGACAGCAGACAATGAAGATCCGTAAGAACATAGGAATTTCAAACTACTAGCAAGACCCTGTGTATTGGAAACCTGTTCCACGATGCACTTGCCAAATTTCCTCACATTCTGCATCACATAGAGATTAATGCAAGACAAAAAAATTAAAACAGACACAATAGAAGATGCAAACAATAAGTAAAATTAAATGATAACATTATGAGGTCCAATTAAGTGGCATCTAAGCTATAAATATATGTTTTCTGGGCTAAAAGTAAAAATAGTATAAATAACTGTTGGAATCCAATAATTACATCATTGGGATCTATAAGTGAAAGGAACAAGCTTTCACCCATCCTTGGCTCCCATGTCCACTGTTTACGAAGTTCCCCCTGCCCCAAATGAACCAGAAAATGTGATGTTAACCTGTAACACACCACCATGTTAGTATTAAAAGACTCACAAAGTCCACCAGGAACAAAGTATGCACAAAATGGAAGCTATAGCACATAAACTGAAAAATATAGCAGCATTTCTATTACATAAGTAACAAAGGTAAGAAGAATGAATGGAACGAAAATAACCTGTTGAATGTTCGTATTAAAGGAAGAGACATTGTTGAGACTTTAATTGAGTTTTTTGACTCCTTCCCATCTCCACCATCATCGGAACCAGTGGGGACCTTCCACCCAAAGGTTGAAGATATTTCTGTAGCTAAGGATGAAAGCCAGGTTCTGACTGGAAGAGCACTTTCTGCACCAGTCTCAGGTTCTACCATAGGAAAACGAGATCGCGCCCAGAAAACAGCCTTGGAAAACGATATAGGAAGAATTGATGGATTGATGTCAACAAGGACATCAATCCATAACATTGGAATGCACATCCAGTCTCCAAACTCCCGAGATGTAATTTTACTTTGAATGCTAAATTCACTCCATGAACTATTATCCTTCTCTTCAGCATCCACAGAAAATGGGAGCCCCTCATCATCTTCATCATTCAACTCATAAGACATGCTTCTTTCAGAACCCACGGTTGGGTGGGTATTCAACACTGAGCTTATTAACACAGCAGCATCAGACACCATGATAGTTTGTATAAGATCAAAGGCAGGTTGTCTTAGAGAACTGTGAAGCGAAGAATCCTTCAGAGATGACACAAGAGAAGGGCCCCTGTCAAATACAAACAGATTAATCAGGCAACAGTAATGTTGTGCAAAACCCTTGACCAATTAAATAAACAACAAGAAGACACAAATAAATATGTGATTGAGATAACCCATATGCATAATTTCTCTAAAACACATAAAATCCAGTGAGAAAGAGCATCAGGAAGGAAATTTGAATTCCCTTCTTTGTTTTTGGCAAGGAAAACCAGAGCAATAGTACAGGACCTTCATCAATCTTTTATACCAGATATTTATGATTAATATGAAGACAGGAACTAATTTCTCTGCAACACTCAACCCCAGGAGAAAATTATTTTCGGACGGAAGTCTCCCCTATTCCCTCCTATAGTTTGCAAAAATATCTGGCAAAAACGAATGACAGAAAATACATATTCCAAACTGAAAAGTAATAGCATAATCAACTTCATGTCATTTGTTTTCTCCCCAGAAATAGCCTCCACAGATATATCAAATCAATGATAGATAAATTACATACCACATATGTGCACATTCAGATGGAGGACAAGGCGGGTTCATTGTGTAACCTCGATGCACAATTAGAAGGGCTATCTGAAAATGAAAACTTGCAATAAATAAAGCAAAGATAATGCAGAAAATAAAACTGTCTTACAATAATAATGAGAAGATGCATAATCTAACTAAACACAAGATACCGCACGTATTACAATGTAAGGGAAGAAATAAAACCTGACAAGCCTTTTGTCTCGTTAAGCCACTGAAGTTACTGCTCACGGGAACCTGAATGAGGAGAAAATAGAGAAAATGCCTACGTTGCTTTTCATGTTCCCCATCTTGCAAAGCTTCAAGAGACTGCATAAATTGGACTTGGACATATCAGATTAGTAACTACTGCTAGCAAGTGAAAAAATAACATACAGGAACAGGCTATAAATGAAAGTTGCCAGAAAAGGCTATAAATGAAAGTTGCCGGAAAAGGCTATAAATGAAAGTTGCAGAATATCACAGACATGCCTGCAGAAAAGGCTGAAAAAGATCGAAAATGTCCTTATGGCTCTTCTCGTTTCGAGTATGAAAACACTGGCCCAGTAGAGTATTGCGCATCACACTTGGAGACAATGTAGATCTCAGCCAAAGTTTACAACCTAAGTCAAGCCACAATTGTAAGGAAAAATGACTGAGGAGTATTGAACAGAAAATCAACATATAATTGAAAATTAAAAGGAGATGTGTACCAAGCATTTCAAAGAGTATTCTCAAGCAAGCAACTGCATGAGAGAATTCTAATGAGTCACCACTAATATGGTTGAGTACAATATCAAGAAAAATGGGATAGCGCTCTAATATCCCTTCTTCAAAAGCTGGAGGTTCCAAAAACCCAAGCCTTCATAAAATACACAAAAGGATCATTACCAATAAAACTGGAAAAGGAAAAATACTTTTGATAATAAATTATTTGTACCCAGAAGTTCCTACAGTGATTTTATTCCAAGCCATATGGACATGCGTTCCAGCTGCACTCTTGGCCTTAAAGTTTTCAAAGTTGATGGTAACACTTCAGTCTCCAAGAAGCCGATGAATTTCTTAAGCAAAGGCTGCAAGGGTTCCAAGTCTGTTGCTCTCCTATGCACAAAGATAACAAAAAATGAAACCAAAATGCACAGACTGAATTACAATTATAGATAAATATAAAGCATTTGCATAAAGGCAAATGCTAACTAAACAAAAAGGCAACATTTCATAGATGAAGGTAGTTTTGAATGTGAATAGTGATATCAGTAGTGCATAACAACAGTATCAACCCAAAAAATGTGATTTGGTGAAGCATTCAAACATTACAATGTAAAATGTTAAAACACCTGCACCTCACCCACCCCCCTTACCCTCTTCCACCACAGGCTAAAGAGCCCAAAAACAAGACCAGGTTGTTAGCATAATCATCAGATGACAAATTTTGAAACTCAAGATCAAACCATTAAAGCAGAAACCAGCATAATATCAGAGTACCTCAGTTTTCCCATAGAACCAGCTAAACGATGACCAACAGAGCGCACTCTTCTTTTGAAGAAAAATAATGCATAAACACCCTAACAGAAAACAGCTTCAATCTATAAGGAAAAAATTATACACTTATTTAAGAAAGACAAAAGCCAACTGAGAACACATAGAAACAAATCTACCAAAAACATACCGGAAACTGTTGCTGTCCAGCCAGAGCCAGTTCATGCATATTATCAACTGCTTCAATGAATTTTTCAAATTCAGTGAATAAGGACTCATCATCCAATAGAACAGGGAACATTAGGACCTGTCAAGCAGTAGACAACAAATGTATCAAATCAAAGTCAATTCTAATCTGACAACATACAAGGAAATCTAATGCATAGATAAATGCATACATATCACTTATAAGGATGAAAATGTCAATGTCAGTACAAATACTGATACTCCCAATTCACGGAAATATTGACGGAAATAGTGATATCTATGAGAATAATATTGGTAGAAAACCAAAAAAAATGATAAACCCTAGACATGTAAACTTCAAAATGAATGATCAAGTCCTCCTGTCCTTTTTCATCCCCTAACAAAAACAGGCTTTCATTGTGTTTTTCAACATAAGGAAGGCTTGTCCAAATACCTCTAGAGCTCGAACTTCCATTTCTCCTACCCATTGACCCCCTTGCTTGGCTATTAATTAGATTGGTTTTCCACAAGGCAAATAAAAAACAAATAAATAGACAAATGCACAAACAGGGAAGACAAAAAACTAAAATAGTCATAGCATTAAGCTGAGCCCAATCTGTAACTTCCTTCAAACCAAGTAAATACTAATGGTCCATTCCAAAATTACACAAAGACATGGGCTTAATAATTTAGATAGCAGGACCAGTTAAAGCCCAAATTAAATTCATACCCAGCAAAGTCGCAGGGTAAAATCACAAAAAGCAAACACTATATTCAACCCAACCTGAAAACAAGATCCACTCCGCTAAGAAAAACAACTGAGCAAAGCTGGGACAGAGAACCAGCCCTTTACCCATTCATACGCCTTTTTCCTCACACAGCAGCAGCCCCTTTTCCATTTATTCAGTTTTCACAGACACCAGCATACCATCTGTGTGTAACTCAAAGAGGGGGGTGGGGGGGAGGGAGGGAAGAGAGAGAGAGAGAGAGAGAGAGAGAGAGAGAGAGAGAGTACCCAACCGCCAAACACCCTCAGATAATCCATTGGTCATCTAGGTTTGAAACTCATACTAAAGTGTCCCTTAGTTTTGAATTTACCACAGTATGTCAAAAAGGAGCTACATAAAAAAGAATTTTCCAAAAACCATGCCGAAATTTTGGTTGATACTTACCACTATATCACTGAAACTTCAGGAATTTTTCCTAAATATCCAGTTTTTTCTAACCATTTCAGCCAAAATCAAAATTTCCACATACAATCGCCAATATTTCCTGAAAACTCTGTAAGATATAACTGGTCCACACCCACCCAATTTTCCATATTGGCACTGGCACTCTACTTTAGAAGGACAACGTATCCTGGGGTAAGATATGGCATCGCCATACATAACAACACCAAGAGAACTTCCATAACAAGTTTAAATATAAGATATGATCATATGAGAATCAACTGTAAGCCTGATATTTACATAAGCTCAAATAATCGACCAAATGCCATACTAGGCCACAAAAACCAAATCATTACAGTTTCAACAAACTTTTTTGCAGAAACCGGGAAAAAATTTCAACTTCTCTCAGAGATATGTCTTGTAAACATAGTGGTTAAGAAAAAGACCAGGACCAAATATTACATGATAAATTATCAATCATTTCTTTGCCATCCAACTTAGATATACTGATAAACATGAAGAGCCTATTTAGACTGCCTTTTGATGATAACACAGAATTTTAATACCCTATTTTTTCCACTGAACCAGACACGGATGTCAATTATTCCTTCCAGGCACACATCTTGACATACAATTACATTGTTGGAATGAATTTTCCAATTATTTCATTAACACCTTTTGATACCGACATGCTATACATTCAACATGTATGAATAAAAGTTAACTATAAGTACAATTCTTGTTGTATCATAAAGAATAAGTCAATAAAAAGAAAACTGAAAGAGAACATCGGCATACCTCATACATGACACTAATGACTTCTGCATTATCACAGGCAGCATCATATTCTTTTCGGGCTAATTTAGTATTTATCTCTATCAAGTGCTGTGTCACTCTTTCCTCATCAAGACTTCGCAAAACATCCAGAAGGGGACCAATAGAACTCGATTCGTACTCCGTGCTATACATCTCAAGGGCTTGATAGTGCTGGGAAATGCATTGGATGCACTGCCGCATTTCCTCAGAGATTCTCCTCCATAGTTGTCTAAGAGGAGAATCAGAATGCTCATCTTTGAAGTAGTTGTAAAAAGTCTCCAGAAGAGGCCCCATTATATCCCAGGACCCACACCAAATATGATTTTCTTTTGGCAAACAGATCAAGAATTTAAATGCATCTGCAAACCTGACACAATGCCAAAATGGAATACTAAACGTTAAAACTAAACAAACACATAGAGAGTCTAGTCAGCTGATTAAGAATAGTAAACCATCAAATCTTGAAGATAACCACCCCAAAAAAAATAAAAATAAAAGACAGAAAAGAAAACAAAAAAATGAGTGCATTCTCAGGTTAAGGTAGTTCTTGGATTCAATCTTACACAGCAGAGAGAAACAAAAGGTCTAACTTTAGATGAATTCAATTGCTTAAGTCTCACATAATAAATCTAGGTTTAGAATTCTTTACAGTAATTTACAGAGTTAACAATTAAAACTGAAATTTGAACTGCAAAAAAGGCTTTGTGCCTAAGACTTCCTAGATCAGACATATCCATGAAGAAGCCCACACAAGAAATGATAATAAAATTAACCACATACGCGAAGAAATTGATGTGGATCATCAGCAGAAACAAACATGCTAATGTAGTTCACTTCTTGCACTACATTAGGGATCGCATTTAGTTATCCGAATAGCAATTCTGCATAAGTAAATAAGAATCTTAACATAAATAACATACCTAGAACAACAATGCCAATGCGTGCAGGCCTAGTGTAACATAATAAACAAAAACTCTCCATTTCCCATGCTTTCTTTTCTCCACTTAATAAAAATCTGATTTTCCATCTTGCACATAAATCCATTTACTAAGCCGCCAATCAAATTCGGCATTGCTGTCATTAAATTTAGTTCTTCTATTTACTTATCTTATCTAAACCAAGCAAAATTAATAGCAATAATTAATAAACAAAGTTCACTTTAGATAACTGTGTTTAGCATTTTTTTGGAAAAGTATGCTTCCTGAGAGCAAGGATTAAGCGAACTGGCTGCAAAACCAAATTAAAAGAAAGAAGGAGAGAGAAGACCATTGTTCTTTGTTCTGGTGGAGACGATGACGTTTAGAGGCGTCAATGCGATCGTCGTCTTCGTCTGCTTCTTCCTCAATGCCTCTCCAACGGTCCAATAACTCTCTTCTCGTGGCCAGTTTATTCGCCATTTATCCAAATTAGAGTGTTTCTATTTTTTCTTTCAATTTAATGACAATTTTCTAGGGTTTTATGCACAGAGAAAGATCATTGAAGGAGAGAGAGAGTCTGAGAGTAATAAGAGAGGGAAAGTGGGAGACATAAACAAAGGAGAAAATATATAGGCAATGGAATTTGGATGTTGGAGGGGCTTACGGGTCATTTCATGATTTTGTTGAAGAAACGGGAAGGCTTGTATCCACTAGGTTCGGGTTCGGATTTATTTTACCGCCATCTCATCGGACAATTGTGCCGGGTCTCCTTTCAGATTATCTAAACGGGTCAAATCACATATGGCCCAAAGTGCAAGTTTTGGACTTATCTTGTCGGCCTGATCAACTACTGGACTTGAACCACATCTTTCTTTTCTTAAAGAAGTGAAAGAATTCTATAGTTTAGGCTTTGACACGGTTCCATATCTCTTAATTGTTTGATCAAATTAATTTGTCATTGGATTAGATTTATTAATTTGATTCAACAGTTAAGAAATAGGACCTCGTCTTAGATAAGACTCTCACTAAAGAAGTGTGCTACTGTGCTAGATTAGAATGCTTTCTTTAAGATCCTTGTTCTCGCAAATCACAAATTGATGTATATTAAAATGACTTATTAAAAGTATTTTAAAAAAATTATATATGCATGTCAAATTGTGATTGGCTTATAATGAATGAGGAAATGCTCATTATATGTAAGAAGCCAAAATATCTTTTTCGTTTTTATGTATAAAACAAGGCTCGGACAATTTGAGTCGTACATAACTTCAATGGGGTTGTTGCTTGAGTGGTAGAACAATCTAATTAAAGAATGGCATGTATTTGAATTTGTTATCAGCTTTATTTTTTAAAGACATTAGTTGAATTTCAATGTCATTCAATATTGTCACGTAAAATTTTCTTTTTTCTAAGAAAGCAATTTTGGAAATGAATATCCACCAAATTACAATTTCGGAAATCCAACCAAATTGCAAATTTGGAATGGACTAGCACTCTCCAGCCTTGAATTAGATCAACCATGCAGTGAATGACACGAAACAAAAAGTATACCTAAAAAGGAAATTGGGGGCATGGTTATTATTTTGGGAGAAATCAACCGTCCTTCCCAATCTCCTCTTCACTTTCAAACCTAACATTTTACATAAACAAACAAAAGGAATATAAATGATCAAAAGAGATAGAGTCAGGGAATTGAAACTTTTTGGATGATAGCAAAAAGTTGATACTTTCTCCTCCATCTATACTGGCTTTTTTCGGATGGTCCCGAAGTCATCTATTGAAGTCTCCTCAGCTCATAAAGATAAAAGGTGCGGATAGAACGTGGGTCTTGGACATCTGAATGTGACCAAAAGTCTTTGTTCTGATTTGGTACGTCACATTATTCAACAAGTTTTGGAGCCTTTTCCTTTTATGTAGATTCTTGGGAGTTTCACTAAAACACCAAAAATAGGGGTTGAAATTATGAAAAAACCCAAGCACTATTTAAATATATAAACACACCCAAAATCCATCATTACACACACTCAAAACCCATTTATAAACACACCCAAAAAGTTGACTTTGTCGTTGATTTTAGGTGTGTTTCTATGTTTAAATAGTGTTTGGATTTTTTTATAAATACATGTCTAGAATTGGGTTTATTTATAAATTTGTATAGATTCTTTTACATATTAAGCAATTCTTGTTGTTAATAACAATCTTATTTTAAATATTTTCATATACATATATATATATAGTGGCCATAACAAGAAAGTAAACATGTGTTATTTGTTCGTTCTAGTCCTTGATTTATACAACACATGTATTGTAGTTTAGTTGAATTTGGATTGAGTCAAAATAAATCCTGAATTCGAGACTTGAAACCCCATATTATGAAAACGAAACTCTTGACCTCGACGTGTCCCCTTGATACTTGAATTCTATTGTAGACATAAACCTTATAGTCAAGGTACTAGATTTTGATGTTTAAATTTGGGTCGGAGTTTGTTCCAATATAAATTCGGTGTTTGGAGTTATCCGAGATTCTAACATCTAGGTTCAGTCTAATTCAATTATAATATGGGATACCAAAACAAAATATAACATTATTTAAACAATCCAATTTGGTAATATCATATTACAGATAACATTCTACAAAATTCTATGGAATTTAATATTGAATAAATCTCCTTAAATAACAATTCAATTCAATTCGATATTGTGTACCAAATGCAGTGATTTTAGCATGTTTTTTTTGGATTCAATTACCCAAACCATTATTCTTCGTGTATAAGTCTCTCCATTTTTGTGGCGGGTCTCAAAGTCAAAACGAGGGGTACCTTTTCATTGCAAAGCAAATGGGAAAGCAAAGCACAAGAGAAAACCCAACCCAACTCAACTCAACCCAACCCTAAGGACAAACACAACAAAAACGTTTCACAAAAACATCAAGAGCCAAGACCCAGTCTCAAAAGGCAGCAAAAAACCAAAATCACCAAAAAAATCTCTCTCAAAATCAATGTCCCCAAAACCCCACTCCCTCTCCCTCTCTCAGGCATGTCAATTCCAAACCCCTCCCTCTCTCTCTCTCTCTGGCTCTCTCTCTCTCTCTCTATTTGATACATTATCAAAGATGGCAAGCTTAATGTTATAAGAATCTACCAAGAAAAGTCTTGCATATTTTCTGGGAGTGTTTTTTTATTTTTTTCAGTACTTAATAACTGCAATTGATTGAATATTTTTATCTTTGGGGGTTTTTATTTTTATGATACTGATAAGGAAAAGCATGGCATTTGAATCACAGTCTCTGAAGAAGGAGAAGAAGTACAGTGGGGTATTTGGGGATGTGTACAGTATGGCCATACTTCCCAAAGAGCTTGAGCTTGAGAAGGAATCCCACCCAAAATTCGAGCTCCGGTTTCAACTCCCTGACCTCACCCAACCCATCAGAGTAAGTCCCCCAATTTTTGGTTTCTTTTATTATCATTTTGAAGGGAAAGGTTTTGTTTTGTTTTATTTCATTATTGGTCTGTTTGGTTGCTGATAAAGTGGCATAAAAGTAATGAAAATAGAGGAGGAAAAACGAAAAACAAAAACCCATTAAGGAAAATTATCCCATCTCCTTTCAAGCTCTCAATCTCTCTCTCTCTGTATGCCTGAATGGGACATGCAATAAAAGTGAGGTTTTTTATTTTTTTTTAATTTTATGTTTTATTGTTTTGTCTCTGCTTTGTTTCTGGGATTTGGATAAACAAAAACGAAATACAAAGGAGAGCTTTGCCGAAAATGAAAAACCGCTTTTTTGAAAAGTTCAAATACTAAAATGATGGAAGTTTTGGGATCAGTTACTCACATTAAATTTGGACATTGTTATCTCTGGGTAGTTTGGGCGTATTTTTAGAGGCCAAAAGAAAAGTAACATGCTATTTTGTCATTGGTATCACAAAAAGTGTGCCCTGATGTGCTTCAGGAATTCTCAAGGAGAAGAGAAGTTAGAGAGTTCCTTAGTGGAGCTTTAGCAGGGGCAATGACCAAAGCTGTTCTTGCTCCTCTTGAGACCATCAGGTTAGTTTTGCTGTTTTACCAATCTTTAAAATTATCTCACCAGTAATTGCATTTGATACATTATGTTTATATAAGCATATTAGTTTACATGCTGGAGTAAATCTGTAAGTGAAGAAGTGCATAATTATCCAAAATTAATGGTCAATGCAACTTCTTATGTTCATTCAACAATTAAAGACCTGAAGACAACAATATTGTCTTTATTTGGCTTTCCTTGTTAATAGAGCACTATATATATATGTTCACATCCTTGACTTTTTCATTTCGAGTCAATATTAATTGCAATCAACAATCTCAGCCCAAAGGATATTGGTAATTGATTCCCAGAGATGGCTTTGCACCATCATGTTGTTGATCAGCCTAGCTTAGTTGTGTTGGATACACAAATAGTTCCCCATGTTTTAACCTTATTTTCAGTAAAGCCACAAGGTCTTGAGATTGTGATGGAGATGGACTTGTTTTAAGTCTGAATGTCTAATAATGGAAGAGATTTTGTATGCAGTTATGCTAATTTCATATTGTAGTGCTTAAACTAAGTTTATATTAGGATCTCTGAGGCACCTTGTATTAACTGTGAACAAATTCTTTTGCACCGTGGATAATCCTCCACATTTGGTTGTTTTCTTTCATTTATTTGTTAGATTTTTCAACTTTAATCAAACATGTTTTAGCAATCTTATAAAATTTTGCAGAATTCAGTAGAAAAGGATTTTAAGTACTATGTAACTCTTGACGACTATTCTTTAAGTGTTGATAATCTGTTGGATGTGATATGTGCAGGACTAGAATGGTCGTTGGTGTCGGATCTAGACACATTTCTGGCAGTTTCTTAGAGGTCATTGAGAAGCAGGGTTGGCAAGGACTGTGGGCTGGAAATGCAGTCAATATGATTCGCATAATCCCCACCCAAGCAATTGAGTTTGCAACATTTGAGTGTGTTAAGCGAGCAATGACCTCAACACAAGAGAAATGGAAGCAGGCTGAATCCCATAAGGTGCAAATTGGCCCTGTAAGCTTGAACCTCTCTATCTCCTGGATTTCTCCTGTTGCTGTGGCTGGTGCTGCTGCCGGAGTTGTTAGCACACTTGTGTGTCATCCCCTTGAAGTTCTGAAGGTATTTATATCATGGGTAAACTTTATGAGGATAGAAATTTAGAACAGTCAGAAAGTTCTTTTTTTTTATTTTTATGGATACTAAGAAGTTCATTTTCCTCTCAATCATATATAAAGTTGCTTTCTGCTTTTCTGCTGCTCTGCTTCATCATGTCTGATGGCTATGTCACCCGTCTTATCTTCCCTGTTTCATTTATATATGTGCTTTTCGTTTGTTCTCATGGAAATACATATTGTGGTTTTAACTTTTTATATATTTTTGGATTTAATTTCTACGTATAAGATTTCAGTGACGAACTGTAGATTCATTCATGGTATGTCACTTTTGCTTGGGTAGTTATTGTTTCTTTCTTCTAATTTCTTACAACAGGATCGGTTGACTGTGTCTCCTGAGGCGTATCCTAGTTTAAGCATTGCAATCAGCAAGATTTATAAGGAGGGTGGGATTGGTGCATGCTATTCTGGTCTTTCACCTACACTGATTGGGATGCTTCCGTACAGTACTTGTTACTATTTCATGTATGAAAAAATGAAGAAATCCTACTGCCAAGCAAAGAATAAAGAGTCACTTAACCGTCCAGAGATGCTACTGGTTGGAGCTCTTGCAGGTGAAAATTTGGCCGCTGTTGCGTAAATTAAATTGAAAAGATAATTTGAACCCATTGTCTGTCTCCATTTTTTTTCATTAAAAAAAAACCTTTAAAATGTTGTTTGAAGATTGATTAGTTTATGGACGTTATGGATGGTAACTCCTATTTCGGACCAATTTGCTAAAAGAATCTAAATATGTTTGAATTCATGCAGGTTACTGAATCACTTTCCTATTTGTTTTTTGTTTTTTAATTTTTTTCTAGCAATATCATGACTTTTTATTTATCAGATTTACAAAACAATGACATGCATCTTCTTAGAAAGGTTGATTCAATAAAGGTCTGATACAACCATCTGTTTAATTGTATGTAATTACTAATAAGAAGTATAGAAGAAGTTCTTTTGTTTTGTTGTCGGGCTATCTGTCCACTATTCGACAATGAAGTTGTATTTCACCGAATAAATTCTCTGATGACAGTCTGGTCTTCCACCTCTTAGACATTAAAAAAAGTGGAAGGAAGAAAATAACTGCAAAACTTAGGGAAGCACGAGAGAGAACAATATTACCTGTCAATTCTGCAACTGTTATGGGGAACTTTGAAACCTGGCTTTATTGTCCAATATTTGTATTCTCTCGTTGGTCTTTGGCATCAGCATAATTGGATGGACATATTGTTGACTGATGATAGTATCATAACCTGATCACTTGTTCATGTGGATTCTCTAGGTTTTACGGCTAGCACAATCAGCTTTCCGTTGGAGGTGGCCAGGAAACGGCTGATGGTTGGAGCTTTGCAAGGTAAGTGCCCACCTCACATGGCAGCGGCACTCTCAGAAGTCATTCGAGAAGAAGGTTTGCTGGGACTCTACAGAGGGTGGGGGGCAAGCTGTTTAAAGGTCATGCCATCCTCTGGCATCACCTGGATGTTTTATGAAGCTTGGAAGGACATATTGCTTGTTCAGAGGAATTCCTTATAAGTTATAACAAACTCAAGCAAGATTTCACTTAGGATCATAGTTAAAACTCACATGGAGATCTCTACTGGTCTAAATTACCAGGTGGGAGGTGTTGACTAATTCGTTGAAGTGTCGTCTAGGTTATTTTACACAGGCCTAGTTTGGTTGGAAATTGGATCTTGACTCCCTTTAGTATTAAGTGTTTATTTTGATTTTTCGATTCTTTTCATTTGGGGTTGGTTTCCCCATGTTCTCTTTTTTTTGCCCTTTCTCCAAAGCCTTTGCGCTAGTGTTAAGTTTTGACCAACTGGCAGTTGCGCTTCAATTCTTTCTGTGCCAGACAAAGAACATGTACTGATAAATGATATATTTGTTTCCTTAAGATTCTTTTTCCTTATATATCTTCAAATTCATACCAATCAAAAGTGAAAAAGGAAAAATCAAATTTCAGGTTCTTTTTTAATTTTTATGAGTATTGAATAATTGTGAGGTGAAGAGTTGATGGAAATTTTGCCAATCTGCAATAGGCTTGATAAGATTAGTGTTCATAGCTTGCACTTTTTCTTCTTCTAAAGAACCTGTCGGCTGGATGTTTCTGTACGGACACTTCGACTTGCACCCAGTTTCTTTTTCTCACGACACCCATATATCCTCACAAAAATTTCCTAACCTTCCCATTCTGTCCTCATTGATTGTTAATTGTTTGATTTCTTTTTAGCTAAAATAAAGTGAACATAATCATGGTGATTCACACCATGGTTAGCTGGTCGTGTGTAAGTATGACAATTACTAATTTTTGTCAAATCAGAACTCTTTGTGTCTTTTTTTAAAAATATTTTTTCTTCTAAAATGGAAATTATTCTTTAAAATGTAATGGATTATTTACCTTGACGAGGTCTCGTTTAGGAAATAAAATGAGATAAGGACGGAAATAATAAATTCAACTTTATCCTATCATGTTGTCATTCTTACTACAATAAATTAAGAAGTTAAGATGAGAACATAATTCATGTCAACATGTCATGTGGTGTTACCGTCATACATAAAAAATAAAAAGAGGTTAAGGAATGAGGAAAAAATAACTTTTCTCTGTCCAAAAATTAAAATTTAGATATAAAACGAAAAATCTTTTTTTTTTTTTTTTTTTTTTTTTTGGTGTGTGTTGATAAATGTGACACTAAACTCAGCCATTTAATAAAAGTGAAAGTTAAAAAAGCAAGGTCTTATAAACAAAAAGAAAAACGGTTTATGCCTTCAGCGGTCCAGATGATACTAAACCAACGGCCATTATGTTTCCAGCTAACAGTGGCCTAAGATTAACGCCAAGATTTCACAAAATAAAATAATAACAACAATAAAAAAAATATTTTATAAGATTGTTAATTAGGGCGCAAGGAAAGGCCGCGAAACGAAAATATGACCGTTAGAGGGTTCACCGCCTTCAACCCTTATCTCCGTAAAATGGAAAAAGGAAACCCAACTCCACCAAAAAAAAAAAAAAAAAAAAAAAAAAAAAAAAAAAAAAAAAAAAAAAGAAAAATCATAAAACCCTCACACAAAGTCACGATTCAATCAACGCGTCAAATTTAAGCAATATAAAACCCTAAACGCTTTGCTTGCTTCAATTTCTCTTATATCGTCTTCTTCGTGGATCAGCCACTTCTCTGTTTCTTCAACATCAACCACTTCATCTCTTTTGCTCTTTACCCAGTGGATCGTTTTCTCTGTTTGTCCATTTGTTTTTGTGAAAACCCAGAAGCCAAAAGCTTTCATTTTGTTTTCACAAACTACAAGAACAATGGGTACATTGAAGAGGAAAAGAGAAGCCCAAAAGGAAGACGAACCAGGGCTTGTACAGAAAGAGAGGAGTTTGTCAATTCCTGAGTGTGAGTGGGTTCGAGGGCGGATGCTCGGCAAAGGCGGATTCGGGTCGGTTTATTTGGCCACTGCGAAAAAACCCAAGTTGGGTAGCGATGGTTTGCCAGCGATAATGGCGGTGAAATCAGGACGGGTCTCTAAATCGCCAGAGCTGCTCATGGAAAGGACACTTCTTAAAGTTTTTGGCGACTGCCCTTTTGTTATCGACTGTTATGGATCAGATATGACTGCTGATGCTGAAAATAAATGTACATACAATGTGTTCATGGAGTATGCTGATGGAGGAACGATGAGGGATTTGATAAAGAAATCCAGGGGTTGCGGGTTGCTTGAGCCCCAAGTAAGAAAGTATACAGGGTGTCTTCTGAAGGGGCTTCAGTACATTCATGTAAGGGGCTGTGTCCACTGTGATCTGAAGCCTGAAAATATATTGCTTGTGAGTAACAGTGATGGTGATTTTGTGCCCAAAATTGGGGACTTTGGACTGGCAAAGTTTGCTGTTTATAAGAAAAAGAGTCGCAAGGAACCTGCTTGTCAAGGCACTGCAATATATTTGTCACCAGAAGCCGTGCTTTATGGAAGTCAGGAGAAGCCTTCTGATATTTGGGCCTTGGGTTGTGTTGTGCTCGAGATGTTAACAGGGAGGTGGCCATGGGATTTGGAAGCCGGTGCGACACTTCAAGACCTACAGCTTCTGATTGCTTCAAAAGTTCCCACTGTTCCTGGCTGGCTATCAGAAGATGCTAAAGATTTCTTGAGAAAGTGCTTTGTGAGGAACCCTTCTGAGAGGTTGGAAGCTGCTGAGCTATTGAACCACCCTTTTGTGACCACCAAACTTGATGGGCTTGGAGAGGTCAAAGTTGATCCATTAAAGAAGCAAGTCTCTGCAGTGCCATCCTCTGAGAATTGTGAAAAGGCAGAAGGTTCAAAACCTGTTTATGCAGAGGAGATTCTTCCCTTGGCAGTCCTGTACCCTGGGGACTCAAAACCTTTGATTCTTCCAACCACTGTGTGCCGAAAGCCATCAAATTTTGGTATAACTGGTGCAGCTTAAAGCATTTTCATGGATTAGTATGATACCTCATCATTCTGTATATTCTTTTCTTGGTGGCTGTACTGATTTCATTATTAATAGACAGCTAGTTCCACTTTGATTTCTTTCTCTTGGTTCATTTTTCAAGTTTCTTCTTGTTTTACTCATGTTCGTACTTTGCATTTGATCCGCTAGGTTTATATACGATTAGTAGTTTCCAAGTTGGGATTAAATCAAGTAAAAATGTTCATGCTTGCCCCAAAATACAGGTGATTCTAACTTATAGGCAGCAATATTGAATTCATATATTTTCCCTTGATAAACGTAGGGACAACAAGATGGACATCTCTTCTTTATTGTTCCCAAAGTACATTTTTGTTTTCGGAAGTTCCCGTTGTTCATGGTAAATTAGATCACTGTTGAAGAAGCATGGTTTTTCCTTGGACTTTCATTTTTCCCATCTTTTCCTTTGTCATTTCCAGTCAGTAATAATTCTAATCAACAATCTCAGCTCAAAGGAAATTTGTAAAAGATTCCTAGCTATGGATTTTTACCATCATTTTCTTGATCAATTTTGTGTGCAGTAAACCCACAAGGTTGTAGTAAAAACTAAATACCAGCATTTATTCAGGAATGGTTTGAATTATTCAACCATTTGTACCATAAAAATTGTATCTCTTGGTTAACAAAATTGTACCACCCCAAGAGGAGTCAGGCACAAAGTTGTATGTACACAGAAACTTTGAGTAGCCAGCCCGAAATACAACCGCACGAAAATACACAGAGATTCATTTTACACGGAGGTTACAGAAAACATAAGCAACATAGTATCCTGCTCTGCAGCATCTTTCTCGGCTAGATCATTCGTTCTTCTCAGAAATCGAGACAAACATGAACTGATTGACCGACTGTTCTCAGCTAACATATAAAGGCAAAACAAGATAATCATGTTTCAGGAGCAGACATATTCTAGGAAAGTTATATATGTCATATGTGTGATGTTTAAAACAAAGATACAAGTCAGGCCAAAAAGGAAAATTTCCATGAATGTATTCAAATAGTGAAAGACTTGGCAAAAGCAAGTGGAAAATCAAACAGTGGCTTGATAAGATTATTGTTTATAGCTTGCTTGCACCTTTTCTTCTTCTAAAGAACTTGTTGGCTGGAGCTTTCTTTCTTTACGGATACTTCTATTTGCACCCAGTTCTGTTTCTCACCACACCATATATCCTCACAAAAAATTTCTATTCTATCCTCATTGGTTGTTAATTGTTTGATTTCTTTTTAACTGAACATAAAGTGAACAACATAATCATGTTGGTTGACTTAGAAGGTCGTGTGTAAGTATGACAATTACAATTTTGTTTTTTGGGTCAAATCAGAACTCTTTGGGTATTTTTTTAGTTAGAGTTTTTTCTTCTAAAATGGAAATTATTCCTTGAAATTTACTAGGACTATTTACCTTGATGAGTTCGTTTAGGAAAGAAAATGAGATAGGGATGCAAATAACAAATTCAACTTTATCCTATCATGTTGTCATTCTCAATACAATAAATTAAGAAGTTAATATGAGAACACAATTCATGTCAACATGTCACGTGGTGTTACCGTCACACATAAAAAATTAAAAGAAAGGTTAATAAGGAGCGAAAGAAAACATAAAAGGGAAAATCATTTTTTGTGTTTGTCATAATAAAATGTGGGTGTAAATAAACTAAGCTCAGTCATTTAATAAAAGAGACAATAAAATAAAAAAACGAGATTATGCTTTCAGCAGGTTGGATAATATTAAACCGACGGCCATGATGTTTCCAGCTAAGAGTGACCTAAGATTTCAAATTGGTAGCAGTCAGTCATTTATTACATTTCACAAAATAAAATCTTTTTGTTTGATTTTTTTGTTGAGAGAATCTTTTAATTAGATTTGTTAATTGCAGCGCAAGGAAAGGCCGCGAAAGAAAATTTGACCGTTAGAACGCTTACCCCTACTACTCTCTCTCTCTCTCTCTCTCTCTCTCTCTCTCTCTCTCTATATAATAGAAAGAGGAAACCCAGCACCACCAGGAAAAAGCAAACTCAGATTTCAAGAACCCTCACAAAAACTTTCACCTAGTCAAATTGAGCAGAAAGAAAACCCTAAAACGTTACGTTCGTTTCGATCTCTCTTCTCCGTATCAACGATATCGTCGTCTTCGTTGATCACCCACTTTCTCTGTTTCGTCTCTTTTTCTCTTACCCATTTCAATTTGATCGTTTTCTCCAAAATCACGAGCTTCAATCACCGAGTCAAAGTTACGCAGATAGAAAACCCTAAAACGTTCGCTTCGATCACTCTTCTCTGTTTCAATGATATCGTCTCCTTTGTTGATCACCCACTTCTCTGCTTCGTCTCTTTTTCTCTTACCCATTTGATCGTTTTCTCCGTTAATTTGTTTCTATCAGACCCAGAATCAAAAGCTTCAATTTTTGTTTCTACAAAATACCAAAAACAATGGGTTCTTTGAAGAGGAAAAGAGAAACCCAGAAGGAAGACGAACAAGGGCTTTTAGAGAAGAGTTTTTTACTTACTGGGTGTGGCTCGTGGGTTCGAGGGCGGAAGCTCGGCCAAGGCGGATTTGGGTCGGTTTATTTGGCCTCTGTGAAAAAACCCAAATTGGGTAGCGAGGGTTTTCCGGCGATCGTGGCTGTGAAATCGGCATTGATGGTTGAATCGCTTGAGCTGATGATGGAAAAGTCACTTCTTCAAACGCTTCGCAGCAGCCCTTTTGTTATCAACTGTTATGGAGAAGATGTGACGGCTGGGTTTGGTCATAATTTGGTATACAACGTCTTCTTGGAGTATGCTGATGGAGGAACAGTGGGGGATTTGATAAAGCAATCTGGGGGCTCTGGGCTCTGTGAATTACAAGTGAGAAAATATACAGAGTCGATTTTGAAAGGGGTTCAGTACATTCATGAAATGGGTTTTGTGCACTGTGATTTGAAGCCTGAAAACATCTTACTTGTGACCTCTGGTTCTGGTTTTGTGCCCAAAATTGGGGACTTGGGACTGGCAAAGAGGGCTGTGAGCAAGCGTTCTTGCAGAGGCACTCCAATGTACTTATCTCCTGAAACTGTGCTCGATAGAATTCAGGAGAAGCCTTCTGATATTTGGGCATTGGGCTGTGTTGTGCTGAAGATGCTCACTGGGAGGCATCCATGGGATGCAAAAGCCGGCGTGAAACTTCATGACCTAAAGCCTCAGATTGCTTCTGGAGTTCCTAACATTCCTGGTGGGTTATCAGAAGAGGCGAAAGATTTCTTGAAGAATTGCTTTATGAGGAACCCTTCAGAGAGACTCACAGCAGCTAAGCTATTGCGCCACCCCTTTGTGACGAAACTTGGTGAGATTGGACAGGTTAAAGTTGAACCAATGAAGGAAGTTTCTTCAGTGTTATCTTCTGAGCACTGTGTTCTTGATTATGGTAGTTTCATACCACTTGGAAGTTGGAGCTCTGAAGAGGCAGAGGAGATGGAGCAACAGATTCTTCCTTTGGCCCTCATGTCCCCTAGAGATTCAACCCCTGTGATCCCAACCACTGGGTGCCAAAAGCCATCAGCTTTTCCTATAATGGGTGCAGCTTAGTTTATATTGTTTTGAAAGCCTTCCATGAATTGATGTAAGGCTTGATATGTATATTCTTTTCTTGGCAGCTGTATAGGTTTTATGTTAATACAGAGAGCTAATAGTTCCACTTTGATCTCTTTTCCGAATGTGTGTTGGTGTTACTGTTTTACTGATGTAGATTATCTCACCAATCATTGCATTTGACCCACTAGGTTTATATAAGATCAGTAGTTTATAAGTTGGGATTAAATCAGTAAAAAGTAAAATGTGCATGCTTGCCCCAAAATATAGCTGAATCTAACTTACCAAGCTCATTCAAAAGTCAAAGGCCTGTCGACAGCAATATTGGATGTATATCTTTTTTCTTAATCAGCATAGGGACAACAAGATGGACATCTTTTCTTCATTGTTCCCAAATTACCTTTTTTGTTTCCAAAATTATCTAAAATTAACTTGTTCATGGTAAAACAGAGCACTGTTAAACATAGATTTTCTTTGGACTTTCATTTTTCCGATTTTTCATTTCCAGTCGGTTAAAATTCTAATCAACAATGTCAACTCAAAGGTTGTAGCAAAAACTAATGACCGGCATTTATTCAGCAATGGTGTCAATTATTCAACAGTTTGTATCATAAAATTGTATCTCTTGGTTAACAATATTGTACCACCCCAAGAGGGGTCATGCACAAAGTCGTATGTACACAGAAACTATGAGTAGCTCGAAATACACCCACAAAAAAAAATACAGATTCATTGTACATGGAGGTTACAGAAAACATAAGCTACATAGTATCTTGCTCTGCAGCATCTTCCTCCGCTAGATCATTTGTTCTCCTCAGAAATCGAGACAAACATGCACTGATTGACTGACTGTTCTCAGCTAACATATAAAGGCAAAACAAGCATAATCCTGTTTCAGGAGCAGAGGAAAGTTATATATATGTAATGTTTAAAACAAAGATACAAGTCAGGCCAAAAAGGAAACTTTACATGAATGTATTCAAATAGTGAAAGACTTTGTATCAATAAAAAAAACAAAACAAAAACAAGTGACAAATCAGACAGTGGCTTCTGAATCTGACAAAAAAACACATAAGTTGCCACCCTGATTTTTATCTTAAAAGACCAAACTACGAAAACAATCTCAGCTACGAAGAGGTAACAGATTTAAGCAAAAAACATACCAGCATAGGCAACTGTAAGACCTGAAACCAACCGTCCCAAAGCTGAAAGCATGTAAAGACAAAACACCACCTGGAGAAAGATTTAAATGAGAAGTTATTGGGTTAGCTGTCTGCAAGAACTACTTATGATTAACAAATTTGCAAACTTTATTCTATGTGATAACATGTTATCACGATACTGATAAGCTACATCTGCAACCATCACAACCAATAGGAAAATAAAAATCAATTTGATAGACTAGCACAGAAGCAGACTGCTTTAATAACACATGATGGCCTGTCAGCCAAAGGACCTGCCATGGGACCGCAAGATGTCTTTACTCAGGTCAAAAGTTTCATGATTACAATTTAGAACTGATAGCTAGAAATATAGTGAGGGCTGTCTGTGCTCAGTGCAAAAAGTTAATTTTCTACTATAGCAAAGCTACAAATCAGCTACAAAGATATTTTTTATTATCTTGTGGACTGTTATCACAAGTACATTTTAGCTTCCATTCTATTCTTCTAAAATACTATGCAGTAGAAGAGAAGGTGCATTATGGAGTGCCCTCGAAGTGGCATCCAAGCCTTCCCAGTGAAAAAGACAAATGCAAGCATGAAACACATGTGGACACATAACAACATGCATATGGAGCTCAATACCAAAAGAAATCCAAATTTCTACAATATCAAAGTTCAAAATATGTCCTGACTTGGGCCACTTTATAATTCTTAAGACATGTATTAGCACCTCTCCTTGATACTTAAAGCTCGCAGCAGCTTATGTCTACATGTTAGCCGCTGAAAATTTTCATCCATAGCCACCAAGTAACAGAGACTCTGCAAAAGCTTGATACCAAAACAAAAATCCATTGCAGTCATCAAGCATTATTACCTTGAAAAACAACCTCTTGTCGTGCCCGGTGGCTGCAACCCTCAATACAGACTCAGCTGCTCCTATGGTATTGGCTAACCATGCAACAATGCTATTAGCAGTGTCCTGCGAAATCTGCCACTCGAGTGGATCGACGGGTACCCTAGTCAACAATAAAACTAGATACTTCAACACAAAGATCACCATTCACCACTACAATCGTATCAAATATATAAATTCATAATATGACACAGAAACCGCTTATCAAATAATACCATTCACACAATTATAATTTGAAACAAAGAACCACAAATTCTCAGTTCATCTATCTTGGTAACAACTCCAATTTTTCTTCAATCCCCCATAACCTATTTCAATTCCAATGCATCCATTCAAGACAACCCTACAGAGTAAAAGAGCCTATCAAAATCTAAACAAAACCCAATTCTCAAAATCATTCACAATCAAACTCAATTAAAGCACAAAAAATTTGCATTCAATTTTCAACCATTATCAGATAAAACCAAACTCCAAATTGACTCAATAACAAGACTTTAGAAACCCAAATTCCTCAAAACCCAGAAAAATAAACCAAAAACAGAAAGAAAAGCAGTCGTTTTCCCGCATTTTCTGGGCAGACAAAACAAGGGCGCAAAGGAAAATGAGAAATTTGGACTTACGAGATGTTCATCTGGCGAAAGAGAAGGCCGAGAATGGCAAGCGAACAGAGGAGGACGATGAGGACATCGGAGACAAGAGAGACGAGGCTGGAGTTGCGATGCTCGCAATGGTAATAGACTAAGCTACCGCAAATCAACACTATCACCGGCTTCCCTACTTCTGATCGATAATCCATTTCTTTGATATCTTCATGCTCATTGAGGTTTCTATTGTCCTCTTGTTTTTGAATCTCCTCTTTAATTTTTTTTTCCTTTTTTAAAAATTCTCTGTGGTCAAAATTTTGACTCTACCAAATTAATTGTTCTTTTAATTTTGGAGTTAGACCAAATTATGACTTTCTTTCTACCAATTAACATTTTTCACTGCTTATTTAAGTTTAAGTTTAGAGAGCTGATTTTCTCACTCCTCTTTTGTCCACTAAAACACTCCAGGCATGTTTACGTATCAGTAATGGGTATGGGAGGAAAGTGAATGATTTCCATTCCTAACTTTCCCTGCGTTTACTTGCAATCATGAATGAAAACATAAGTGGGCCCCACCTCAAAATCCTTAATCACATTCCCTCAAAACTAGGTATCATATCAACTAGGGGGAGTAGTCGATACGATTCTCATTCATATTTTCTCTTAATAACTTTCAAAAATACCCTTACCACTTTACCATAATTCTAAAATTAATTTGGATTATGATTCATGCAAATTAGTAAACAATAACAATGGGAATCAATCTCATTCCTTTGCTAATTCCGTATGTTTAGTAAACAACTTAATGTGAATAATTATTCCTATACCAATTCAGTAGTTCCCTGATTCCTAAATTATCTAATTCCTTACTTTCTCCATTACTGATACGTAAACATGCCCTCCATTTGTTAAAAATTGTATGTTCTCACTCATCTTTTGTCTGCTTACACTCCTTTTTTTTTATTATATTAAAAACTATTAAAAACCAAAATGGCAATGGACAAAAAGAGTGAAAATCACTACCCTAAGTTTATCCAGAAATTAATGAAAAAGGACCCTTAAATTGATTCACAATTTTTTTTACAACCCTTATTTACATGTTTATGATCTTTGATATCATTTATGGTAGTTTTCAATTAAAATCCTCATCACTGAAAACATGATTTGCATTTTGGAGAGCTCTTTGTTTGATTTGGGCCTCTGGACTTTATTTGTATCCCCAAAAAGAAAACCACAATTTGTAAGGTTTTTTTTCTTTTCTTTGTCGTCAAATGTGGAGGCTTTTCTTTTGACCCTTGACAAAGTCTTTCTTCTACCACACTCGAGAAATTTCACAGTGAAACATTCCATAACTTTTTACATCATATTACAAATCAATGCAATTTTTCTGTCGTTCCAAATTCACACACTACGAAATAGGACGCAGTACACCTAGGCCGGCCAGACATGAATACTTATTTCTTACATTGCTTTACATGGATGTTTTATATCTGACTGTACATGTACAATTTGAAAATACACAATACATTTACATACTTGGAAATCTCAAACAAGCTTCTAGCATCTGTCTTTTGGCTCTTCTTCTTGCAATGAGGACATGGTAGCTGATCTTGAGTTCTCTTACTTACATGTAGTTTCTAGAGTTTTTAATAAATCACCAGAAATGTAACCTTCTCTCAAGAATAGCACTCTTTATAGAACTTTTAAATGATGGAAAAAGAAAGGAGACGTAAGACCTTCAGTCTGGTGCGTAGGCCCGATGTTTCCTACTCTTTAATTCTATAGAAGGTGATATTCCTGAAAAGAATATGTATATCTTTTGCTGGTTTTGTTAAAAACACCAGTTTCTAATGTAATGCTTCTGCCTTCTGCAACTGTCAAGAACAACCCTTGGGGCCAAATGGATTAAACCCTATGCCCCCTCAGCTTCTGAGGTTTGGCCATCTGCATTAAAAATCAGTATCCAAATAGAATAATTAAAACAAAGAAACAAAGCAATTCTTTAAGCCTGTATAACAGTTGCACAGCCCGAGAGCACGTTCAGGTTAGATAATGACAGATTAAGAAGCCACATAAAAGACAACCAGCCTTCTATTAGATGCAGATAAAGTGGAAAGTGCTCATAACTATGTGCACAAATTGAAAATGGAAAACAGACGCACCTTCACCAGATAGCTGTTCAAACCGAACAACTATGTGTTTCCCGTATGTATATTTTTTCAGAGCATCTATATGAACTCTTATAAGATTGAGCAGTGTTTCCCGCTGTCTATCATTGCTTGTTTCAAGAACCTTCTGAACCACATAATTGGCAAATTGGTCCTTCATCATTGGCTGGAATATAAAATCAAATAACATAACTCAGTAAGCAGAAAACAACCTTTAACCAGCATTCAAAATCAACACTTCCAAAATCTGCATGGTTCCAAAAGAAATTATTTGGACTCTACAACGCTCCTCGTGTTATTTAAATAGGAAAGTTTTCTGAAAATTGTTTGGAACCAAAGGAAATCCACCCATATGGAAATGAAGTCTTCAGTTCAACTTGTAATATCAAATTGCATAACTGGATGTTTCCTAATTGGCTCATATTTCAAAAACTATATATTATGCTGCCTTGGAGCCAAATGCTGGTCAATACCTACCAACTTTATTTTCATAGGTAAAGAATAAAAGATCTGAATATATGGGATAACATATCATATGCGCTTTGGCTTGACTTACCAACAGACTATCATTTTCCTCCATTTGCCCAATGATTTCCTCAATCAAGAGCTCCCGCTCAGCAACATCACCATGTTCCAGACACTTTTCAACAACATTTGATGCATATTTATGCTGACTCAATTGTACAATTTTCCCAATCAACTTGCTGATAATTTGGCTTCTTTCATAGGGCTTTCCCCTTTCCAAAACATGCTGCAAGCAGTATGATCCATAATTATATTTCATTCAATTAGAAATAACAGAGACTTGGGCAATGAAATCACACATGAAGAAGCAATTTATAAATATATATATATTGACCCGCCTAAACCCTCAGTCATAATGCTAATGATACCAGGCCAGATGATAAGCTTGACACTACCATTAAACCATTTCAGGTATCTGAAAGAAAGTCATATTTATGTAGCAGCTCACAAGTTAGTTCAGATTAAAAGAACCACTTTGATTGTATCAACAATTTTACCATTGAGCAACATTTCCAAAACTCTAGAACACTCTGGTCATTTTCCAAGTGCTAAGAGAACATAAAGAAAATTAAGAATAACACTGAACTAGAAACACAATCAAATTAGGGTTGCGGTATTAGCGGACAAAGAAACAATCCCTTCAAGCACCCCTCCGTTAGCAAACAACAGAATTGAGGAATGAAATAGTTAAGTGAGGCTAGATAAAAACAACAGAGAGCCCAAAGTAAAGACACCAACCTGGGTAACATAATTCCCATACTGGTCTTGAGCAAGAGCGTAAGTAGATTCTAAGATTTCATCAACTATAGATTGACTTTGAATGTCATCTGAACAATGCTCCAAAACTCTCTATCAAGTAAAAGTGTATTGTTTCAAAATGTGATACACATAATCTAATTGGAGACTTCACAATGGAAAACTGTGTGCCATTACCTGTATGACGCGACAACCATAGGGATGAGTAGAAAGTGTGGAAACTTGGCCTCGAAAAGCAGAAATGATAAATCCAATTTTCTCTGTGGGAAGGCATTCTATACACTTCTGTATTACATGATTTCCATTTTGATCACGTACACATTTCAGAACATGTCCATCAAGCTCATGCACAAGTTGTGTTTTCTGGTCAAGCTCAATAACTTCAAGAGCCTAAAATAAAGCATCCAACACAGAATCCAGATATGTAAAACATAAGGACAAGTTTTTAAGATTCATAAATTCTAAAGAAGTTATGAGGGAAGAAACATGTGTAACAAGGCTTCCAGATTTACATCCTCAGTATATACTTAAGAAAAATGTTGATGAAGCCAATTCGCAAGCCCTAAAAAAGTATATCATTGACAATAATGATGATTTTGATCCTTTAGCAGGTGTAATTGCCTAATAATCAATAATCAGACTACATATGAATAACCATGAAATATTTTCAAAGTTCACATGAATTTGATCCAACCACTAGCATACACAACTTTATGATGCTCAGGTCGGGTGTACTATAATGTAGTTTATATATCTAATCAAGATGAAACTCAAATGCAAGAGATTAAGTCAAAGATACTTCAAAAATCAGACAAAGCTTTAATTAATTAATTCCAACAATGGTTCCTGTAGTTAAAGGTGTTTGAGTGCAACAGAACCATTGTTTAAATTTGCATCACCTCAAGGGCATATATGTGAATTAAATTGATCGGAAAGGATAAAAGATAATCTCTCCATATTCTCTTCATCAGCTGATCAATGTGTCATTTTTAAGAGAGGATTTTTATAGAGTCTGAAAGTTACTTCTAAAAACCTATTTTGGAACCGCTCTCCAACCCCCCTTGCAGTGTAAAACTTTCTATTAATATTGCATCCCTGGAAAAAATATATATATATATATATATATATTTGTCCTATTGACATGTAATGTAACAACTATGAAAGTCTCAATAAGTTCCATTCTTCACTCTGAGATAAAATGAACTCATAAAATATACATAAGCAGAAGATAGAATGATTGCTGGAATTAAGACAACATATTTATTATGAAAATAAAATTTCAGCATACCTTTTGGATTACACGGCAACCATACATCTGCAAACTTAAAGGCAACATTTGTCCAGCAAGTTGATCTGCAAGCTCCTTTTTCTCCTCGGCACTCCCATATTCAAAAAACTGTAACAGAAAAATATCTGTACAATGTTAATAGGCCATCCTCAGAGTTCACAAGTCCATAAAGTTGATAAGTGATCCAACAAACAAGCAATTAGGCAGACACAAATTATGAATTCATACCTTCTGAATAACATAATTCCCAAATACGTCTGTCATTAGTTTTGAAGCACGTGGAAGAATTTCTTTGAAAACTGATGCCTTGTCTTCAGCAGTGCAGTATTCTAGCTTCTGCTGAATAAATCTACTCCCATGTTGATCAACACTGAAGTTGCATACAAACATAAAAAAAATTATAACTAATAGTACAACCAGAATAAAGGAACAACAAACTTAGTATGGAGCAAACAATACCTGAACTCAACAATGCGCCCTGCTATATCAGAAAGTTCAAACTTACGGGGATTACTAGTTTTCAGTTCTTCGAGAAAAGAATGTCTTTTAGGGTCATCCGAGCTGAAGCTTCTCGGCCCTTGCCATCCAGAATATACTCCACTAATCGAACCTTGAGGAAACCTGATTTCATTTTTCCGACCAAGATGATTTGTTCTACCCATTGGAGATGATGGCAATATTGGACTACCAAGAGGCGAGGCTGGAAACTGTGTCATTATAGGCATGGTAGAATTATTTCCATAGTAACCACTACCATTGATTCCCACTTTTCTTGGACTTGGAATGCCCAGATTACCAATACTTGAAGACTGAAAATTTTGGTCACCTGTATAAGCAGTACTATATAGTTCTTGCTGTGAAAGCTGGCCACCAATACCCCTTGATGCCAAGTGACCATATTGACTTGAGGCACCATATGCATCCTCCAAAGGGCGTGGATAGTATTGCATATTTAGGGGATCCAAAAAAGGTGGCTGGAGCATTGGCCCATGTTGCCCATAAAATCTACTTGGGTGTTGCATATCACCTCCATGGGGAATTCTCTCCCCTCTTGAAACATCAGCAGTTCGACCATTAAAGCTTGGCCCCGAAGTAGCATCAAAAGGCATAGGAAAGGAACCATGGGAAGCATACCCAGGCATATATGAAGGAAGAAATGTAGAACCTAAAGCATATCCACCGGCGCCATATTGTGCAGGAAATATACCAGATGGCTGATAATTCGGGTAGAATGGATTTCCTGAAGTCATATATGCTGCTGTTGTAGCGTACAAGGGAGGTGTGAATCCAGGTGAGTGCAATGAGGGTTGTATATCAATAGAAGAGAACTTTGGATAGCCATGGGGAAGATTTTCCATTCCACTTTGCAAATGATTCATTCCTTGTGAAACTAATTGAGTCTGAACCCCCTGACGTTGATATGGAACACTTTGTTGCGTAGAAAACTGGTCTTGTGGCACATACCTCCCATAAGATTGTTTCTCATTTTGCTTGTTGATATCAACATTAGATGCTCTCACCCTGGAAAGATCCAACCCAAGCTCACCGCTAATTGATGCATTACTCCCCAACCCATCATCATGCTCAATATTAGATTCATCTTGCTGTAGGTTCCCTGTAGCATCACGATGTTGAATACTTGGGGAGGTGGTAGCCAAAGGAACATCATTTGGTATGTACCCTACAGCATGCGCATCCAGGGAACTTGTATCTGAACAATCATTTGTAGACCCTGAATTTGGTTCTGGTAATTTTGACTTGTTGAGAGAAGAAGCATTTGGTGAAATCGAATGTACATCAGTATCAGTTTGTTCATCTGTTGTTCCAAGACTGGATGGGAGAGATTGATTATATACAGGAGATGGAGTTCGGGGGAAGTCTTGCTAAAAAACCACCAAGAAAATGAAAAACGTGAGCCATGGCAACACATACTGGAAAACTAGAGCTACTACATTAAGAAAAAATCTTGTAAACCACTTATTGGCCAAAGGAGCTAATAATAAACAACTACCACATAACAATCTGAACTATATGATTACTCATGATTCCAAATCTAGTACACACTACAAAGTATAAACTGATAAATGATTTTATGCACAACTTATCTTCAACAACAAAAAAGGGAGGGTGTGTGTGATAGAAGGGAAATATGGTAATACTTCTAAATGCATGAAGCAAAAACTAAAAACAAGAGAGTTAAACATTGTTAAGCACAGCTAAGCCAAATTATTGTTGATTAAAATTTTAGATGCTAAACCACTAACTTTAATTCCTATACCTGTATGAGATCCACTAAACTCTTATTATAACTTGCCAAAGAAGCCGTGTTCTTGACAGGCATTACTGCACCACTATTTTCTGCCAGGTTATCTTTAGATATTGTGGCTGACCTAGCATCAGTAGGGTCCTCCTTATGAGTGGGAAGAGAACCTTGAGAAAGATGCAAGGATCCATTGCTGCTGTCATCTAAAGAAGGCAATTTCCTATTGGTGCCTAAGCCCCCAATTTGACGGACCATGTGATGATTCTCCCGTAAGATAAGTGGTGGAGGAAGACTTGCATTCAAGTTCATATTCGATAAATAATATGCCAAATAAGCTGGGTCTGAACGCAGATGTTCCTCAAACTCAACATTATTAACTATGCTGCTTAAATTAGTCGAGCTTGTTCCCATACTGGAGTTATGTTGACTTAACAGGTTTTCAATAGAGGAAAAGGAACCTTCCATACTTGGTGGAGCACTACCACTTCGATTAGGTATATCTTCAGCTCTATCTCTCCGAAAACTTCGCCCCTTCGAAATGCAGCCCGAATCCTCTGCTGCCATACTTATCAATGGAGATCCAAATGTTGCAGCATCCTTAGATGAAGGCCACTTTTTGCCTCTGCTGCTTTCCACCATTCTCGTGAGGCCCTCCGTGGCCATCCTAACCGAACAATGATGGTTTTTATTTATCAACAATTACCTTCACAAATTATTTGGCAGCATATCCAAGCCATATTATGCTCCTTTCAACAGTACACAGTTGCAAGTAATAATTTGATCCAAGCAGGTAGCACACTCACAGAACCTGAATAATGTACCCGTAACAAGAAGGCCCTGCATATAGAACATAATTCGTACAAATTAACCACATCATGTCCCTTATGTATTCATGTTCATATAGAGAGATTGAAAATGAAAAATATGTTGAGAAATCTGATCCGAAAAGAATAAATAGTTCCCCATTGTTAACTTCAGCACAGACCACGTTGACAAACCCACAACAAATTCAGAAATAACTGTCTGAGTCTCTCATGAAAAAACTATCACATATCTAGTACGCAGACAGTAACCAATCTATCAAATAGAAAACGAGAGCTAAGAGTATTGAAACATAGGTAAATCCTTTCACATTCTCCTTTACAAATTGTAAGAATCCCATTGCAGCCGATAAATGAACTTCCACCCACTACAACACTTAATTGCCTACGTGTTGACCAGAATATCAGTTTAGGTGTATAAAACTACATGAGAAACTTGGTTATTTATGGTTTCCTTAAAAAATTAGCCATTTAACACTTATTTAATTTTGTTTTGGGCCATACATCACGCTACAAACTTTTTCTCATCCATAACGTAGGTCCTAATAATGAGTCACTGTACCAAAGTATACATGTACTGGAAAATTTACTTAGTATCTCAATTAGCATTGATGTTCTACTCATGCAATCTTGTGGGAATGACGATAAACACAAAAATTACTCATGTAAGAATAATGTTATCTGCAGAACCATTTCTGATGGTGATACCTATTACTTATATGGAAAATATAGTTCTGATTCAGATACATTAAACTGCCTCTCACTTAAATGCTCTCTACTGTGTATAGTTCTTATATTGTGTTTGAATTGACCTATTGCCATATGTGAACCATAGTTACTACCAAATTACCTTTGATTGTGTATAACTGCTGTAGCTGTTCATATAGCTTGTACTGTCTCCCATGCATTTGCTTTACACTCTAATACAGTACACCACTACTGTTTTAGCTTCCCAACCTTAAAGGATGGTCAATTCATGAAATGAAACTACCCTTAAACGCATTTCTTTCTAAAATCAATTCATATGCCACAATTACAACAAAGTAACCTTACGATCACAACCACTTAAACAAAACTTGTAACAGTCATTTCGAAAGCAAAATTCAAAAAACTAAACAAAACCCACTAAGCCTATACTCATTTACACCCTCTATAAGTAGAATTTGAAGAATATTCCCAGTACAAACAATCCCAAAAGACAAATGATAATAAATAGCAGAAATAAGTTCACAAAACAAAAGTATAAGCCAAAAGAAAGCATAAACTTGCACATGTTTGAACAACAGGAAGGGTATTAGAACCATCAGAAACAAGCAGAGCATGAGAATTTTGAGAACTAATGCTAAGAATTTGAGCAGAAAAGGATTGAAAGTCTCACCAGGGAATGGCAGCAATTCTTCAAAGTCTGAAATTTTGGATGAACAGAACACAAAGCTCAAGCCTTTTTAAAGCTCTGAAAGATACGTGGAATTACTAAGAAGGGGAGCTTAAGAGAGAGAAAGTCTTACAAAGAAAGTGCTTGAGACTTGAGAAACAGAGAGCTTCTTTGTTTGAGAAATACAAGAATGTTGCTTGCATAACATTCTCATTTCTCAGGGTTTGAAGCTTTTAATATTAAAATGCTTTTGACAGTTTAAATAAGTAGAGTTTTATTCTGGAAATATATGTACAGTAAATGACATAAATGCCATCGATGCTTAGCCTTAATCTGGTATTTTGGATGCTGTGTGTATGGATAATTATGTCCATAGATGGGGACACGTGTGACTTCAAGGTTTGCCCCAAATAAAGTTCTCAAACACGTGGCTTCCTGGCTATTGTTGACATTAGTTAGGTCTTCCAAAACGTGAGGCAGTGTTTGGATGTATTTGTATGTGTCAAGGAATGGTATTTACTTGAATTTGGGTTCAAGCCTCTTGGGAAGTTCAACACCATTTCTTTACACTTTCTTCAAGCTTGACTTCCTATACGAATTGAAGCAACAATTGTATTGGTTTTCCATGCCTATGTGGCTAGTAAATGAAGTTAACGGTAGTTCAAAACTCAAGTTCTATTTTGAAATACTACTAAAATTTAATGATGTAAATAATTTTGTAAATTCAGAGCGAGCAGTTCTGCCCCGAATAATATAGAATTTCAAACCCACAAACACGACAAGAGTTCAAACTCTCGACCTTTTCTTTGTTTGAATACAAATCTCACGTAATAAAGAATTTCATATTCACACTCACGATGAGTTCAACTCTCAACTTTTTCCTTTTTGAATAAGAAAGGGTATAGAGTTGGTTCAAGGAGAGTCTATATTAAAGTCATAGAAAATTCACTTGCGAAAAGGAGGCAGTAGGTGACTTAATTGTCACGAACTTACAATCACAAAATTCATGAGTATTTTTGTATTGGCAAACTCCAAACACTCCTCCGTGTGAAGTTTGTCATAGAGTGGTTGTCGTTTGTAGGCCTACTTGGCCGTTTAGAGGACAATCCACTTGGTTACTTGAGGAGCCAAAACGTCACCGTCCAATACATCCCCACTATTTATTGCCCTTCTTTTGGTTAGTAATACACTTGCTATTGAAATGTTATAACTTGGTGACGAGATTACCCCCTTAAGATGGATAATACCATTGGAATTTACTCGCTCAGCCGACCCTTCGCGCGGGGTAGTCTTGGGTTTTAACTCATTAATCAACTGCTGACGTCACAAAATGTGGGGCCTGATAGTAGCATTCATAAATTTTAGTCAACTGCCTATATTATAGGAAATTACATCCTTACCCCCTAAGAACATATGATATGTGTCCAATTTATTTAGCTAGTGCTTGTTTTGTTTTTTTGTTTTTTGCTTTATTTGGTGAGAGTTTGAGCGAGAAAAGAGTGTTGGATCAATTGATTGAAAGGCAAAAATTTAACCCAAAAAATAAAAAAAGAATTAATTGTAAACAATTATCATACTAGTTTCTTAATTGAAATTGTATTTGTCAGGATAATTTTTCCATTGGGTAAATGTTAAATTTTTTGTTTCACATATTGGGCATTTTGGACACATAACAATGAAAAATATTATAATAAAAAAATACCCCATAAAACAAATCAAAGCATAAAGCATATAGAACATAGCCATAGAGCATATCAACTAAAGCAAAAGCCCATATCTAGGGCCACGTGAATGGTGACTATGTGAGGTGGTGGCTTCTGTTAAAAGCACTGTGGAGTTTAGTATGTCATCTTTTAGGGAAGCGTGTTCCCGAATGCCACAACATTTTAGATTTTCTAACGTGAGATGTCTTGGCTTTATTGTCCTAAAGATTAGCCCTCTGCGCTGTTTGGTGGGAATTTCCGGAGTCGTACGGAAAATTAGCAGTTTAACTCACACAATTAAAATTATACAAAATTAGTGAAATACTTATTTCTAGATATGAAACTATAAATATACCATACATTATTAATACATAGAAACACACCCAAAATAAACCCAAAAATCAACAATTGTATATTTTTTTAATTTAATTAATAAGATGAAATACCTTTATTACCTTTTTTAGCATTAAATTAGTTTTGGATCTCGCTTGAATTAGAATGCAAAGAACATAAAAATTCCCTCTCATCCTTCAAACCCTTATCTCTCCTCTGTTCTCTCCCTTCTTCCCTCTCTCTGCCTTCAGAGTAAACCAAACAGTCTCAAAAACTATTCTATAGCTATGGTAGAAAAATCCACCTCACACTTGTTCTCGCTGCGGATGCCTCCATTTCCTTTGCAGGTTCGTTCTATCTACTTCAATTTGTTATCTTCCTTTTGATTTTTGCTTAATTTACTTGAATTTCGACTCAATTTCATTTTCATGTGGCCACTCTGTAGATTTGAGGTGTCAATGGCCAGATTTGTCCGGTGTTCTCGATTTTCAACCGGGATTTCCTATTTGCTAATGCCGATGACGACGATTGTTCTAGGGCCAGAGGGGCTACCGCTTTGTCTTCTTCTCTGCGCTCGCCTTTGAAGAAGCTCTTCTTTGAAAAGCAGGATACGTCGACCTTGAGAACATCGTTTTACAACTTAGGAGGTGGACTCAGGTTCTGGTCCATGAGATCAACTAGCTTCTGTTTAATCATCAACACCCTCCATAGTAACAAGGAGATCTTTCTCTGTGAGCTCTCTGATGTACGTATTTGTTAGATAAAAAATGTACTAAGGAAATTAAAAATTCACCAAACATAATCTCACTCTTATTTACAAATAAGAGTTTTTTTTATTTTTTTTTAAATTGAGTACGACCCATTCAAGATAAAAATATTTCTTAATTATAATCTCTTTGGAAAGAGAAAGACCATTTGATTCCAATATGAAGAATGAAATAAATAATGGAATTTGATTTGATGTTGCGGCTACATCCAGAGAACCCTAGACTACCTACACACCTCATTTTGGGTATCAAGCCTTTTGTAGTTCTCACACAATTTTATTGGACTTTCAAGGAATGAATGACCCCTTGGAAAGAATTTGTGGTATGAGAAATATTTTATGGAATTTGGACGAATGTGGTTGGACCAGGGATTCAATTTTATTTATGATTGGAAAAGTGTTTAGAGCGAATTTGGTTAAGGTAAACCAGGGATTCTGTTTGGACTTGCGGTTATATTTGGATTGAATTTCCAAATTGCCTACGTATCCTTGGCGGAATCAAACCGGACATAGTTTAGAAAAAATTTGATTGGACTTTCAAGGAATGAATGACCCATTGAAAGAATTTGTGGTATGAGAAATATTTTATGGAATTTGGATGAATGTGGTTGGACCAGGGATTCAATTTGATTTTATGATTGGAAAAGTGTTTGGGGCGAATTTGGTAGGAATTCTGTTTGGACTTGCTGTATTTGGATTGAATTTCCAAATTGCCTACGTATCCTTGGCGGAATCAAACCGGACGTAGTTCAGAAAAAATTTGATTGGACTTTCAAGGAATGAATGACCCCTTGAAAGAATTTGTATGTTTGAGAGATTTGAATTTTGATCTCATTGAAATTTGCACGGGTAGATGACCCATGGGGAAAATTTGGAATGGTTTTATACCATTTGGGTTTTGGCGTGGTTTTGTACCACTTAGGAAATTTAGGACTTTTGTATCAATTAGAGAAATCCAGCTTGTGACTTGTGACTTTGAGACTTGGAAATCCAGCTTGTGACTTGTGTTGGCCACGGGTAGCAATGAGAAGGCGCAGTTGTGTCAAGCCTTCTCACCCATTTCTTTAACATATGAGCTTTGTTTTGCCTTTAGCTAAAAGTTTGTTTTGGCTGTTGCAAATTCCTTCCTATCTTGTTTGTGTTTTTGTTTATAGGTTGATGGAACAAGTGTAGCACATCCTGTTTCACAAACCAAACTTTACAACGAGTGACCTCTGTTGATTTACTTTAATTTCTACAAGATGTTCACATGTTCACAGAAATTCTTTAAGAAATTTGACTGAGAATTTGACATTTGTTTTGTCCCTTTTCTATTTAGTTTTGTCTGCACCTTGACTTCCAATTTGAAAGCGTCCACCATTTTTTTTTTTAATGCCAGTAACATTTGCTGTTATTTTGGTGCCAAATGGAATTTTGAAGATTCCAAACTTTGGAGCACTAGCATCTTGTCTTCGATTTTTTTAATAACAGAAGCCCAACGTTTTATTCTGGTGTTGACAAAAGTTATTTCATGGCTTGCTGCAAACCATTTAGTGTTGACAGAGAACAAAGTCTGGTTTCTGTTTGTTAAGGCTTGCCGAGAGTACCATCATGTGCCTTCGAACACTCAAAAGGTGTTCTAGGCACTTGATACAGTGGTGTTCTTGCAGAAGTCCATCTGTATATTTTCACAGAAAATAGATCCTTGTGAGAGCTCCCTTTATGTGAGTTGTGCAGCCATCACCAATTTGGGAGGATTAATACAATGGGGTTCTTACAGAAGCCCATCTGTATATTTTCACCAAAAAGAGGTCCTTCCGAGAGCTCTTTCTATGCAATGTTGCAGTGACACCACTATTTTATCTCTGGGAAGGATCTAATCTTTTTGTCTGCAGTTTCTTGAGATCTCTAACAAATTGACAGCAAAGGCATGGAGGAATTTTGCACTGCACATTCTCAAAGCCTTGACTTGCTGCTGTTTTGATGTCATTATGGTTTTTGCGGTTGTTAACAACCAAACCTCTTTTGCTTGCAAGTTAATTTAACAACAAAGAGCTGAACTGGCAAATATAATTATACCTTGCTGATGATGCTTTTGATTTGCTGTTCTAACTAGCGCTTGGTCGTGTTTCTTTTTATTTTCTAGTGACTTTTGCAGCACTTGGGATTTTCTCCTTTTGCTTCTTGCCTTCAATTTATGCAGCACTTCGTTCCTCCTTCAGACTTCTCGCCTCTGCCTTATTTCTTTTTTGCCTCTGTTTCTGCCTTTTTTCCTGCAGCACCTCCATTTTTTCTGCCCTCTCTTTTTTTCTTTGGTTCATGCCTTTTTATAGGCAAACAGGTAAGTGGCAGTTGAGGGAGACTATTTCTTCCCAGATTGTGCCATCGTTTTGATAAGTGGAGTGGTGGGAGATAACCTGCTCTATGCACAATCTCACCTTGACATTCTTTTTATTTCTTTTAATTTCTTTTGAGAGTGGGGCTATAATGGGACTTTTTCTTAGAGATAAATATATGGGATTTTATCTCTAGGCACGTCATTTTGTTGTTGAGTTCTTCATTTGGGCATCACTTGATTTAGAATTGATTTGTTATAGCCCAAATGCCTATCCAAATTAATCTTATAGGTTTTTTTTTTTTTTTTTTTTTTTTTTTTTTTTTTTTTTTTCAACAGTATTTTCACCATATATTTTTTTATGATGATTCTCATTTCAGTTTGGAAGGAAACTAATTTATTTGTTCTTTAGCCGTGATAGACATATTTGCTTTGGTTGATGAGAAAACAAAAAGAAAGAGAAAAATTTGTGGCCTAGCAGCTCAACTTGATACTGTTCAGTTTTCATGCATACACTTCCCTAATTAACAAACAAAATAGCATAAATAATAGTACTATCCATTTTCCATGTACATAGTTCTTAACTGAAAAAAAAGAAGCAAAATTAATATAATTGGTGCTAAAAGGTCAGGTTAGCACTGCCATGGCCTTTCTTTCTTTAGGGGCACCAAAAATACAAATTAGCCAATACATTACAGAGAGGATGTATGTCTTCCCTCCATTCCTAGGATTGTTCCATGTAATATTAACCAAATTCAGTTTCCCTACTATTGGCTCTATGATTGACCAAAGCCTATCTATTAGGTACATTATATGTTTTAATTCATTTAGTTTTGGTGTTGTCGAATGATCCAAAGAACATAGATAGATACATAATTTTTTTAATTTCATAATAGTCCAATGATCTAAGTCTTCGGATACTCATAACCTCGCACTTACAACAAGAATTAGACTTTCATCTTTGTATTTACAAATTTTATCTTGATTTCAGGTTACTCAAACTTGTTGGCCAAGATTAGGTTTTACACAGAGGTAACACAACGAAGCAAGCAGCATTTACAATGTAATAAATGATTAATCATGTTTTGTATTCATTGCCTTGAAGCATGTCTTGCTTAGGACACATTGGTTAAGTCATGCACAAATAGACCACTATCTGACCCCTAACTCCAGCAATGCTTAGCCAACAAACTACGGCCCAACCAAGAGACCAAGCTTTATACATCATTTCAAGTTGCTAGCTAAGAGTCTTATAAAAGTTTAACCAAAAAATTGGGGTGAGTTACATATGTTTTGCTAAAACATCTGTTTTGGGAAATTGGGTTGCGGATAAAATGTGTCAATATTCACAAATTCCTCATTTTTATAGTTATAAAATGAGAAAGTTGGTTTATTTATTGTACTAGTTTGTGCAATTGTTTTTGCTTCTTAGTGGTAGCTAAAAGAGAGCTTGAACTTTTTTGCCTTACAAGTTTGTAATAGAATTGCAATTGAATTTAATGGTCAGGCTTTGATTTCATTTTGGTCTTCTGTTATTTTGGTGAAGAGAGAAATTATCATTTTGAACTCATTCTAAGTGTGTCGTGTGATTGAATTTATTCATTTCTCTGTGCTTTGATGTGGCATTTGCAACAAGTCAATTTTGACTTTTTGGGTGGTTGTGGGTCAAATATATGACTCTTGTAAATTGCAACAAGCTGGTAAGTTGATTTGTAGTATATAATTTGTTATATGTAATTGGTATGAACAATTGTTAACTTCCAGTAATTTGTATGAACAGTTGTTATACTATTCATACCTTGCAACTGAGTTGATTTGTATGACATAATATTAACAGTATACTTCTATGACATGGTAAACCAAGGTCTAAAATATCGGTGATATCAGAAATATCGGTAGTCCAAAAATACAGAAATTTCGATGGAATATCGGGATATTATCGATATCGATAAAAATTGAATAAAAACCACAGAAATTGTAAGAAAAACTTGAAAATTTTTATTGAAATTTGGAGGATGCTTATTTAGTCAATTATCTATTAGTTTATCGCAAAAAATTGGAAGGAAATGCATTGCATGGTAGGGTAAATGAGTAAGTTGAAACGTGGTGAATAGTTGAAAAGTTGAAACTTGAAAAGCAACTCGCAAGTATTATATATACAAGATGTCATAGTTCATATCACAAAGTTATGCGTAGCATAGTGGTGAAGTGGTTGCAAAATCCGTAGGGGAGTGGGGTTCGAACCTCATTGTGTGCGAGAACATGAGTGAGTTTAACTTGTTTAATTTTGAAAGTTCAAGTCGGGATATTATATATACTAAGTTTCGTAGTTTATAAGTTTATGATATGCAAAATGTGATTTTTACTAGGAATATAGTTCTATGACATAGTATTAATAGTGTACTTCTGTGACATAGTATTAACTGTGTACTTTTTTTATCTTCTTCTAGAGTTATTTCCTTTTGCCTTTGTGATTGTATCTGGTGAAACTGTGGACAATTGGAGGTAACTGCAAAGTATATCAGATGTCTTGCTAGGCTTTTTTGGGTTTTTTTTATAGTTTTTTTTTTGTATGAAATGGTATTAACAATGTTTTTCTATTGTATTAATAATGTTTTTTTTCTATGAAATTATATTAACAATGTACTGCTATGGCATGGTATTAACAATGTACTTCTATAATATGATATTAAAAATATACTTCTATGATATGATATTAACAATGTAATTTTATGACACATGGTATGAACAATGTACTTTTATGATATGGTATTAACAATGTACTTCTATGATATAGTATTAACAATGTACTTGCGGAGGTTTGATCGAGAATGAAAGGTCATGGGGACAGGCCCTTGGTTTTGTTTTTTTTTTTTTTTTTTTTTTTTTTTTTTTTTTGGGGGTTTTTGAGGGGTGTAATATGGGATGGGCTTGCTGGGCTTGTTTTGAGTTTTTTTAGGAATTTTGTGTTGAGCTTGTTTTAAGTTAATCAATGGCAGATATGTAATTTATAGTAACTTCAATACTAATTTTATATGTAATAAATGATTTTTTGGTATGTTTCTAAAGTGCATTCCATGTGAGTTTTTTTTATAATTAAAGCCTCTATTTTGGGTATATTACTAAAGCTCCCTTGAAATTACAGGTCAACCCGATACGACACCACCAGTTGCCAGCCCTAGTAGTCTATGTGTTGCTATAAAACAAACCCTCAAGCTTAAACTTCTAGTCCTTGCAAAAAGTCCTAAAGAGACTTATAAACTTCTTAAGAAACTCATCATATTTGAGTAATGTTAATTCAATCACCATGCAGTCAATGTTCTTGTTAGAGCAAATTTACTACCAGCAACTCTAGTTTAATGACAAAATAATAGCATACTACAATTGCAGAAAATTTAGTCTGAGCAACTTTTTGTTTTATATTCATATAGGAAACTGATCAATGGCTCTCCTAGTCTTAATGGCAAAAGGGAAGTTCCTCATTCCTAGAGAAAATGAGAGACTAGAGAATGGGATCCGTCTGCTGCTGCCAAACATCAAAGGAACATATACTTAGCTTCGTAGTTCATTCCTAGAGCTATTAACAAGGGAAAAGGGTGGGAGAGGGGTCTCTCCACAACTTGCCGTCTACTAAATCTAGTTTTTTCATCTTTTCCTCACACCAAAACAGCTGCTCTTTGCTTATTCTCACCATCCGCAGAACCCTCGACAAAACTTTGGCATCAATGAGGCTAAACAAAAGCTGAACATCTTCTTGTGATTGTGGCCAGGATTTCTTCTTCCAGCCTTTCCTCTTGTTCCGCAGTTCCTTTAGTTTCATCCATTTCTGCAGCACAATTACACAAGTTTTAAGACATTATATAATCATTTGAATGAGAAAGAATTGAACATAATATTAATAGAAGGATTACCGCCGCCATATACTCTTATCAGTTCTTATACGTCATTGCATTCCATGACATGAATACCACACAGAACAATGTGGTGATTACAAGAATCAGTTAGTAACCAAACCACAATGGTCATGAGATACAACAAACTGGAGAAAGCTTTCTATTACTTGAGGGTAATTTAGTACTCTTCTATATTTTTATATTCATGCATAACCATATATGCACACACAGAGTTTGGAGCAAACTTTTGGCTAACGATTTAATGATCACTCATGCTTACAAAATCTAGATGGTGTGTGTTGTGTTGTGCGTACACCTACAAGAGGTTTGTGAAGAAACTCGCACAAATAAGGATAAGGCGTGAACCTTCAACAAGTACACAATACAAGTGTTGTGCGTAATAAACCAGAACAGACTGTTTCATAATTGGGATCCCTAATCAGAAGGCTATGAATTTCCTAAGCCCACTTTTCTTATAAGACTTTGCTATAACTTGTATAAAGATGTCAAGGTGGAAAAATACACCAGCAAACTTCACCTTCTCAAGAGAAGACTGAATCTGCTGAAGTGGGGTGGCAGCCTGGTTTTGATTCCCAAACAAGTTAAGAACGGAGCTTGTTTTTTTCTTATCCATCTTCACAAAAAGCTGAAAAGTGAGGATTGAGGTTTCAATAATCTTGATGAGATCAGGGGCATGAACCATATAATCTGATTCTTCTTCCTCCGTTCCTTTTTTAACTGGACCTGAATAGATTCATGAAGCCAAGTTGTTAAAATCACAAGCACAGAGACAATGAAATTAACAGCAGGTATTAATTCTAGCAAGCTGATAACAAATATATACGCATTTTATAGTACATAAAACTCGGCTTCTACTCTCAAGTGAATTTACAACCATAGTAGACATAAATTTTTTTATCTAAAATATTTTGGATTTGTCACAAGAACCTTACTTTGTATATCAGGGACCCGGAGTAATTTAGGCAGATGTCTCTGAGTGCGAGCATAAATTTCAGCCCTGTGGCCCTCCTCAAAAGGTTCATTTTCAATAAACCTTTGTAATAAAACCTGGAATTGTTGAAACTGTTGAGCACTGTGGTTATAACAGTTGGGATTGTCAGGTTGGCATGTGATTAGCTGGTTCAGTTGAGTGTACTGACAGTGCAGTGCCTCCCAAGACAAGCAAATTTGAGCTACATATGATGTCTCAATATCCTGATAAGGATCATTCTCTGGCTGCTGAAGATGCTCAGTCTCATCATCAGGTTCTTCAATCTTCTTCAAAGAAAGGCAGCGAAAAGGGGAGGTAAGCTTCTTAGATGCAGATCTTGGTGATGGAGTTGTAGGGGTTTGGATACCTGCAGAACCTTTATTTGTGATGGAAATTTGAAGAATCTATAGGTATGCAGTAATCATGCAAATCAAGAAACAACAAATAAACTAATGTAAGGTTGTTAGAGTTTATATGGATATTAACAGTCCTAATCTTCAATATGGAGAGTATTATTTAGTTTGCATATTAAGTGGCTGTAACTGTGGATATGAACAGATAGCTTCAGAAACATGAGCTTACTTTTACAAACTGAAATAGATGTAATTTAGTTCACATTTTGCTGAGAAATGATGTCTTATTCAAACAGAAAAACTGATATATTAGATTCAGAAGAGAAACTAATGTTAGCAAAATAAGAAACTGAAAAATTAATGATGCCTCGTGCGTCTACGCTCAACTCAATCAAATTACTAGCATTATTGAGCTATCTATATTTGTCTGAAAATTCAACTCTCTGCCAATTATTTCAAAGATAAACTAAAAGCTCAAAAAAGATGCACTTCTATTTATATCTATACTTATTCTAACATCCCATATAGGTTGTTGGGCACAGACAACCTTTAGTTGTTTTTCTATTTTAGCTATGAAGGGGAAAACTTCATATGTATTCTTAATCCAAAAAAAAAAACTTCATATGTATTTTATGTGGGTAGATTTGTATAAAGATGTTCTTTCAAGCCCAAACAACCAGTCAAAAAGAAGTGGTCTTAAAAGTATGCTGTAATTTGAAAAAATATAAATTAGAACAAATCATTATGTTTACCAGTTTCATTAAGATGCTGCGCACTCATCCGTTCAAAGAACAACATTCTCTCGCAGTACTTGTCATATACAGCACCAAAGCCACACCACCATTGCCGGCCTTCTGCTTCTACATCCCTCCACTCGTTAGAGCTGGTCTCACCATGCTCTTCTTCTTCGTCCTCTTCCGGGAATGACTCTTCTTCTGGAATCAACACCATAAAACTATTCCTTCTCAATTCTTTTAACCTCCGCTTGACCTCCTCTGTTATGAAATCATCATCATCATCCTCGGCCTCAACTATAGAATCAGCATTAGCTGACTTACCAAAATCATCACCACTCTCCTTCCTAGGTTCCTCCAGCTGTGGCACAGGATTGTCCTCTGAAACATTTTCTGGGTTTGGTTTCTGGGCTTTTCTAAACTTTTTAACTTTGAAGAAATCCATAATCCAATCAACAACAGATAGGCTTTTCTCAATACTTACTCCAGCAATAATAACTCCACTTTGTTCCAAGGTTTCTAAAGACTAAAGGCAATGTGATCTACCAGTAGATATGTTGTGACTTTTGAACAATAAAACCATGAAGTTATAACAGAAAAATTGGTAAACTTGCATTTCTCAAATCCATTCTGAGCCAGAATCTGATAAGTAAGAAACCCTAGATCTAAGAAGAAGATCTAACAATCCAAGCCTCCTAATAAGAAAATGAGTGATCTACACACTGAACTGGTGACAACCCAGAAACTTTAGTGAGTTCAGAACAATAAAAGTACAAACTTTTAGTCAACAACCTTAAATAAAAACATCATAGAGCTCATCAAACGTCAAGGTACACAAGCTACAAGACTTCAGAGAACTCAAAGTACAGATCAAGAAATCACCTTTTGGTAGACTCACCAACACGCCAGAGAGATCAGAACCCACAAAATTGCTCAAAGATCAACAGCAGATTTCTCCAACATTTCCAGTGCCTGGAAGTACATTACACTAGCAGCCACCTAAAAACCCCCCAAATAAATACAAAAACCACTACCTCTTAGGAGCTCGGTCGGTGGCAGCATACACAGTGATCAAAACCCAAAATACCTTAAAATTGCTCATTTCTTCAACATTCCACTGCTCAAAACCACGCCTTTAAGCTACCCTACACTGAAAAGTAAGTCCCAAAAGATCAAAAAGTGCATGAACAGCTAAGACACCCTCATGAAAAGTACCACAAAGTAAAGTCAATCTTCCAACTCCTAGAAAGCCCAACACTGAAAAAATGTGAACCCTTAAATACCCAAAAGCTAAATCACCCAAAAATCCATGAAATCCCAGAAGATCCAACTGCATTTATTAGCTACTGAAGCCCCAAAAACACAAAACTTTTAATTATGAAGAAAAAGAAACGGTCCCAGCCAGAAACCCAGCTACCCAGAAGAGCAAAATATGCAGAGAGAAGGGTGAACACTGTTTGGGAACAATGAAAAATGCTTTGCATGTGAGCGATAAATGGTTGGGTTGTACTAATTTCCCAATAAAATCAGCTTCTTTTTCCTTTTCAAATTACTTTCAATTTAATTTAATTAAAGTTTGCTATAAATGAAAGATCTTTTCTTTTTCTCTTGTTTGATTTTATTTAATAAATGAGTTGGGATTCAGATTAATTCGCTATAATTTAATGGGTGTTTCTGACTGTAACAATGTGTTGGGTTTTGGATTTTTCTCGGAAAGGGGAAGAGCTCGAAACTCAAGAGGAACACAGAACAGTAGACATTAGCATTTGGAGTGAGGAGAGAGAGACACTTGTGTCAGTCCTCGTACAGAGAATATTGTCATAAACACAGATTAGAAAAAAAAAAGCCGCGCAAAAGTGTGTTTGATTTGTGCATGGTGATCCAAATTACATTCTTGCCCTCCTTAAACTTCTAAAATGACCATAATGTAAATCTTCATCTTTTTCTTTTCAATTGAATAAATATGATATGAAATTATTTTGCATTTTGTTGTCGGTGGAAATTGCCATCCAATCAATTTTCACGCTTAAGAGCATGGTGAGTTATTCATGTGATTGACTAACCTCATGAAATATGTGCTTATTTGGTGTAGAAATATATTAAATTGGCAATCCATCGAAAACAGATCAACACAGAAATATATGTATCTATAGTTAAGATATTGGAGGAATTAAATGAAAACATTTGTTACCTCAACATTCTCATCCAGGCGATCATATATGATGAGGTAAAATTCTCATTTGCGCCATTACATATGAGATTGCAATCTCAAGTCCAAATTTAAGAAATGATCGAAAATGATCGAAAATGAAGAAAAGTGTTATAAATTTTGATTTTATTTTTATGTTATGGTGTGATGATAATAACTGCATATATTGTGTTACGATGTATTAGTTTATTGTTGTCATTTGATAATTTGATAGAAACAAAACAGAATAATAATCAAAGGTAGTTTGTCTCTCCTTATTGTAGGAACAATTGAAAGTAAAATGACAAATGGGCGTAATTCGTTTGTGCTTAAATCTTTTGCATCAGTTTCAATACTGTGTACTTGGACAAACAAAGAAAACAAGTCAAGCACAAAGTAAATAAACACTGACAAAAGTTTTGATTATAGAGGTTGTCATTAATGTTCCAAATAGTTATCATATACTCCTTTATTAAAGGAGGATGAATTATTTTAGAGTACTAATAACAATTTTCTCTTAAAAAACTTTTAATGAAAAGAAAAGAAAAGAAAATACGAGGACATGTATCCGTAATCAACATAAAAATAAAATAAAATAAAAATGAACGACTTATTTTAGAGTGCTAATAAAAATTTCCTCTTAGAAAATTCTAAATTTATATATATATATATATAAAGCAAAGACAGAGAATAGTAAAACATTCAAATACCAGAAAATGCCATTGGTTAATGCAAACATTAAAATTTGAAATTATTAATTAAATGAGGATAATATGATAAATTCACAATTTTCATATTAAAAAAATTAAAATTAAAAGAAAAATAAGATAATAGATCTTATTTTTATAGAACACAACTACCCATTATCTTTTTTCATTTTAAAATAAATAAATTTTTTAAAAAAATTAGCCTCTCGCAGGTGCAGAATCGCGTGCTGAGAGGTTAGTGAAAAGAAAAGAAAATACTCGATCATGTATCCGTAATCAACATAAAATAAAATAAAATAAAATAAACGTTATATTTCAACATAAAAATAAAAGTGGAAATAAAAACTCTTGTGGGCTTCAAAATATTTGGGCCCACAGAAGACAAGTCCGTTTCGATAGTCTACTGCCATATTCATTGGAGAGGCCTTCAACCAAAACACTTGATATCGTGAAAATTAAAATTAAAAAATAAAATTTCCGTTGCCGGGACTTGAACCCGGGTCTCTCGGGTGAGAGCCGAGTATCCTGACCAACTAGACTACAACGGATTTGTTAATCATAACAACAAAGATTATTTATATACCATTGTACAAAGACGGTAACCTTATTTATTAATTTAATTTCGCCCAAATAAAATTAGTGTTTTATCCCTCATTGATTTCTTTTAGACAATTCTAATTTCTCCCAACTTTCTTCCCCAACCTGGGTGGCATTTTCACATTGTAGTCCACAAAAGTTGTAACTTCTAATGGCATTTAGAAATTAGTCTAACAAAACACAAGGGGGTTGACCCCAAAGAATCTTGTTCACGGCTTTATGCTAAAATATTATTTCAAGTTGCATTACATTCTCGTGGTTGTAGTTATACAACAAAAAATTTCAAGCAACTCTTCTCCTCTATTTGGGTACGTATTCGAATCATGCAACTATTAACAGTACAAATATAAACAGTTTCTTTATGCTCCTATCAAGCATGGTACACAAGACTTTCAATTTTTCAGACGGCCATTCTCTTCGAGATGAGACAGAAGGCAGAAGCAAAGAGTGACCCCTATATATATGTATACAAATACTCATGAATCCTGAATAAATAGGCATTTGAGGTGGATCAGTAACCTAACCAAATGGATGGTATTGGCTGAAATTTGGTCTTTGCGCAAGCCAACACATCATAGTAATCTACATGATCAAAGCAGTCGCGAAAATCTGTGAAGAGCTTTTCAAACACCCTCCATTGGACTTTGATTGATCTTGAGTAGGGGTATGGAAGAAAAACCTGCTGAATGTGAATGAATTAGCAGCGGATGACCTATACCACATCAAAGAAAATAAACATTTGCAAGAACAAGATAAACTTGGTCGTGTTTGTATGGTGCTTTGTCACAAAAATACAGGTAATTTCTCCTACAGTATCATCCATATTCTCCACCACTAAAACAAAACACTATCAGCCAACACATCCTCTTTAAGTAATTTCATAAATCAACTCAGATAGTAAATGTCAGAGAGAAAAGACTGAACTAATGTATGCTCGGTATCTCCACAGTAGTTATAGTGAGTATATTAATTAACAGAAAAGATAGCTTACATCCCCCTCTTGTGCGAGGCGTTTAAGTATTTGAAAAGTGTGCTCATTTTCCTCTAAATTGTCAAGAACAGCCAGCCAGATCTGGGAAGCAAGATCATGAGCCATGTCTCTCGATTTACCACAAGCAATAAACTGATCTGCTAAAACACGCAGTAATCCTGGGTCATGATGTGAAAAGAATTTACAGCCTGGTATTAAATAAACTAAAGTGTGAGCACCAAACTTCACTATCAGATTTGATATCCAACAATCCTTGCCACATGACAGTGGACAATAACAGGTTCAAGATAACATGTACATTCCAATACCATATTCTAATTATCAGGACACTGAGATTGGAATTCTAGAACATCAAATGGCATCATGGAATACAATTTGTGAGGTACAGACATGGGGATGTATACTTATGCACGCCATACATGTTATTTAAAGCAAAAAAAAAATGAACATGTCCATAAGCCAGAAGCAAATGCAAGATTAGGGATCAGTATTTAACTAAAGTATAGTCATTGCACATATCAAATTTTCAAATCTAAACATATGAAGGTAGAGAGCAAGAAAAATGCAAGCAAAATTTGAAACAGACCTATTATGGTTCCATGCAGTATGCTAGAAGAGGGTGGCATAGTTGAAAGCTCAAGCTGCTCTTTTAGAAATAAATATGTATGGCCCACAATCTCATCAATCTCACCATCCAGAGAAAAGATATGTTTACTGACATATAAAGCTGCAAATCTCCTGAGAAAATTGTCAATAGCTTAGCAAAATATAATGCATGGATTTTGAAGTGAAGCACATGCATCAGACCAGCAGCTACTGTAAAATATATCCTTGCACTTTTAAGTCTAAGTTGTTTTTTCTGCATTGATTTGGAAACAAGATTATAATGTGGATCTTAGGGGAGAGTCGCAGCTATCTGCTTAGGATGGGAAAGGAGATTCTTCACTAGAAATCCAGAACAACAGAACATAAAAACTCAGAAGAAAGTAATTATTAAAAGAGATAAGAGAAATTGGAAAGTTAGAAATGGATAGAAAGCAAGAAAAAAGAAATGACCATAGCAAGGAGAAATGTTATGCTACCTCTTGCTCAACCCTCGAGGGATAGGTCCAGGCCACCTTTTAGCTTGGTTAGCCAAAGGATATGTTGTAGCAAGAGCAGCTTGCCACAAGCATTCTCCACGAAACAGATTGGCCCACTGTTTTTTGACACAGGATATTTGTGCCCACTCCGAGACAGGAACTCGAATGAAAATTTCTATTAGGAGATGATCAGGAAGCTTTCCAAATGAACTATCAACTGACATTAGAGTTCTGCAATGTGAGAACCAAAAACATGAAAAGTTACTTCAACAGGAAAATCAACAATAAAATGGACAAATCTTCGTTTAAAACAAGGTCATAGTTTATGGTTCTGAACAAATACAACATTTTCCAAAGCACTGAAATTTCCAAACCGAAGAATAAATTCTTAACCTAGTGCTATTAAAGAAAACTACCAGACCCAATCAAGCTCCAAAAATTATATTAGCCAACACACTCCATCTTAAAGTTTATATAGGGTGCATGTATTATTATCTTTTGGAACTTCAATGCCATCATTGAATATTCCATAGCAATTACAAGAACCAATCCATCATCCAAAAGGGGATAGTTGAAAAGAAAAACTTAGCCATTTGTAGAATAACTCTAACCAATCAGTATATCATAGTCAGATAATTTCTGAAGTGGTTATCAGAGAATGCAAGGAATTTCAAAAAATAACAAGATTAACTTATTCTTGTTTCATCAAAATACAAAGCAACCCATACTTGTTTCATCAAAATCAATCCAATTCTGATAAATTTACTCAAAGACCAAATAATATACAAAATACAAAGCAACAACTCCTCCAGAAATTAACACCAAAATACAAAGCAACCCATACTTGTTCATCAAAATCAATCCAATTCTGATAAATTTACTCAAAGACCAAATAATATACAAAATAGAAGAGATGAAAAGGAAGGAAATGAATGGAATATCACTTAATTAGCCCACCAAACACATGTTACTCTTGCAATTACATAAATGCAAAGCTGAAACAATTCAGGATACCATAAGCCTTGTTGAATTAACATAATTCTATTAAATTTTCAGTTCAAAGTTCAAACCCAAAATACATTCCCATCAAAAATGAAAAAGGGTAAAAGAAAGATGAACACTTCGTGAAAAATCAGGATAGATAGGTACTTAATCTGCTAAAAATAAATATACAGAGTAGAAAAGTTCAAAATTCTATAAAGCGCATGGAAGGAACTTGGCCACACCCACAAAAACAGAGTAAAAGCTCAGTGGAGATTTCATGGTGCAAATATGAACCGAATGAGATAAACAACCATTCAGCAACATCACTGGGCAAACAAAGTTTATACAAATAAAATTTCAGAGAGAGAGAGAGAGAGAGAATGATAATGAAAATTAACCTGAGAGGAAGAGTGAGTTTTTCAGCTCAAAGCTTTGCCTTTGTTGGCCGAATTTTCAGCTGAATGTTGCAATAGAAGAAAAGAGTCCTGCTTTGCTCTGCTTAGGTGGCTATTTCAGGTGAGTGACGTGAGATCTTTTGTTTAACTCTTAAAAATTGAGTCTTTTTCGGTCGCTGCAGAGTTGCTGCTGTTCGTAAGCTTGTTAATTACAGAAAGAATAAAATAATGAAGAAAACCCTTTTTTGTGGTCTGCAATGCTTTGGATGAATTGGCATATGTGCCTCCTAGGATACACGTACGTTCGTGGGTTGGTTTTTACTACCAACCATGTGTTGGATGCTCGGATCGGATGTGAAATGATGCGACATACTATTGTGGTTATTTCCAGTCAGCATAATACGATGTGACATATTATAATATAAGACCCATAAAAGAATAATAAGGGTCCCAAATGGTAACTGTTGTGGAAAACATGTTACTATTGTTGTAAAAAATAACTTACTTGCAATGTGGTGTATATTTTTCTTCTTGTCTTTTTTTATTATTCTGTGATGAAAAGATAAATTCATATAAATTCATATTAGATATGCTATAACTATTGTGGAAAATAACTTACTTGCAACGGAGCATGTATTTCTTCATGTTTATCTTTCTTTTTCATTGATGTAAAGAGAAATTGATTACTAGAGAAGAGAGACGTACACCAAAAAAAAGTATATTTCAGGTTACATGGTGAAACAAAAAGATATGTGGAGGTTGAAATCAGTAAAATATTTAAATATTAACTAAAGAAATAATAATTAAAACATAATTATTAATTAAAATAATTAAAAAAGACTAAGATATTACTTAATTACATAAAATAAATTAAAGAAGTCGGCCAAAATACAGAAGTAAAGAAACTAATTTATTTATTTTTTAAAAAAACCTCTCCTGACAACATTTCGTTGTCATATGTGTATTTCGGCAAATATTTGCCAATTAAACCTCTCCTCACAAAATTTATCTATGCCGACGCAATGTCGTCAGTAATGTCTAATTCGGCAAAATTTCGCCCGGATAGACATGTACCACCAAGTCAGCTGGTAATACTTCAATTCAAAATATGCCATATATCTTTTTTTTTAATTATAATTTTTTTTACAGCTGGATTTAATACTTTCTCTTTAACTTTAGAATAAGATTTTTTATTTTAAAAAAGAAAGAACCCAAAGAAGCCGACGGAAACCACCTCCCACCACAACCCAATCCCCATCCTCGCACTTCTTCCACCCAACCCAATAGTCCATGGGACTCGACAGGTTTCTGTAGTGTGCTGGTTATTTCTTTGGGAGTTTCACTAAAACACCCAAAATGGGGGTTGAAATTATAAAAAAACCCAAGCACTATTTAAACATATAAACACACCCAAAACCCATCATTACACACACTCAAAACTCATTTATAGACACACAAAAAAAGTTGACTTTGAGGTTGATTTTGGGTGTGTTTCTATGTTTAAATAGTGCTTTGGTTTTTTTATAAATACATGTCTAGAATTAGGTTTATTTATAAATTTGTATATTTCTTTTTGGGTTTGTTGATAATCATTTTTACAGAAACCACAAAGGAAATAATCAGTTTTTGTTAGTTCCAGTGATTTCTTTATGTGGTTCTTGTTGTAGATTAACTAGGTGGCCAACCAAAACCCTTGGGCGATTAGGTTGGGTGGTTGGTAGTGCAAGTTAGGAAGATTTGGGTTGTTGTGGGCAGTGGCGGAGCTAGGATTCTTAGCATGGAGGGGCCAAAATTTCAACATCACTTTCACATAGATTTTTCATCTTCAACTGGGAGGGCCATCACTAATCTAATTGCAATAATTATATTGCTATAACATATATTTTATAATATATTACAATAGATTTAAAATTAGATAAGGGGACAGGGCCATGGCAGGCCTAGCTATGGCTCCGCCCCTGGTCATGGGAGTTGGTTTCCTGTGTCTTTGGTTTTTTCGTTTTGTAAATATTATTATAGAGGGCAAAAGTCCAGCTGTAAAATAAAACACTATAATTTTAAAAAATGACACATGACATATTTTGAATAGAAGTACTACTAGCTGACGTGGTAGTATAGTATCATTCTATAATTTCTCGAGGTGATGCTATTTAAAGGTATAGCCGCGCGGCTATACTTTTAAAATATTCCATTTATAGAGTATAGCCGCGCGGCTGTACCTTTAAAATTTATATATATTTTATGTTGACATTATACGACCAAAATTACAAATTCTAGTTTTATCTGAAAGCCAAAGCTAAACTAAAATTATTAAAAGATTGTTCAATCTTAAATCCAGTCACATTTCACGTTCACCAATCACCATTTGAATGTTAATACACACACTCATAAATCCACCATCTCTCTAAACTCACCAGAAAAAAGTTCAAATGAAAAGAAGAGGAAGAAAACCCAAAAGAATTACGAAAATCTTCTCATTCTTCTGCTGTATGCCTTCTTCAACAGAGCTTCACGTCCAGGAAATCTGTTTGAATTCTCAACCATCCAATCTTCACCATTCTCTTTGTTCCTCCCTAATCCAACTCCATTTCCAATATCACCCCCACCCTTTTCCAAAATCCCCAACTTCTCCTCCTTCTCCTCCCTCTCCTCCCTCACCCCACCTTCTTCCCTCTTCATTCTCAACCTCCCCCTCCTCTCCCTCCTTCTCTCTCCACCTTCCCCCAAAACCTCAACCTTCTTCTTCTTCTTCTCCCTCTCTCTCATCCTCTCCACCTCTCTCTCTCCTCCTCCATTTTCACTCAGTCTTGGAATTCTTCCACCTCTAGAAGTACCCAGAAGCTCAAAATTCACTTTGCTCCAACCAATCTTGTCATTATTATCCCAACCAAACCTCTCACTCATTTCCAACAACTCAGAAACTCCACCTGCACCAAGAGCACTGCTCCTGTTACCATTCAAAACGTTCTCAGCCAACTCCCACTCGATCCGGTCCTTGTAAACGGCGTCGTCGAGCACTTGGTCTGCGAGCTTTGCCCAGTCTTCAAAGTCACGGGCTCGGAGGTTCTTGGAGACCCATCTGAGGTAGCTTGAAGGGAGAGTTCCTAGCATCTTGCCCTTGTGTTTTCCAAAGTCTATGACTCTGTCTCTTGCAGGTGGTGGTGTTGTTGAAGAGAAGAGAGATGGTGGTTTGGGGGTTTTGGGTTTGAAAGAGCAAGAGAGGTGGAGGTGTGGAGAGGTGTGAGAGAGGGTAGGGTTTGAAGGTGAAGTGTGGAGATGGAAGAGAGTGCTCAGAGTGGTCATGGTGGATGGAGTAGATAATGTTGAGGCAGAGAAAAAACAGAGTAGGTTACATTTACATGCGATTTGGAACACTGAAAGGGTATAAAGGCAATTTACAAATGTAATAGTTCATTATGATTTTTTTGTTGAAATAATATTTCATTAATTAAGAAGAAATAGAGTCTTCATATTTGAGGCATGTATGTATGGTAAATTTATTTCTTTCCATCTATTGTTTTTCCCACTATTTTAAGGGAAAAATGATAACTTCATATTGAAAATCAGCCCATTTAAGTTAACTTTTATTGGTGATTAAGTTGAAGATTAATGTTTATCTACATTTCAAACATGCTAATTTCAGTCCTATTATTTCAACGAGATCAATGTTATTTAGGTCTTCTTATTTTACACATCAATCTTAACACCATGTCACTTATATTTAATTTTCTGTAAAAATTGTTCACGTTATTTGTTCGTGATCCACATAAGTGTTAAGATGAGTTTATTCTTAAAATATTTATCATTAAATTAAATTAGAATTGATGTCGCATATGATATTGACGTGGTACATAAGAGCATGAGAATTACATTGCTTTAATAGAAAAATTAGGGATAAAAATGATGCGTAAAATGTAACAAAGCAAGTAGGAGAACGAAAGAAACCATTTTTCCCTTTCGATTCGAGCGAAGAAAGCATTTTCCCTTATCCAACATACGAGGTTGGCATTCTGCTGCTCTCTGATTTTCAATCCTGACATGTCAGCTTCTTGGCACACTCTCAGCAGCTTCACTGCTCTTTCGTTAACCTCAAAATACCGCCGTCTAATACCATCGTCATCATCATCATCACCAGCATCAGTCGCAGTATCTCAGTCGCTCAGAGTCGCCCACTCCTCGCTCACCGGATTCCAAGAACTGTCCACGGAGCCTAAGCAAATTGAAGCTATAAACTTGAAAGATGCCCGCAAGAATCAGAAGCAGAACGACGTCGTCCCAGAGAACCAACAAGAAGAAGAAGAAGAAGAGCATGGAATTTCTAAAATCCCAGTGCCCAGGCAGAAGTACATCCCTGTTTCCAAGGCTGAGCTGCTGGACGGAGTCGTTTCGACTGTGTTCCAAGACAAAAATGGCGATGAAGATGATGCTCTGCAATACTTTCTTCTTCTCTCTTCGTAATCCCATTGAACCCATTTCAATGGCTGGAAGAAACAAAGACATATTGAATAACCAAAAGTTGTTTAATTTGCAGGTGCTTGGACTCTATTCTTCATGCTGAACACAAAAGCATCTTGGAAGCAATGCGAGCTGATTATTTTGATTCCAACTCCATGGAACACAAGCAAACAGTTAATGAGGTTGATGAACAAGTTGTGAATAATGGGCAGGGCTCAGATTCTGATAGGAGTGGCATTAATGAAGTTGAGAGTATGGAGGCAAATGGGGATGAAAAAGTTGAAGCTGACAAGCAAATGCCATTCAATTATGTTCTGGTGTTGAAAAAACTCTTGGGTTCTTCGGCTAAGAACGTCAAGAGGTATCACAAATTTTTCTTGAAGTTAATATTTTTCTTCATTTTTACTACCCAATTTGTAAACTACTGGGAAACTCATCAAGCACAAGCTGGAGGCTTTGAAAAGCTTCAATGGTAGGAATTATGCTTAGTGCTTCAGGTCTAGGATTTGTTATACTCACTCTAACATTGGATTTAAGAAGTAAAAATGTATGCTTGTAATTGTTACAGAGTATATTTGATTTGAATTGTATCAGAAGACAACTCTTTATCTAATTTCATGTTATAAAATTAACTCTTATTACAGAAATAGGACAAAGATGGTATTGTGTTGGTTATTATTAGTTTCTTTACAATGCCAATTTGAGGTTAAAGTTTGAATGATCTCCTTTTTAATTTTTTGGAGGCTTGCACAATGTATGTTCTATATTTATTCTCAATTATTCTTCAGACTCATGGTATGGAAACCTTTGACATCAATCCTGTGGAATATTTTCTTTTGATGTAGAGTTGCTGTTTCCGCTCGTTTCCAGCATTCTTTCATGCAACTTCTTTATGATGCTCAGTTTGTAGAACTATCAGAAAGGGATTTAATGCTGACATCTGCATTGAACACTGATTATCTCCTTACTTTGCCTGTATATGTTGACTGGAAGAGGGCATCTGAGTCAAATGCAATAATATTCAGGTGATTCTAGTTTTTGTATTATTCTTTACACTAATTCAAGCTGAATCATGAAGCCGTATTGCATTATGACTAATTTCATTCTTAAAAAACATAGATTTTATGTTTCTGGTTAAGAGTCAAGATCCCTGAACAGGATATATGTGACCATTGTGTGTTGAGCTGACCACTTTCAAGATAGTAAACTATCTAAATATTGACTCCACATGTCAATTCCATCTGCCAGGCGAGGATATGCAACAGAGAGGCAGAAAGGCCTGCTGCTTGTGGAAAAACTGGATTACATACAGTCCAAACTTCTACAAGGAGCCTTCTTCATCGTATCAAAACCGTTGGGGAGAATTGGGAGCTGGATAACTGAGGTCATTGTCTTTTTCAGAACAATGGCTGCCTCTTCATCCTGGGCAGCAACCTAGAGGTTTTTGTTTCTTTTCCCCTTTCTTCTATATTTAGTTTGACATACTTTTTCTCTCTTGCTTTATGAAAGGCATTCAAAGTTGCTTGTCAAACTCCGGAAGTACAAGATTTGACTAAAAGAATGCAACTTTGGCTTAAGGAGCTGTCTGTTTTTCAGCAAGCATTTCGTTATAATGAACAAACTTCTGATCATCTTCTGGGAGTAGAGCAACCATCAGATAGGGACCTCCCAATATGGTTGGCAGCACAGAGAGCAGTATCTCGTTATGAAGGGCTTTTATCTACAGTTGGACCCCGTGGAAGGCTCTTAAAGAAGTTGCTTTCATGGATTGGACTTATTTCCCCTACACCAGAAACACCATTTGAGCTGGATGGTGATACTAATGCTTCTGACCCTTATGCAAGGTTTTCCCAATAATTTTTTTTTGTTCACACTCTATTTATCCCTGTTTTTCTATGTCCAGTTGTTTGCTGCTTTTCCTCTAACTCGAAGAGAAGCTGTTAACTTAACTAACTGAAAGCAGTACCAAATGTCAATCTTCTTGACCAAAATGAATTCGAGCTCAATACAACGGGTGGTCCCTGGTTAACTTAATTAAATTTTTTTTTTTTTTTTTTTTTTTTTTTTTTTTTTTTGGTGGTTTTTTTTTTTTCTTTTTAAAAGTTTCAAATTCTGTTTTTTTATTTTTTTATTTTTTTATTTTTTTTATTTTTTTAATCTCTTATTTATTTAGAAGATTATATAGAATTGATTGTATTATAAATATTAGACTTGGAGTATTCACATTGAAGTTCAAACGTTAATTGATTGAAACAAAAACTGACTGGTTGCATGAAGGACCATTTAATATAATGCCATGTTAACAAGCGATTTCATATTTCAAATGTTTGGCCTGCTCTTATAGTCATGGATTTTCTAGTTGGAACCTTATAATGGTCAAATAATAGTAATATTGTTCGCACAGGCCCATTTTCTTATCAAGGATATCACTTAGTGACATATGGAGACCTGCTACAAGGAAATACTGTGGAAAGGACATTTGGAAAATGCTAAAAACTTCCATTTCTATTCTTTTCTCACAGTCAATCCTCCAGGTACTGCTCATATATAATTTGATTCTACTTCCTTAGTTACCTCTTTTGTATAAGCAAACCTTCTAGGATGATTAGTATTTCTCTTCTGTTGTAGATATAGTTGCATTCTGATGGTAATAATATTTGGTGTCTTTGCAAATTAGGAGGCAGCATTTCAAGAATTGATTCTGCTTTATACCAAAGAAGTAGATGACAGCAATACTGGCGATAATGCTGACGTTCCATCGTTGCAGTTAAAGATTTACGAGAGAATTCCTATTCCAGATCTACCAGTAAATACTTCTGTCTCAAATTTAAAGCTCATCCAATGTAATTGTCGTTGCTTCTAGCAATTGATTTTCAAAGTTAGTATTTTTTCTAGTTCCTGCCTATTGATTTTCTATTGTTTTTAATTTGATTTGTAGGTTATCTTTCCCCACAAAAAGCTATCTTTCCGTATCATAGACACGGTATGTAGATCATTGTTACATGCTAACAATTATGTAGCTTAGTGGATGGATAATTTCCAGTAGTAGTCTCTCTTCTCCTCACCTGGCTACCATCTTTTTAGTAAAATTTTGACTTCTTAAATTACTATTCACTAGTCCTCTACAAATAAACATTATTGAAAAATTAATGAATGTATTTATTTAGAGGCTTTTTTTTTTTTCATTTCTACGAACTATCTATGCATCCTAGCATATGAATGATACTAAAACTATTAATTTGGTTGTTTATGGTTTTCTCCCCCTTTGGAACCAATCCCAGCTTCATTCTTGTTGACTGGCAGTGAGTTCTAGTTACTATGGTAATTCATATTTTGATTTGATAACTTAGGAGAAACAAGAGTAGGATAATGCTGATTATTGAATAAAGTCCTTTCATATTTTGAGAGTCATGGCCGTATTCTGTTAATTTGCAGGTACGCTTGGACATCGCCTCAATATTAGGGCTTTCAGCATACTTCATAAACTACAAATTTGAGAATGTCTTATATTCCCCGTATGCATTCCTTTTTTATTATTTTTATAGTAGTTGTTTTTTAATAGCAAGATGACCCTTAATTCTAGTGCTCAGTGATTCCTTTTTCACCTTCCTTTGACTAATTTTTCTATTGAGATTGTCTCTCAAAATGTAGTTTAATTTCCTTGGAAATTGCCATTAATTTATCTTATTTTAATTTAATGGCAGGTCAGCAATATTTCTTGATGTGGTTGCAATCAGCGCTCTCATAATTTATGTGTCCCGTGTGGTTTTGGGATACAAACAGACATGGGATAGGTATCAAGTGAGTCAACTTCATCTTTCTATTCCGAGTTTACCATTATATATTTCTGAATGTGATATTCTGTTTAAAGTACTTAAGTGATTTCCTAAAGGAGCCTTGCATTACAGCTTTTGGTCAACAGGACGCTTTATGAGAAAACCTTGGCAAGTGGATTTGGCTCAGTTCATTTTCTTCTTGATGCTTCTGAACAGCAGCAAGTAAGGATCTGCTTCAATGACTTGGGTTCACTGGACATGTAGGGAGAAGGGTACATTAAGGAGGGGAAATGTAGCAGCTTAGAGTTTCATTTGCTGGGAATTCAATTGGTTTTTACGCAAATCAAAATTAACTTCCTAAATTTCAAAGCAAAAGAAATAATAATGTTAAAAAACAATAAGTTGCATTCTGTAATTAGACCAGAAGAAATAGTTTTAATTAGTTGCCTCATTCAGTCAGATGCTCTAGTAAATGGTTTAGTCACATGTTAGGTTAGGTACTGCTATTAGATTGGTCTTACATATTTCCCCTACATGACATCTCTTGATTTTAGCGAAGATCTTAAGATAAAGGTCAAATTCGTAAATTATAAATGAGTCCTCTGGTTGGGAAAATCATATTTATGTTCTTCTGAATGTAAATCTTGATTGTAGCACAAATTTAGTCTGACATCTAAGGAGAAAAATATAAATTTTGGAATGCCTTATGTGATCTACAAAGCTCAGTGTTTTCTTTTCCTTCTAAAAGTTGTCTTGTTTTAAGCAAAATTCTTTGTGTAATAAGACTTGTGCAAATAAACCTTTTAAAGAAGATATGATGTTTTCACCTTCTTCCTTGCAGTTTACTTATAAAATGTCCCCAAATTAAACTATTTTCCTTTTTTCTTTACAATACTGTTTGCAGTACAAGGAAGCCATTTTGGCCTATGCAATCCTTCTCAAAACGAAGAAGGGGAAGGTTTGATCTTAGTGCCTAATTTGAACCTTTTAGTATGCTGTGATAGGAAGTTATAAAGCTGCTATCTATGCATGTTTGAAGTAAATCTAGTTCTTGACTATGATGTTTATTGATTATATTAAGTACGATGCTTGCCGCTTATTATCTTTTATATCCTTTTGTTTCTACTACTTTGATTATTTTGTACTCATGTAGAATGAAACTAAACCGACATTATGTTCTAGTTGGTGAATGTAACACACATAGGCAACAAAGAACAGCAGCAGTGATAGGACGTTGAAACCAAAAGAAGGTTAAGAGATGAAGAACATGAACAAAAAAAAAAAAAAAAAAAAAAAAAAAAAAAAAAAAAAAAAAAAAAAAATAATATTAAAATATCCCTGCTATTCATTAAATAGAATATGATCCTAATTGAAAAAGATTTCTGATAGTGCTGCTGTATATAGAATGTCTGCATGGGAGGCACATAGGGCAATTGTCAAGTTTATTTGATCCTTTGATGGTTTAATTGCACCACTCAGCTGAGCCTGATAAGAATTCCAAAATTATGATAAATTACAAGAAAAGAGAGTCCAAGAAGCTTTTATGTTTGGATAAGGTCTTTAAAAAAGTGCTGTCTACATTGAAGCTAGTTATTCCACTTATCATTAAAAAACCACCAACTCGCTGACCTGCTAAAGATGCATGGAGCAAAGTTCTTGTCGTAGTTGTGAGGGTTTAGGAGGCCAGATATTTCTAAGATCTCTGGTATCTGGTTGTTAAACATAAATTTTCTTCAACTCAATGAGAAGTTAGGTCTTTTTTTTCTTTTTTTTTCTTCTTTAGGAATTTTTTCAGCTGCATGAATCACCAAGATTTTCTGACTGCAGCTAACATGTCGCCAGAGTGTTGCAGATGACTGCGAAAGATTTATGTATGATGTGTTTAAAGTAAAGGTGAGAAAAGTCCATTAAATGCCAATTTGACTATATGCAGGGGTGGAGGGAAGGCTGCCCTTGGCTATGTGCTTTCAGTGATTGTTGGTTTACGCTCATGCAGGTTGAAATGCCAGTTGACAAGGCAGTTACTACATTATTAAGGCTGGGCCTAGCTACAGAAACTCCTATTGATGGAAGGATTAGTTTGCAGGCTATTTCATGTTCCGAGGCATACGAGTCGCTTAAAGAACGCTGGAATAGTTTGCTTGGTTAAGATTTTTTATTGCTCATTTCAAGGTCCCATTGCCGTACAAACGTCTCTAGTACAAACCAAGCTCATGGAAAAATTTATTAGAAAATAGGTCATGTAATTGTATAGGTTATATTATATCAAAAGGTGTAAAATTTCTTTTTCCTTGAACCCCCCAAATAGACAGAGTCAGTACATCAGCTTTGCACATCATTTGCTGTTTGAAGGTAGAAACAGGGCAGGTTGTTAGGAGAAAACCAGAACCTAAGAGAACAGAAGCAAATCCATTCAAGAGGACAGTGCAATGCCAAAGTGCTGCGTAACCAGAATATATACAACAGTACGGTCCAGGGCAATGCCTATAACCTGCTTTGATTCACACTTGATTCCAAGCTAGATCCAATGGTGAGACAAGAAGCTTGAATTTTGTACATTTGTTAATTGATAAAGATTAGAGAGACATAAGTGTAAATGAGCCTATACTTTATGGTTGATACAAATACCTTGAACTCATCCTTGTATAGATGGTACATGTTCTGTTTTGTTAAAAAGTAAGAAGAAAATGGAATGTTTCTAATATTTTCTGGGCATTGGTTCCAACAAAAGGATCAAGCTGTGCGTATCAATGCATCTATGATCCCCAGAACTAATTGTTCCAAGGAACCCAAACTTACTAATCAATCATGGTGAGAAAAGTAAAACCGAAGAACGAGATGACAAGAGGCCTCTGCATTCATCAGTTTTCCACAAAAGAGCGGCAGCAATGTTAAAATTGTAGCTAGTAAGCATCCCTGCACCTGTGGAAAATGGACAATATGTAAAACTTGTTGCTCTCTACCTGTACATAGCCCCAAATGCTATCACCTCATCAGTCCCATGCACTTCCCAATTTATTCCCCATACTGACCAAAAAAAAAGAGAGAACAATTTGTTCCCATATGAAACCATAAGATGGCTAACAGCTTCCCACTAGTTCAGAGGTTGAGCTTTGGTGAAAACAAAAACTCCTCCACCACCAACAGCACGCCCCAGAAGCATATTAGCATCCAAGTAAGAAAGGTAATATAGTCCTCCTACTGATTGCCTACAGTTTTAAGCAAGTATTATCACACAAATGACAAATGTATATACAGGAAACTTGCTACTTATATTTATCCAAATATGATTAAGAATGATGTACCGTCCTGGGTCTCTAACCGGAATTTGAGCTTTGAAATTACGGAGGTACTGCAAGATCTGTACACACAAATTTAGATGTAAAAAGAAAAATTTATAGTTGCTTTCATGTGATGTCAGAGTAAGAAACTCAGTGACAAGGTGTGTTACCTGTAAACTTAAAAATGATCGTGGCAATATTGCTGGAGCTATTAGAGCCTGCAGCTCTTCACTAATTTTGATATTTTGAACATTAATCTGGCAAATACAACTTGCAGGGTTCAGATAAATTTCAAGAAGAATACATTGAGAAGATATCGTGTAGCAATTGAAAATGGAGATGTTATATTTCATGTAAGCAATATGATCAGTTAGTAAGACAATCAAATCAGTAGTAGGAAAGGTCACAGCGCACATGCCCTAACTTTTATGGAAGTTATACTTGATAAAAGAGTAGAAAACTGTAAACTGACCTCTTCAAACTGAAGGTAGATGTTACGCACAGAAACAACCGAAAATTTTGCAGAAACTAGCAGAGTGGCACCTTCTTGTTCCTGCAAAGGGGCATATGAATTTGATGCCTGCATTCCCTGGAGGACAATAACCTTCTAGGTGAAGCAGATCAAAAGTTTACCTCTAACAATGGCGGCACACTCCATCTGACAACATTACGGATTACTCCTCCGCTGGACTGGTCTTTGCATTCAAATTTCTGAAAAATCTGCCCAACCTATCCCCACATTCATGCAGAAATAAGCCAAACATAAAGACGACAAAATAAATCAATAACTACAAAGAAAAAAGAAAAATTTAAGTCATCTATGAGTTGGCATTTTAAAAGCACAAATGAAATGAATGGTGTAAAATAAGAGATATTAAGTTTGTTGATATAAAGTGTGAACAGTAATTGCAAAGTTATTCAGAAACAAAGAAACTTTCGTAAAAAGAGAGGCTTTTAGCCAATATTTCACAGTTAACAAAGAAACTGCAAAGCAGAGAGGTTAATTCAATCAACTAGATTCTTCAATAAGCAAAGGCTTTCAGCAGTTACTATTTATATGAACAAAAGAAAGCAGGGGAGAGGAAGTTAATTGAAGCCTAAAGATATTCAAGCAGAGAAAACAAAAAGAAGAGGACCAAAGGCTCAATGGTTTAAGCATAAAAAAATTGCCTCCTTTTCTTTGGGTAAAGAAGCTTATTAATTTATTTCGAAGACGATAAGACTTCGAAATGTAGTTCGTTGTTTATACCTGAAAAAAGGGTACCCTTGCAGCAGCTTCCAGAAGAATGAGAACATCAGAAGCAGAAGTATATTGCAAACGCCATGTCCCATCTAATTTCACCAAGTCTAACGGTGCACCCTTGTTATAACCCTCCACACTCACCTACCAGTCTTTTACACAAGTTATTATAAAACAATCTCAATTCTATGATTTTGCACCTTCTTTTTGCATAAAACTAACATGCACCTAATGTACGTTAAAGCAATTTCATGCACTGTGCAAAAGATTATTCAACAGAAAGAGACAGCGTCACACCAGAGCCTCCTCTATAGAAGAGCGTTGATCATCAGTCGTAACAAGGCCCCTTTGGGTGTCTTGGATAGCTCTCAACAGCTCATGTTTTTTGCTCTCTACCTCAACCTCCACTGTCTGGAACCCAAAAATGTCAACCTTTTAAATTTATTTTAATGTAGAAATTAATTAAAAGAAAACATAACCACAAGTAAGAAGACAACGAAGAATAAGAACCTGGGCTGTCTGGTTAGCAACAGCTGCCAAACATGGAAAGAATTTCCGAGTGGACACCTTTTGGGTGGCAATAAGCATTGAGCTGTAAGGCTTAATCTTATTTACACCTCTTGTTGCACTTGAAGGGAACAATGGAGAAGAAAGAGCCAGGTCCATAAGAGATTGATGCAAATTTGGTTTATGACCTAGACATAAAATCGAAAGCAATTCAGTTAACCAGTCTTGTAAACTTTAATGGCATTTTCTTTGCAATTAAAGGGTGATGCTTATGAAAGCTAGAACTGTTATCTTCAAAAGAAAATCTGCAGTATTGCTGGTCCAGTTCTATACATTATAGTTCAATTAATCAGCAGCCTATATGCTAGTGAAGCCAAAATAAGATAGATATTATCATTGCAAATCCACTTAAAATTCAACTGAGAGTTTCTGAAATTGTGTAAACACATTGAGGGATAAGGGGATACAAGATAGATAAGCATGAAGAACAGAAGAAAGGAAGAAAAAAGTTTCAATAGCCAAATACAAGAATTAATCTGTCAGTTTAGCTGCAAAAGGTCAAGAACTCTTATCCATATGAGAGGTGGCAGTTCAATTCAAATTGATTGAACAAATAATCATAAACAGAAAAGAGCATAGGAAATACAATAACTCAAAGGTGAATATGCAAAAGGGTAACCTGGTAAAGAAGTTATATCATAAACAAAAGAATACCTGGTAAGAGTTCTTTGTCTGTGGACTCTGTGTCTGTCTCAGGCTCTCTTCTCTGCCAATGCAACTTGTTATGAGGTTCCCAACTACCAAACTGCCCATCTATTCTATCCCCCTCTTTCCACTTCATACTTTTTGAGGAGCAGTAAAACTTTGTACTGCTCCTGGTAATTGGGAAGTTGGGCTTCACTTTTAACGGTACTGGGCCTATGATGTTGCATAGTTGAGCTTGTAGACTCGCCGACAACAGGGGTTTACTTTATGTTGAGGAGGTGTGTTAGGCGTACAATCCTCCTCCTGTTCAATAGTAACTCTGCAAGTGATCAGATGGTTATTAAAGACTTTCTCTTATAACCCTTCATCATTACAATCTCTCTGCAATTATTGCTTGGAACCTTTCTTGACTTTGGGGCTGGAGACATATTAACGTTTTGGGCCTTGCTAAACAAATATAAAATTTCTCATGTTATTGGTAAGATTTTTATATCTTTTACTGTAAAACAAAATTGTTAGAATTCAGTTACATGTTAGCCCCCCAAAAAAATTAAAATAAAAATAAAAGAATTCTACATTAATTGTGATAGCGACCCTATGTGTAATTTTTCAACCAATAGACCAATTAACAATTTTTTTTCTCTCAAAAACGATATTATTTTTTTGTCTGTGGCAATTAACAATATTATCCTCTCTCATTCTATACTACATTATGAAAAAAAAAATTATTTTAGGGAGTTAATTTTCCCACTCCTCTTACGTCCATTTACACTCCCTTTGTCTTCTTTGGTCATTTACACTCGTTGAAAATTTTATGTTATAATAAAAAGTATTAAAAACACACAATGAGTATAAAAGTATCTCCAATAGTAGTAGCAAACCAAACTCTTCAAATTGAAGTTTGTTGACCTAAGTGGCAATGCGAAAAGCTTTGTTTGCTACTTTAATATTTTGTGCCCCAATGGTCTTTTCAATTCAATTAATGCAATGTTATGTCAAAGAATGAAAACATTGTAACCATGTCACGTTATCATTTTTAACGGAAAAGTTGATGAGATGATGGAAATGACGATTTCGAAAGTCGATACATAATTAAGGTACCACTGTAAAAATTTAGCAATATAAGGACGAAAAGTAAAGTTTGGTCTTAGTCTAGGGATCATCGCTACAATTTGCCAAAAGGTTTATATATTTATTGTTTGAAAAGAGCAGATGTGTGTGTGTTTTTTAAACAATTTTTTCAAAGTAGTTTTTTATTTTCAAAAGTACATTAAAGGTTTTTGAAGAGCCAATGTCAACAACCTAGGTCCGTGAAAGCAAGAGGAAAGAGGTTGCATTCCACCTTTTGTGATGACTACGTTTGACAAAGGGTTTTTGTTTTTGAGAGCGGGTTTTGATTGATGTAGTGATCCCACCCTATTTTAGCATTTTCCAAAGCTGTTTTGGAGATGCTCTAAGTGGGACAAAATGGTTAGTCACCAAAAGGTTTTTGGGGCCCCTATAGCCCCAAATAAGTTCAAAAAGCTTGGAACCAAAAAAAAGTGAACAATTTACGGAATGGGAACACTCCGATTTTTGTTGCGATTGGCCCCCCGGTTGTTTTTTTTTTTTTTTTTTTTTTCCCCACAAAAAAACAAAAGAAAAAACTCCCTCCCCCTCAAATGTGTAACTCTTCCACCTTGTGATAGATTAATGTAATAGATAAGTGGGGGGTATAACTAAAATTCTGATGTGTTTCAAACCTTAATAAAGGTGGGAGTCGCCCCCCCTGCCTTTCAGAGAAATCTTTAAAACTTATCTTTTTGCATATCCCTGAGACAGACTAATCAAGGTGCAAGAACTCGAGCCACGAACAAATGGCAAAGCCCTGGAATATTGGTGCAATCGTTTAGTTTACGAAGCCATCCAAGTGTTCATTTTCCTTAACAACAATCCTATCTGGACCTCTTTTCACCATCAGCTCATCTGCTCCAGAGATTGAAAAGGCGGAAGTGTTTATGTTTAGAGTGAGATCCCGATAGAATAAACACTCTTCGTCACAAATTGGGGAGGCATTTGTACTATTCTACCTTTTCTATTAACATCTTGTCCCCTAGACGTAAATCAAGAGATCTCTAAGCTTTATAGATCCAGTGGAAAAAACAACGATTTCGTCTTCCTAGTGCCTCTTTCATTTGTACCACCGCTACATTGGGAACAAACTCCCAACACCCATAACCATAACAGATTTTTTTCAACAAGGTCAACCGAGATAAAATTATTAACAGCTCTACCTTGTATAATTTAGGCTGCCTTTAATTGGGTTTCATAATAATGAAAATCCCCCTTTGTCAATATTGCAATTAGAGCAATAACAATGATAACTCCTCCCTAACCCTAATCGGATTAGAAGGAAACAGGATTTCGATTTGGTTCCTGGGAGTTGGATCGTTTTCTCAAACTTGCAGATTTCCATTCGATGATGATGAAAGGAAAACATGGTTAGGACATATCTAATGAAAACACTTTGTGTCTCATTCGTTCATCATCGTCCCAAAACAACTTGTTTTGTTGTATTGAGTTGGAACTCATCCCATCCGTTCAATGTCCAGTTTTTAATTGACAGCAACAATGAATCTTTATATTGTTCAACCTTCCATCAACAATAAAAGCTTTCATCTGTCTTTTTTGCAGTTATAATACATTCTTCAATGGCTCCGTAGATGTGCAAGGTTGTTTTTTTTTAATGAATTAGATTAATAACCCACTTGAACCTTCTAAAAACTTCCATTTATTGCAGGAATAATTGATTTTCTAGATACGTAAGTTATGTAACACCTTGATGCGATGAAATGAATTAATGATGCATCACTCCCCAAGGAAATCCAAATTAGAATTAAACGAGAGAACAACCACAACGTGCAAAACCACTTCATGATAGATAAAATTGTCCTTTACTAAGGATGTTCCCCATCACACCGAAAAAAAAAAGAATTGTAGAAACCATTAAGAAATCATTCCTTCCTCCAAAAGCCCAAAAAACTAATACAAATTTTCTCTTCCCAAATATGGAAAATTCCCCCATTCCAATTAAAAGGGAAGATTGAAATTTTAAAGCATATGTGGCCCCCATGGAAAAAACCCCCTGGGTTTTTTTATAAACCCCTCCATTATAAACCCTTAACTTTTAAAGAATTCCATACCTTAGATTTAATTTTTGGTTAAAGGTTTCCCCCCCCGATGTGGGATAAATGATTTGAAGAATGAAAATCTAGTATGGCCCCATAATTTTGACATAAGGACTGCCTAATGAACCATTTTTTGTAACCAACCCTCAAAACCATAGCGGATAAACTATTACAACAAGTTCCCCCCCCCTCCGAGAAATAAACTGTACCAGCGTCCCCCTGCAATAATTTTTTCCATAAAAAACAGGCCAGAACAATGGCCTTAACAGCCCTGCCCTCCCGCATAGCCAATCGATTTGTTTTCTAAAACATGGAAAAACTCTCTTGTTTCCATGGGGAGTGTGGACTCTTTTTGGGTGGTCCCCGCCCAAAAACTTATTTGCTAAAATTTTTTTTACCACACTGATGCAAGGAAAAACATTTTTTTTAAGGGCATAAATTCATACCAACACCTTACTTTGTCTTTTCATAATGGCATTAAATCCCCTTTTCAAAAACTTGGTTTGTTGTGCCCCTCTTCCGTTGGGAAACTCATTTCACTTTTCGTTGGGGTGCCAGTTATTGGGGACAACAGCCATGGGGAACCCCTCTTTCTTAAAACCTTTTTTTCTTTTTTCTTCTTTCAACTTCATAACAATATGCCTTTTTTAATACTGTTGTTTGCAGCTTCCTTATGTTTTCTTCCCCCAATTAAGTTTACCTTTAAATTTTTCCCATAGTTGCTTTTTATTTTGTAAGTGAAAATTAGACAAATACACCTGACTGAAAAATCCGATTTCTTTCCCTGATCCTTAATTGCAATGGAATAATTTGTTTTTTCAAATACATCGGTTCCAAAAGTTAATTGTAACAAACTCCCATGCCCGGAAATGCAATGGGATTACGCATGGAACCGCAACCGATTCCTCCCAAAGGGGGCAAATCCCAATTAGAATTTAAAAGAAGAGAAAACAAGCATAATTTACCGTGGACCCCTACAATGATTAAGAAAAATTTTATAGCCTCCAAGGAAAATTCCCCCCATATAGGAAAACAGAGTTTAGAAAACCATGAAGAAATCAATGTCCCTCCCTTTAAAAAAGCCAGAAAATATCCCAAATTCCCCCTCTTCAAATATTGGAATATTCCCTAGTTGCCAATAAAGGATAAGGATTTTTATGTAGTTGTTGTTCATGACGAAACAATGCCCTCCAATGAACAATCAGGGTTTTTTTTTTAAATTTCCCCCAATTATAAACTTCAAAAAACCCAGAATAACATAGCTGTTATTTTAATGTAGAAAAGTCCCCTACATGTGTGAAATCAATGAAATTTAAGATGAATCTATTAAAATGAAACCCGTTTGGAATTAAATAATATTAATATCGTAATTTTTTTTGTTTGGGAAAACCAAACCAAAACTCCATAGACCAAAACATACATAATTAACAAACCATCTTCCAATCTTGTCCCCCTGTCTTCTTCTTTCTTTTTTTTTCAACAATCTAATTTCCTATATTATTTGTTGGTTTTTTTTTTTTTGTTATTGCAACTACTTTTGTAGATGAATGACCCCTTTATTTGGTGAAAAATATTCAACTGCCCATCCAATCGATTTCTCGGACGATTTAAATAAAAGTCCAAATGATTGGTGACCCCCCCCCTGATAGTGCCCAAAAATTTCCCTGATGAGCAAAAAAGCCAACGTAGAATTTAGTAAAGATTTCAAAGTTTTTCAAATTGAAATGGCCTGCGAGTTGAAACTAGAAACAAAGCCCAGTCCCTTCTAAAATTATTTTTATTTTTGCAATCCTTCCTTCATATCCGTTTGCTTTGGCCAACCTCTCTTCCCTATTCACAGCTTTGTACCAATCCCCAACTTTCCACCTTTTGGTTTAGGTATAGTAAAAATTTAGATTTTAAGAGCCACGGAATAAATTGTGTTTCCCCAAGTAAGAATTTTCCTTCCCCCTCACAAAACCCTTCCCTA